GGAAGACAGAGTGTTATGATGTTGTTCTCCTTGCAATAGTCGTCAAATTCTGCGCTGATGTGACTCTCGTGGGCGTCCAGTACTATCATCCGGTATGCACCTTTCCGACGGTGTTTCGTGTGCTCATCAAAATGCTGTAGCCATTCCAGAGCAATCTTGTTATCTGTCCATCCGTTGGTTGTTGTTGCGACGGCCCAGTCGTCGGGTATCTGGTGCTCAGAGTACCAGCTGGTGTCACGGGCCTTGGTCAGGGCGGACTTGGTACCGTGACAGCTGGCGAGGTGAAAACGGCCCTTCACCACCAAGAAAGGCGGTACTATATAGCCGTCGCCAGCGATACTGCAAATCGCTGTCGCCCATTCTCGATTCCCCGGCTGAATGGCTTTTGGTTTGCCGACTCGATCGGAGCGCGTAACCACCATCCCAGGCCGTATCATGCCCATCATGAAGCCGGTCTCGTCCAAGTTGTAGAAGTCGCAATCGAGGATACCATATTTCGCTCGCATATTGGCGACCAGTCGGAACCATGGTTCGATAATTGCAGGGTCTTCGCAGAGGCCTCTCTGATAGTCATAGACGCAATTAAACGCGTCTTTAGCTCTGGACGTCGTACAATGAAGCGGTTTGGCCAGTTCTTTCCAACGTGTCGCGCACCGCGTTTCCGAAGCAGGAGATTGGCGATATCACCCACGTCGACAATCCGGGGCGAAAACCCTCGCGAATCTTGGTCGAGTATGTATTGAACAATTGCCTCCTCTTCGATCTTCGTCAAATTCGAACGGCCGTGATAGCTGTCGGACTTCGCGATCTTTCCCTTCATTCTATCTGCAATTGTCGACTTGGGGACATTGTATATCTCTGCGGCGCGTCGGATACTCAAGCGCGGTGTTGATCGAATCGCATTGATCGCGAGAAGAACTCGGTTTTCTGGGAAGCTGTCGGACATTGTTGTGGTAGAGAAAACGCGTGTTGACGTTGGGTGGTTATGGTGGGGGAAAATGTGTCCGAGTCAATGGGGTGTCCGAGTCAATGGTGGATCACGTTATATCTTATAATAAGCAAGCCTGAAAGATCCATACAAAGATAGTTAGATGCGTCCTATTATACTGAGCAATAGCCTAGTATATACCTGCTCTGCCTAGAGTAGTAGTACGAGCGATTATTATAGCTTCTAAGCAATATAAGCGCGCTACCTAAGGGCTATAACAACTGCCTTTAAGGTGACCCTAATGCGCGATATAGAGAGCGAAGCCTAAGTTCCCTCTATTAACCTATACCTTGATAAATAGGTGATAAAAGCCGAGTAGCAGGTATAAAGGATAGGAATAGTAGAGCTCCAATATAATATAAGTGCTACTATAGCTTTCGGGCTTTAACAACGCAGGACTTAGAGACTTCTACACTCCTACTGGCAATATCTAGACTTAAAAGTAAGACTAGGCTAAGCAATAGCTGTGGGCATATACAATAGATAGTAGACGATAGCGGATAAGTGAAAATGGGAAATTCGCCGAGCAAAGCAACTAGAGCGTATTTCTATACTACGCCTATGCTGGTATAGAGAAGCAGCCGATCTCTATGTGCTTGAACCTATAGCATGACTACTATGAACTTATAAAGCGCTAATAAAGGTAAAGGGCTCGCTACTGATATAGCCTTGTATAGAAGTAATCGGCCTAACGATTTCCTCTTCGAAAGGCGAGTCCCTAGCGTACCCATGCCGCTCTACGGCTAAAGGAGAGCCCTAGAGACAGTGGCCCATCTAGTGCTTAGGTGCTAAGACCAAGACTTAAAAGACGGGTGCCTCCAGCTTAGAGATAGGAACGATCTAACATGGGCACTCGGAAACCACTCTAGCGCAGCGCAGATGGGTTATATAGCTCATGGGCCTTGGGAGACTAGCTGAGTATAGGCTCTCAATAGAGCGGGAGCGTACGGGAGCAGAGGAAGACTCTAAGGAAAGCGAAGGGACTAGGAGCCCGGAGGAAACTGAGAAGGAGAAAAAGAGGGAAGTGCACTAGGCTCTGGTGCTATACTGGAGCCGTAAGCGAAGAGCGCGAGCGATGCAGTTAAGTGACGGATACGGCCGGATGGGCGCCTATACCTTCGTCGTTACTAAGCCGGAAAGGTGAGTTTCGGACTGCTAGATAGGAGGGATTATAAGGAGCGCCCGAGCGGCAATTAAGCCGCGCAGAAGTGGCACGAGAGCGAATGTCTTGCATGTAAAACAGCGCGGAGAGACCACATGCCCTAACTGGGCGGGGCGATTGCCCTTGCAGTATGATCAATATATAAATATATTATAACGTGTTTTATCAGCGAGTGCACCACTGGTAAGGGCTGCACAGAGACTTAGTCTAAGTACTAACAGCTTATTCCCCGCTTATTCCGGTCGTTAGTGCTGCACCCAAATATATATGCAGCCCTTACCAGTGGTGCACTCGCTGATATGGTGCATTCGCTGATAAAACACGTTAACGTTATCTCTTCTTTTCCTTTTATCTTTCTCGTTTCTGTACTTCTTCTCGTTATCCTTATCTTTCGCTTCTTGCTCTTCTTAATTTTTAGCTTTCTATACGGATCTGTACTCTGATATCTTTTCTCTTTCTTCATTGTTTACTCATGTCCTTGCTTTCTTATTCTAATTTGCTATAGGGTATATCTGTCACGAGATTTCCCGTTCCTGTTCTCATGGTTATGTCATTTGCCTGCGGTCATGCATACGTCATGAGTCTGATGCATACCTCTGTGGTCACGCCTACGCATAGACCTCTGCTCCAGTCCTTATGGTCTGGTTGCACGCCCATCCTTTTATCTAGCTCTTGCTCTCGCAAAATTCCCTCGTATCTGCCGAGCCGTCTGCTGGATGGCAACGGAAAAGTGGCACCGATAGCTTCAGCCCGAAGCCATAAGCCAATAGTCCAACGCGCCGTCTTCGTTCTTCGTGCGTTCCTGGCGAGTCCAAAGTCCCATTCTCCCATCAGGATCACCATTCCCGAATCTCGCCACTGTACAGTATAAGCTTCCCGTCCACTGTCCCCTTGATGGCCGCTGTGAGGACCTTGAACATACCGTCGGCAGAGTCATCGAGCTCGACAGGCGCCTCCTCGCCCATACCCCAGGCTTGCGCCGCCCTGTTTCCCATGTCGGTCTGAACGCAACCGGGGTCCAGTATGAAGGAAATGAGCCATTCGTCCTCGGCGTTGATCCGGACCCCGTACCAGTTGAGCATGGCCTTTGATGGCCCGTACGAGGCGCTGGGCACCGGGGGTTGTTGCCTGCCAATCGGGCGGGTTAGTCACGGGCTTGGATGTAGACTGTTGCAGCAAGGGGCGCGTTGCCTGGTACAGCGAGACGACACCCAGGACGTTGACCTCGACATGCTCTCGGATGTCGGCCAAGTGGACGTCGTTGACCAATGGCCACTGCTTCGAGATGCCGGCGTTGGCAACGACGATGTCCAGGTGGTCGATGCCGTTTTCCGTCTGAAGTTGGGCGACGGCGTCCACAGCACTCTGCTCCTTGCCGGCGTTGTATTGGACCGTCATCAATGTGGTACCGGGGCCTTGGCCGAGGTCGCAAGCGCCCGGGCGGTCGGATGACCCGGGTCACGCACAGCGGCTATGACGCTCTTGGGGGTGCGCGCCAGGGGCTGTTGTTCAGCCTCTCTTGACTTCTCTACAGACACGGCGCATCGGTCTGGCCAAGGGGCATACTTACGTGGTTGGGCAGTGCTAGGAACCGCTTGACGAGCGCGTGTCCAAGGCCACGGTTTCCGCCGGTGATCAAGACGATGGTCGGGCCCATTTCTCGTGTGGTGAATGATATGGAGAGAAGTGTGGGATTGGGGAGGGCAAAGCAACTAGGTCAGACCATAGGGGATCACATCATGGCATATTGTGACTATTAGTACGGATACTTTGGTTCTCCAGGTCAACGTTTTTCTAGCTAGGCATTGTAACTGTATTCGGTGAGTGGATATACAGGTCCGTCGCCTATGGTGAGCAGTTTAACATTGAGAGCACCCAGCCCCAACAAACATTGTTGATCCCACGCCGCAAATATTTGATGGGAGCCTGCATGGCCATGTTTGTTGGGCCCGTCGCAAGGACCCGCATCGGGGCTCATTCGCAACCCTCGATTCAACACGATCAAAATGAGCTCAACCACCGTCATCCGCGGTCCCAAACTTTTGGTCGCCTGTTGGCCTGCAGTGAGCGTGAAGTTTGGAGAGCATGATTATAGGCAGGGCGGGCAACCACATCCACCCGAGCACCAATGGTCGAACTGCCATCTTGGCGCCCAGAACAACCATACACTGCATCGCTCGAAGTCAAGATTCGGAGCAGGTACATGCTTGAGGATTTGTGAATGTAAATCTTAACCCAGTCCTATAGCTCCCTATCTCTATCCTCATGCCCGCAAGAACGTCTTGTACACTGCAGACTCCGTGCAATCCTCCCATGGGTATCCGATCTCCTTCAAAAACCGCTGCAGTTCGCTGACCTCCTCATCCGGGCACAGAATGCCGGTCAGCACCTGGCCGATGTCTCCTCCGTAGTTCCTATACTGGAACAGACTGATGTTGTACTTCGGACGCAGTGTCCTTAGGAAACGCTCCAGCGCGCCAGGTCGTTCGGGAAAGCGGAACATGTAGAGCCGTTCGTTCGGCACGCAAGATCGCCCGCCCACCATGTAACGAAGATGGCTCTTCGCAAGCTCGTCACCGGATAAGTCGGTGACTTCCATGGTCCCTGGTGCGCTGATGCGGCCGATGATAGTTTGAAGTTCCTGCGCCCGCTGACTCGCAGGGCCGGTGAGAGAGATGCCAACCAACACGTTGGCCTCGGAGTCGCTGGCGTACCGGTAGCTGAACTCGGTCACGGGATGGGGCATGACGGCGTTGATCAGCTCGGCAAACGCACCGGGCCTCTCCGGGATTTTGACCGACAGCAGTGCCTCTCTCCCTTCGCCGTACGTAGCACGGGCAGCGACAAAGCCCAGCCGATCAAAGTTCATATTGGCGCCGGACGTGATGGCCACGACCGATCTCGTCGGATCACTGGACGGGTTGGCGGCAACCCATTTCTTGAGGCCGGCGATGGCCAACGCGCCGGCGGGTTCGATGACGGAGCGAGTGTCCTCAAACATGTCCTTGATGGCGGCGCATGCTTCATCGGTCGTGACCCGGATCATGTCGTCCACCACCTCCTGGCAGATGCGGAATGTCTCTTCGCCTACCGTCTTGACGGCTGCGCCGTCGGCAAACAAGCCGACGTCCTTCAGGAGCACACGCTCGCCCTTGGCGAGGGACTGCGTCATGGCGTCTGCGTCGTACGTCTCGACTCCGATGATCTTGACGTGTGGTGCAATGCGCTTCACGTAGACGCCAACACCAGCGATGAGGCCGCCTCCGCCGACGCAGCAGAAGATAGCCTGGAGCTTCTGGAGGTTCGTCTGGGATAGGATCTCCATGCCGATGGTGCCCTGGCCGGCAATGACATAGGGATCGTCGAAGGGGGGGATGTTGATCAAGCCGTCCTGCTTCTCCCTCCGGGCGCACTCCTCCTTGGCTTCGTCGAAGTCGGCGCCGTGGAGCACGACATGGCCCCCCATGCGAGAGACATTGAGGTGCTTAATACTGGGGGTGCCCTTGGGCATCACGATAGTGGCGGGGATTTTGAGCTTGCGGGCCGAATAGGCGACTCCCTGGGCATGGTTGCCAGCGCTGCAGCAGACGACGCCTCGCCAAGACTCGGCGGGATCCAGATGTGCCATCTTGTTGTAGGCACCTCGCAGCTTGAAGCTGAAGACGGGCTGCTCATCCTCGCGCTTGAGCAATACTTTACATTCGAGGCGATTGCTTAGGTTGACGGCGTGAACAAGCGGGATCTCGTTGCACACCTCTCTGACCCGGGGGTAGGATGTAATGATGAGGCGGAGGTACTGTACCAGTGTTAGTTGCAGGTGAATGGATAGATGAGGATATACGGAATGTATGGTCACTTGCATCCGGATTTCCATTTGGTAGTAGGAACTCATCGGGGACGATCTTCTTCAAGTGTGTCTTCCTGTCTTCGGCCGGTGGAGTGGGCTTTGCGCTGTACTCGGTGAGCGCGAAGCTGCTCAGGGATGGCGTCCTGGCCAGCGGTCCGTCGCTCAGTGAAGGGGGGGTTGTTTGTGTCGGCATCTCCTCAGTGCCGTTATTACCATTGGTAATGTTATCATTAGCGACAGGGACTTCTTCCATGCCATTTGCCAGGTAGTTGCCCTCGGTCTCCAAGGAAGCCATAGTCACAACGATACTCTGAAGTATTCAATACTTCATGAAAGTCGGTGTGTCATAAAAGAGCAACAGCAGCTCCGTTGTCGGCCATTTGGTAGCGTTTCGATGTTGAGAAATTTGGTGGGTCTCCGCATGACGCTAAGTAGCTTGGCGGATGTGGAGGACGGGAAGACCCCGTGGACCCACAGCTCCATCTCCAGTTGACTGGAAATCCGTTTTTGGTGCTGTCATGCAAGCTTTCATTCAACTTCACCCCATTATAGTAGGCCGCCTCATACCGTCGCCAGACCGAACCCCCTTCACCGCGTACAAGGCGCACCTCCAGACAGACCGCCCAATATGTCCGACCGACCGCTGTCCAGCCGGCCACTGCCATCGTCCTTCGACAACAATGAGTAAGCCAAACTCAGGACCAATCACCCTTCCAAATCCCTCTCCTCGATCACCACACAACTACTTACCTAGCCGTCCACCTAACAGCGATTTCTACAACGAATCCGGGTTTCAAAAAGTTCTCCGCCGCCTCAAAGAAGAACCCCTGATCCCCATCGGCTGCGCCCTCACCGTGACGGCCTTCGTTAACGCCTACCGGGCGATGCGCCGCGGCGACCACCACAAGGTCCAGCGCATGTTCCGGGCCCGCGTGGCAGCACAGGGCTTTACCGTGCTGGCCATGGTAGCCGGCGGCATGTACTACGCCGAGGACCGCAACAAGCAAAAGGAGCTCTGGAAACTCAAGCAACAGCAGGAGGCCGAGGAGAAGCGGCAGAAGTGGATCCGGGAGCTCGAGGCGCGCGACGAGGAGGACAGGGCCGTGAGGGAGATGATGGAGAAGAGGCGGAAGAAGGCTGCTGAGCGCAGCAGCAGCAGCACAGGGATTGCTACTACCGAGAGTGGTACAGAGGGCGGTGGTGGTGTGGCGGCGCAAGCGAAAGCCGCCCTAAAGGAGGTAAATGCCGCAGCAGCCAGCGGGGAGACGGCAGAGGGAGGAGGACACGCAGCAGAGCCCGCTGAACAAGCGGCAGGCAGCCAAGTGAGGTCCGGCAGTGGTGTGCTGGGCTCGCTCGGAGGATGGTTTAGCGGGTCGAGTAACGCGCCGGCAGACTCGGCTCAGGACTTGAAGGATCAGGAACTTGAATCAGGAAGCTCCCAGAAGTGAATGTGTTTTGGGCAGGATATGCTCCGATGTGTAAGTGTACAATACAGCGACTGGATTGCGGGAAAATGTGATATGTATAGGGAAGAGGAATGGTCTGGCGTTTGGAAGGGGATTGGACAAAACTGTCACTGATATACCGCTGGCAAGTTTGTGTGGTCCAGTTAACCCAGACTCTCCCAGGATTTGCCTTGTATGCCTATCTATGAAGTAGGCCGAATCGTTCTCGCTCTCAATACACCCATGGGTCGACCGCTGTGGCTATCGGTGCCTGTCGAATCTGCTAATCATAACCCCTCCTACCGCTGTCTATCCCATACTACCGCCACTCCTGTTTGCCCCAACCAGCCCAGCCATCTCCAGCAAAGAGCGGTCGGCGTCAATGTCGCCCGTGCCGAGGTTGATCCTCCTCCTCGCCTCGGCCTCCATCGCCTCCCAGGCCCAGCGTTCAGCCTGGTGGCGTGCCTCGTCGTCTCCGCCACACCCCCATACCTCGAGACTTGAAACCTCGAAACGATCCTGGAAGTCATACTTCCTAGCCACACTCGTTTGGAATGCGCCGCCCTGCGACGTGTAGTCGTGCGTGAAGCACCCGAACTCGAAACTACTCTCCAGAACAAGCGAGACTGGGCCGAGTGCTATTGTGTTTGACCGGCGAGACGCTTGAGTAGCCTGTGGAGGCGGGCAGCCGAATGTTATGCCCCCAATCGGCGCCGAGGCGGATGGTTTGGAGAATGATGCATAGTCCTTGTTGACCGTGGATGCGTGGAAGACATCGTGGATGGGCTGGAGCTGGAACAAGAGCGTATCCTCTGTCCCAAAGCACTCTCTGTGGGCATGTTTCCAGGGTTGGCTCAGGTAGACACCGAAGGTCACACTATCGTCATCGGTCCTCATGCCGTTCTCGGGATAAAATCGCCTGGTGGGCAGGGTTGCGAGGAATGCAGAAGCAGGCCCAGAGTGTGCGTCAGCCGCCTCGCCTGGGAGTCGAGTTCCGCTCACAAGGAGGAGGGTCGGTGCCCTCCAGTTGAAGACCTTGGACTCAAAACTCCCCATGCTGAAACCGTCCTCGTCGCCCGAGTACAGGAGACGGAGTCTGCGGAAAAGTGAAGAGGCTGGTATGAAGAAGGATAACTGGGACAGGATGTTGAGGTTCATTATGGACCCTGTATCCTGCAGTAGCGGCTGTACCAGTCCAGAGGGCAAGCTCCCCGGCTGAGGTTGATCGCCTATACGCCGATCCAAGGCCAGATTCTTTGAGAACAAGAAATGCTCGAATAGGGCAGTGAGACCGTCGAACATGAAGGGCATCGATGTGGGTATAACCGTGTTGAAGCGGGAGAACCCGATCCCGGGCGTCTTCTCGACGTTTAGGAAGGCCGCGAGGATCCAGTCTGCCGTCGCCCTCAAATTGTCCAACTCGCCGCCAGATAGTCGATTCGAATACGAGGCTAGGTTCTCTTGCGCATCTAGCGGCGCAATCAAGAGGAGAAGCATGATGAGTTTTCGCCAGTTATCCGCCGGGATCATAGCGCCGTGGGTGGCGGGCGGCTTTTCCTGCTTTGAGGCGGGGATGTAGTCCAAGGAGTCGAGAGCAGCGAGGACCAAGTCATCGTCTTCGTCAAGTTCGCTTTTTGCGTCTTCGTCATCACCTGGCTTGTCAATAGGAAATCCCTTCGTCTGAGGTGCGTTGCCATCCTGACCAAGCCCTTTCCCATCGACCTGGTCCTTCGGGCCACCCTTGTCGCCCTCTCTCTCCGAGAGACACCGATCGTAGACAGCCAAGCTTTTGAAGAGCAGTTTCCTGCGGTCCATGGTGCCCCTGGCAAGAACCCGCCGGTATCTCTCGGTCAGAATGGTGACGACCATGACCATTTGCTCCAGCCCCAGGACAGCAGGGGCATCCTCGAGGAACGGGAAGGCGCCAATACACGACATCATCTGAAAAATAACGGGGGATACGCCAAGAACGTCTGGAATCTCGAGAAATTGTGCGATTGTATCTTCTTTCAAGTAGCGGAGCCCTTGCGCATTGTCGGCCAGGCTCTTGAATACGTCCTTGAACGAGTAGAGCTCGAGGGATGTGAAGCATTTCTGAGCAAACTTGTCGGCCTAGGGACGTCATGAAAAATGAGCATCCGAGGACTCTAAGCCCGCTTATTGAGGACTGCAGGCCGGGAACTCACCAATGTTTTGGCCAGCTGCTCATGGGAGAGAGAAGCATTTCTCCCGTCTGACTGCGCTTGCCCCATGACGTACGTATTTCAGGACCGTCCTCGTAGGCATTGAGCGAACGGCAAGGGTGGTTTTGCTTGTATTAACGAAGGGGTGACCGGGGTTCTCAAGTCATTGTTAAGACCCTGAGATTTAGCTTCGAGCCAGGGGAGTATACTGGATGTTGCAGTGGCCTTCTTTTGCGGTTGAACTTGAAACAGATACATGGTGATATAAGACGGTTGCTCCAATTGTGGAAGGTGGCCCCGCCGTGTAATAGTTAACCCTTGTGTAAGTACTGTACAGTATAGTACCATAACGCAAGGTAAGTAAGGTATGGAAGGTATTTCATTCTTGCCCAAGACTGAACATGGGCATTGCACGCTACGCGGTCATGGTATCTCAATATCGCTATCTTCTAAAGGTGCCTCCATCGCCAACAACGCTGGGCGGCATGCGCTTTGCAACCATCAAGTGCGACTGAACCTCAATCGACACTGAGGAAACCAGTGTTCAGGCATCTCTACATATCTGTATACATTGTAGAGTGTTGCGAGAACCAGGTCGATACGTACGATCAAACTTGGATGCCGTTTGGGACAAAAGCCCTCATCTTGAGCATCCAACTGACCCGGGCGAGTAGCACCTACAGGTGTGACTGACCAGCAAGGTTGGAAACCTTAAAGCCATCCGGACGCTTCTCGTTGTTCTATCCACGCCCATCCCAAGACCGATGAGAGATCATCTGCCTGGTGGCTCTCTGATTCCTTTGATCTTGGCACGACATGGTCGAGTCCACCTTCCAGGACTGTCTTGCTCGAGAACTGCAATTTATATCCGTATTAGGTACTGTATCATCACGGTGTGCCTGCTTGACATTCAGGCGAACGTGCTGGATCGGCGAAACCCAATTCAGAGAACCCCCACAGGTTTGTTTTGTTTTGCGCCGACTCCCCCTTCACAACCATCAACACGCTAACTGGTGCCACAGGCCCTTGCTCACAGCTGGCCCGGAACCCACATTTCAGCCCACCCGGCTGCATTCAGCTACCGACGAACGAGACATTACTTGTCGATCGTTTGCTGATGTTGATCAAGCTGAACCTTGTTCGACAAATTTCCGCATCAACCTACCTGGCCGAACTCCGATCGGCCCTGGAAAAGTTTCTCGCGAGGCGAGAATTGAATACCCCCCCTGCCCCAAGGGCTACGTCCAGGCCACAAACCGGCGGCACGACTAGACAAGTTGGCCGAGGTATCGCGATGCGTCGCCTCGCCGTTTACCCTGCTGGCGAGCTGGGCCCTAACATTCTCTGGGACCACGGCCGCAGTCCGCAACCCCAACGCTTTCCAAGCGGAGGACATCATCGGCCGCGATGTTGTGATTCTTGGGGGCGGCGCAACAGGGACTTATGCGGCGGTGCAGCTTCGTCGCCAGGGCCACACTGTTGCCCTAGTCGAACAGAACAGCCGCCTGGAAGGTCGCGCCCCAACCGTCTACCTACCCAAAGTCGGATACATCACCTATGGCGTCGAAGGATACTTCAACAACGGGATGACCAAGGAGTTCTTCGCGCTGCTCGACGTCGACTACGAGTCACTTCTTCCCGGCTCTTGGGCCTCGAAGCACATCGACTCCCGTTCGGGCAAGCGCATATGGCCAGGCAGCGACATCCTCACAACCGCCGTCGCCGCCGTGCGGTACCGCACTGCCATCGGAGAGTTCGACTACCTCGCTACGGGCGCGTACTGCCTTCCAGGACGAGGTCCCCGAAGTGCTCCTCCGCCCGTTCCGCGAATTTGTCGTGAAGCACAACCTCCAAGGCGCTATCGACTGATCTTCACCTTCGCCCAGAACGTCGGGAACATTCTTGACACGCCCCTCCTCTGTGTGATCATGGACTTTAGCATTTCGCAGATCGACGCTCCACTGGAGGGTAGCTACATCAGGCCCAAGAACGGCACCAATGTGCTTTCGACGAGGCCGCAGCTTACATCGACGAGGCCAATACCATCTTGTACAACTCCACAGCCGCGCAGATAACCCGCGACCCGAGCGACGTCCAAGCTATGGTGCGAACACCAAACCGGCTCCCATAAACTCGTCCGTGCCAAGAAGCTCCTCGTGGCGTACCACCCCACCCTCCCCAAGCTCACGGGCTTTGACCTCGGGGTCGAAGAAACTGCCCTGTTCTCCAAATGGACGTACAAGAGCTACTACGCCGCCGCACTCAGAGTCCCCTCCCTGCCCGACGGGTTCAACCTCCTCAACACATACCCCGAGAATCAGCCGGGCGGCACCCCAACGACCCCTTTTCAATGGGCGCTCGAGTACTCCGGCGTGCCGGGGTAATACATGAGCAAGATGGTCGGCGAGGCTAACTTCACTGAGGCGGAAGCGCGGCAGATGGTGCTTGACACATCAAGCGCATGGGCTTCGCGGGCACCTTTGCGATCGAGGATGGACAGGAGCCGAGCTCGTCACGTTTGTGTCGCATTCGCCCGAGACGCTGATGGTTCACGTGGATGAGATGCGAGAGGGATTCTACAATAAGCCTTATGGCTTGCAGGGTTATACAATACGTACTATACGCAGTATACTTTCTGTACAGACTACTCGACCGTGTTGTGGAATTATACGGTAAGTATCATAAATATGATGGGGCTGTAGATGCGATATGTCGGCTTACATTGATAGAGATAACGAGTAAGATCTTACACATAGAGTTATAGATGAGTTAGATATACGGAGTAGTGCTAATTCCTGAAGAGGCTGGAGAGTGTGTTCTTGGCTAATGTACGGATTACTTGTTACAATACGTGAGTACTTTACACACTGTACCATGTATCGACTTAGAGCTCCACGATGCCGAGACCGCTGTTACGTCATTCTTGCCGTCTGGGAATGTTGCTATGGTGGGGTAATTGGGTCACCTGTTGCCCTCCTCAACGACGGTGCCTTGCATGAGAGCTCGGATGCATCGTCGCCCAACACGCTTCCCGCCTTTGGGCGATTCTGCCCAAGTACAAAGCAGCTCCGATTCCTACCCCGCTTGTTCGGTCTTGCTCTCCAGCCTTCACTGGCATCAACCCCTTGCCCACCAGCTCCCTGACCAGCGCCAACACATACAGACAAACAAGCAAGGCGGCCAATTTCATAGAAACGTTCGACCCGCACCATGGCCGACAAGCTAGAAGATACCCCGACCGTCATTGACGAGACCACCATCTCGCCCAGCCGGCCGGATCAAGCGAGGAAGGACTCGCTGGAGCATCACTTGAGCCACCGGCCAGAGCGCCAGGAGCTTGTAGAGAGTGCGTACATCGTTGCTGCGGTTAACCTCAAAACTGTCCCGCGGTGCTAAAAAACGGCCCTCCTACCTTCTCAGGGAATATCCTCCCTGCGTCCACAGCCGCCCCGGGCATTCAAGCACAGCAAAAAGAGGTGAGTAATTCGCACTCGGGGGGAAGGGCCGCTGCTTTGTTTGAGAACTGCCCCGAATTGCATGGGTGGATGGGAACAATCAGCTGATTCGGTTCGACTCGATAACGCGCTGCAGCTCGAGAAGCACATGCGGGCCGACTCGCTGAACGAGAAGATTTCCCATCGACCTTCTCCGGAGACGTTGATCAAGGAGGGTGTGCTTCATGAGGACCCGCGCTCGCCCGAGGATAAATACGCCGAGGCCATTGAGGAGGAATACGCCAAGCGGGAAGGTGGTGCTTGAGGGGGCGACTCTTGTAGACCGACTATGATCTTTTCCTCCATCGGCCTTCTCAGAGGGAGCAACTTGTCTTTTTTGTTTGATTTCGAGTTTACTTGGCTGAGATCTGTCTTATTTTGACATGCTAGTCCATGAACGGGGAGGCTGCGCTGAGCTTGTCATGATGCACAGTCTGATGAAGCAAACCATACATCGTAGTGGACAGACATGGCGAATATGGCCTTTGGAGTGATGCCTCGTTCCAATTTGGAAGTTTCACCTCTGTATCGGTCTGAACCATTAGAAAAGGGGGATCTATTTGACCAAGGACTGCTGTAGTCAGATACATGCCGGTTCAAGCGTCGTACCTTGCTCACTTTTTGGTGTCTAGGGTCAGGTATGAGATCTGGCGCCAGCCTCCCACCAAGTCCTCCAATCATCTGGAGCGGTGACTTGTTCCTGTACTGTAGACCGTCATGCATGAACTATTGCAACTGCAACAGTGGGGCTCAACCACCTCCCCCTCTCAGAGCCGATCCGGTGCAACATCTCGGACGACATTGTAGGGAAGAGTGATGCGAGGCATGGTTGACCAACTAACTTCCTGCAATGGACTGTGTGTACCGGTACTCAGCTAGAAGCCTCCTTGGTACTGTCTATCTTTAGCTATCCATCCATCCCGCAACCTTGAGAACGTTAAATACCAGAAGATCCGTCGACGCTCAAGCCAAGTGTAGTTACCGACCGTTTCATCCATTGCTGGATGGGCGTTCCTGCCGTTCAGGAATGTGCCAGTGGCCCAAATCTACCGTACCAGTAAATGCCCAAACAAACAACCAAACTCCGACCCAACACCATTTGGTAACACAATACAACCGAAGGCGACACATCGAACCACTAATTTCCGAAGTGTAGAACCACCGAGGTCTCAGCTTCTACTTGCTGCGGGAGCCCCCAGAGTACTGGTAATAGTCGGACGACCTGGGTTCGTCCTTGTCAGCGTGAGAGCGGTTGTGGAGGACGATGACGGTGCTTGATCCGCCGCGGGAGCTCGGGACTTCTTTGATGTCCGTATAGAAGCCGGCTAACAAGCTTGTGAGTTCACTACCTAAGGCAGCGGGCGACGTGATTTTGTTTGGGGGGAGGGGGTGGGGTTGGGGAGGTAACACACCTGCGGATCCGGAGCGGTACCGCGCTTCGATGGTGAACTGGGAAGTGCTGGTTGAAGAGTCCATTGAGATGGTGCTTGGTGCGTAGGACGAAGACGAATATGTGGATGCTGCTCTGGGAGCTGAGTAGGTCGAGTGATGGCTGCTGTTGCTAGCTTGAACGACAATGACACTGGATCCGTAACGCGAGGACATTGCGTGTTCGGGCGAGAGATTGGTTTCAGTAACGGGGTGCTATGGGAGCAATTCTCGGTCGACTGGATAGAGAGCAGAAAGACGAGAGCGAAGTGACGCTACCATGGCTGGGGACAGAGGGGAACTCAGATCTTATACCTATGTACCAAGCCCATGGCGGCCACTCTTTGTCGCAGCGGCATGACAACTCGGGGTGCCTCAGAAATGTGAGGCAAGCATCAGACAAGGCAAGCCCGGTGTATTCCCAAGGCAGATCCCAAGGCCCGCTGGTGCCTTGTACTTCGTCGTTCGTCAGGCGTGAAAATGGACGAAAATGGAGCGGTTGAGATGACTCAAACTGCCAAGTGCATAGTTCTCCTCACAACGTCTCAAAGTCCCAGGCACAAGCGTGGGGAGCCTTCAACGGTGCACGATTGGGGCTGCTGTGGGCAATCCAATCAACCTCAACCCCCCACGACAAGCAGTGTTTACGCCCCGGCCATTGTCGGGCAGAGAAAAGAGTGCCATGGGTACAAGAACCGTTCAGTGGCGACGCGTGACTGGCAGGTTGTTCTGGGTGAGGCGCGAGCTCAGCCTCACTATGCTCTCTACCTGGGCGGCGCCTTGTGGGCTACCTCTCATAGAAACGGTCAACGTGAGGCTTCCAGTTGGGGCTTGAGACTTGAGGCACACCGCAGGGCTCTCGGAAACCGTTGAACAGCGATGATTGCGCCTTGTCCAGCAGCACAGTTGCCTGCCTGCTGCCTTGAACTTCAGACGGCCGGGCTTGAAGCTGGGCAGTTTCTGTGTCGTTGTGTGGCTGGGGCAAGTGAGTCATGCCTGATAGGGTGGCTGCAGCAGCGTCAGCCTGAGAACGGCTATGATGATCACCAAAAGTCAAAACGAGCCAGAGTGCTTCTGATCAAACTTACAAACTGCCAACCTGAGCTGCATGGGCGATGGTCTCTCACTTTTCCTTTCTGCCAATGGCAGGGCCAAATCAATTCACAGCATGGTTGCACAAGCGATTTGCGCTTGGCGGTGCTGCATTGCCCAATGCCTATTTCCTGTGCGGGCAACACCAGCGGCGGATGTCAGAGTCGTGGCCATTTCTCGGGCAAATTGGCCGCATCTCTCGCTGTCTCTCTTTGGGATCCCGCTGACCAGGCGAGGAGTGGTGTACGAACCCAAATACCAGGCCAGTGGGAAATGCGGTGTGTCTTGCATCAGACACCCATTGGGTTCCACGCCGCTCTTGGCGCGTACCTGCTTCTCCAGCAATGCGCTAACCTGTCCTGGCTAGCCGCAAGCTGGTGGGGTTCCCATTTCGTCAGTAGTACGCGGGCACCTCCTTGGCCAGGTCTTGATGATCTGGCAGCATCTCAAACCGCCGCCCACCTCCAGCGAACACACACGCGTTTGTTGGTGAGACCACCGCCATTGCCCTGCACCTTCGACCGCCCCAAAAATCTGAACGATTCCGCGCCCGGCTTTGGACTCCTCCGAAAACTTGTGCAATCCATCCTCAAGTGTCGGCCCCTCGCCCAGAAATGCAGCGCATTCTCCTCCCGCTTTCGCTGCTCGCCTCGGCAGCTGTCGGTGTCGCGGCCTCGGACGATCTCAAGATTGACGTAACACTTCCCGTGGAATGCGACCGGAGGACGCAGAGAGGAGACACCATCAACGTCCATTACAAGGGCACCCTGCAGACCAATGGCGAGAAATTCGATGCCAGTGAGCCCTGGCCTTGAATTGCCCCATTCCGTACCTGGCTCTCGAATTGAAGCTGACCTACGTGCTCTGCGCCAGGCTATGACCGTGGGTCACCTTTCAGCTTCAAACTGGGCGCCGGGATGGTGATTAAGGGGTAAAGTCCACAAGACAACGATGAGATCAGATGTTGGTTGAGGACGTTGTGCTGACAAGGATCCTAGTTGGGACGAGGGTTTGCTCGATATGTGCATCGGCGAGAAACGGACCCTGACCATCGCCCCGAGCTACGGCTATGGAGATCGGAGTATTGGGCCCATTCCTGCCGGCTCGACTCTCGGTAAAACGCCCTTTCCCGATTCTTGGCCCCAACCGGCTTCGGCTTCTGTTGCTTCGTGTTACTTATGCTATTGGCGCTGGCAGTCTTCGAAACCGAGTTGATGGGCATCGAGGGCGTGCCCAAGCCCGAGTCAATCATCACCAAGTCGGCTACCAACAGCCCCATTGCCTCTTCAGCAAGCCAGAAGGTGGCCGAGAAAGTCGCTAGTGTTGTTTCTGAAGCTGCCGATGCGGCGAAGACGGTGATCATGGATACCGACGATGTTCAAGAACACAACGAGCTTTAGTTGACCGTCTCGCCGAGGACGGGAGCATGGTATGGACCTGTAGGTTCGTTCATCAGGGTCTGAGAAGCTGCTCACTGGCTGTTGTCATGTCTGGCGATACAGAGGGAAAGAACTGTCGTGCTACTGCTGTTTTGCCCTCATCGGCGAATAACGCGCCCGCTGTGGGAGGCATACCCATTTCAAACAAGCGGATCAAAAAGACATCAACACTTTGTTTCCGGTTTCACTTTTCAGCGCACCATCGGCTTTTACTGATGATTTCGAGGAATGTGGAGCTGGCCCAACAGGAAGAGGCGATTGAGCTGCTTGCTGAGCTCGGTTGGTTTGGGCCCGCAGCGGCTGCCCGGCTTATACACAAGCTCGACGTAATCAGCGATTACTCTTGCCTCATTATCTCAATCTTTCTGTATCTTTCCCTTTCATCACTTTACAGAAGATGACCTGGTCAGTACTGTCCATGGCACGACTTCACTTGACCATCGCGGCATAAACACACCAGCAGCGCATTCGTTGCCGCAGGGGTGCGCTGGGTGCCTTCGTCTTTCTTCTATCATTATCAGGTCTACTCACTTCGACGATGCCTCGGTGGCATCGCCAACACGACCATGAACAGCCAGGCTGGAGGCGTTGGCCATCATGGACTTGGCTCCCGCCCTTGAATTTCATCATAATCCATTATGCCTACTTCATCATCATTTGCCTGGCCATGTCACTCGTCTTCTGGGGATCGTCTAACCCCGCCCAAACCATCAGCTACACGGACAGCCTCTTCTTGGTGGTCAGCGCCATGACGGAAGCAGGTCTTAACACTGTTAACCTCAGCCGGATGACGACATGGCAGCAGGTCATCCTGTTCCTGCTCATTATCTTCGGAAGCTCCGTGTGGGTATCCATCTGGACGGTCGTGGCGCGCAAGCACGTCTTCGAGAAGCGGTTCGAGGATATCGTCCGCGCAGAGCGCAGGCGGAGGGCGAGTCGGCCACTGAGTGCGACTAGCCTGCGGAGGCTACAGCGGTTGCTGTCATTCCGGAGGCTCTCGACAATTGCCCCACCACAAATCCCCCGCGGAGCCGCCCCAGAAGGAGAGCGTTCAGAGCCGCCGAAGACACCTCCTGCCAGCCAGCAGTTTGCCTCGGACCGGCCGGACGCAAGCGACGCTTCTTCGCATGAAATTGACGCCACCTTGGCTGGTCTCGGAGCTTCCATCGAGAGACCGGTGACCCCTCCCCGCATCGTCTTCGTTGACAGCCCTCGGCCCAACCAAGGCGCGACTTTTACTGGCGCCGAGCACCAACCCGAGGAGCGAGAGACAACCATTAGGCATCGGAACGGAAGGGAGGACACCGTGAGCCATGAAAAGGACGAGTTCGACGTCGGCCGACTCCTCGCACGTCGGGCAGGCGGGAGGAATGCGCAGTTCCACGGCCTGACCACCGAGGAGCGTGAGCGTCTCGGCGGATGCGAGTACCAGGCCCTCCGAGTGCTCTCCCTGATCGTGCCCCTGTACTTTGTTCTCTGGCAACTCCTCGGCTGCCTTGCCCTCGGCGCTTGGATCAGCAATAACCAGCCCGAACCTCCGCTCAAAAACGGCATCAACCCCTGGTGGCTAGGCGTCTTCAACGGCGTGTCTGCCTTCAACAACTCGGGCATGTCCCTGCTCGACGCAAACATGATCCCCTTCCAGGAGTCGTATTTTGTCCTCATCACCATGGGCCTCTTGATCCTGGCGGGTAATACCGCATACCCTGTCTTCCTGAGGCTGATTGTCTGGTCGCTGCTAAAGCTGCTGGCTTGGGCCACGAGCGAGGACGAGCTATCGGGCCTCAAGGACACGTTCATGTTTATACTGCAGTATCCCCGGCGCGTGTATACCAACCTCTTCCCTGCCCGTCCCACCTGGTGGTTGGTCTTCATGCTCATCCTCCTGAACTCTATCGACTGGGTAGCCTTTGAACTCCTCAACGTGGGTAACCCGGCCATGGAGCAGATCCCTCCCAACTCCCGCGTGCTGGACGGATTGTTCCAGGCCTTGGGTGAGTCGTTAACTTTTCCCTCCCTCTACTCCCCTGAAATAGAATGGCTTTGTAGCTTACCATCTTCGTCAAAGCTGTGCGCTCCGGAGGATTCTACGTCGTGCCGATCCCTTCAGTATACATTGGGCTGCAGGTGCTCTACGTCGTGATGATGTATATCTCTGTCTACCCGGTCGTTATCACCATGCGCCATTCCAACGTGTACGAAGAGCGCTCGCTCGGGATATACGACGAGGACGTAAATATGCCTGATGATGCCGACCCGGAACTGGCCACTTCTTTCAGCTCACCTCCTGCTCGCCGGCGTCGCGGCACTAGCAATGGCATCGTCGCCACACTCAGTCTCGCCATCAGTAAAACCTTCACTTTCCACGGCGTCGGCGCCAAACCACCGGACCCACTACCACCACCCAACCACAACCACCACCGCGGTCCGGAACAACATTTCCGCACAATTAACTTCATCAGCCAACAGGTCCACGGCCAACTAGCCCACGACATCTGGTGGCTCGTCCTCGCCATCCTCGTCATCATGACCATCGAGACGGCCAACTTCCTCGCCGACCCCGTCAACTTCTCCGCCTTCAACGTCATCTTCGAGGTGGTCTCGGCTTACGGCTGTGTGGGCATCAGCGTCGGCGTGCCCCACGACGCCTTCAGCTTCAGCGGGTCGTGGCACGCCGCCTCCAAGGTGGTGCTCTGCGCCGTCATGCTCAGGGGCCGTCATCGCGGGTTGCCGGTTGCCCTGGATCGGGCGGTGCGGTTACCCGGGGAGGCGCTGCATCGGGACGAGGAGGAGGATCATCGTATCAGGAGAAGTCTTACGAACCGGAGAGCTAGTGCTGATGCTTATTAGGGGGGTGCACGTCGGGTGCGGCGGCGGGTGGGGAAGGAATTGGGGTCTTTCTCTCTTGAAGCGAAGCTTCAATGACGAACTGACACTGTTTTACATAGTGGAAGTGAAGAAGGAGCGAGATCTCCATTTACTGGCTCAATCCTCCGGAGTTTCTCGAGGAGGAATTGGTCGCCACAGCAATTCGACATGGCTTGGCGTGACCCACACAGGGTTCGGAAGCTTCGCTTCTCAATTACTTGGGTGAACACAGTCAAATATTTTATGAGTTTTGGGGCTTGGCTAACGACGGCCACTCATATCTTGAATAGGTTGCGCTCTGGCTTGTTGTTAGACTACAGGACTTGGGTTATGAGGATAGACGGGGTGGATAGATGTTTAGGCGAAATGGGGCCGTTGCTGGCTAGGCAGACATGACATCCTTGTATATGGGAATGTGGGCACATGTAGGTTTTGCATAGGGTTGAGAAGCAGTTACGCCACGCCATACATGGTTGTATAGTCAGCGTCATGGGGACCTCCCTGGGAGATGTCGTAATATCATCTCGCCATGATCATCTATGGACATGGCTCCATGTCACATGGAAGTCGCCAATCGACAGACAGCCTATCCAAAACAAAGCTTCTTCTGCCTTGGGTCTGCTGCCGATGGCGGTCGTCCTCTTTTCCTTTCTCTTTCCTTCGGCTTCCTCGCATCGGGCGTGGGTTTCTCAACGTGCTGCGTTTGCTGCGCTGCAGCGTCCTGCTGGACCGTGTCTCGGATGGCTCGGCGTGACAGGCACAGATCGATGTGCTCATTGAACAGCCTCTCATCTGCGGGCTGCGGCAGGCCACACACGGGGCAGTCCCACAGTTCTTCCTCGGCTGCCGCAGGCTGCTCTCTTGTGGGGTTAGACACTATCTCCTTTCCATGTCTCCGGCTGGAGCTGACCAGTCCTGAATCCTCATCAGCCTTCCTCGGATTGTGCTCGACACCCGTATTCGTTCGAGGTTGCTGTTCGGATTCGCCTTCACCACCGACTCCTATTCCCCTGCTGCCGGTACTGTTCTCTGCCGACTCGACGGATTCAGACCTCCGTGGCCTCAGCCCGAAGAAGGCCCTCGCATCCGGCTTTTTAGTGCTCACAAGATGTGTACACCGCAGCCCCATCAACCGCAGTTTCATGCCGGGAATCTCTTGCTCCAGCTTCGCTAGCATGGGCAGCGAGTAGTTGTACAGGTCATCCGCCCTGTACAAGGCCCTGGGCGGCACGACCTGACGGGTCAGCACCTCAAAGGTGTGCAGCTTAACCTTCAGACAGAGCGTGCGCCCCTTGCACTCGGCCCTCCTCATATCCGCCTCGAGTTCCTCCGCGGTGCGCCTGAGCTTCTCGCGCAGCTGACCCGGGTCGTCCATGTCGCGGAACGTGCTCTCGGTGCCGACGCTCTTGCGTTCGTACTCCTCGGCTGGCTGCACATCGGTCCTTCCCAGGCCCAGGTAGCAGCGAAGGAGGAACTCGTGCGTCTTCTGGCCGAATAGCTGTTCCAGATACTGCCGCTGCGGGTAGATGTCGCCGCAGGTCTTGACGCCCACCGCTGCCAGCTCGCGCTCCAGCACACGCCCAACGCCGTTCACATTGCGGCAAGGGAGGTCGCGCATGAAGGCCATGATTGTGGTGCGCTCGCGAGGCAAGACGAATTGCCCGTTAGGCTTGTTCATGTTGGAGCAGATCTTGGCGAGCCGCGCGTTGGCCGCGATGCCTGCCGAGACGGTGATTTGGGTCTTCTCGTGTATCTCCCTCCTCATCTGCTCCACGACTTCGGCGGGGTCCATGTCATCATGCTCGGCACAGTACTCGGTGATATTGAGATATGCCTCGTCGATGCTGGCGCTCTCGAACCGCGGGTCATAGTCGGCCAGCACCTCCCGTACCTCGGCTGCTTTAGCGTTGTACTTGTCAAAGTTGAGCGGGAGGAGAATCAAGTCCGGGCAAAGTTTCTTGGCCACGAAGGCGGCCATGCCGCTGCGGCATCCGAAACGACGGGCGACGTAGTTACATGTGGTCAGGACACCGCCGCCCACGGCAAACGGGAGGTCTTTCAGCTCAGGCCGGTCCAGCTGTTCCACGGCGGCGTAAAAGGCGTCGCAGTCGACGTGCACAATGTGCTGCGTCAGGTCGCGGGTGAGCTCAAGCTGGGCAAGCAGGTTGTCGGCTGCCCGGAGCTCGCGAGAGAGATCCAGCGTCTCGAGGCGGCGCTTTTTAGCCATGAGAGCTTCGATCTTGGCCGTGAGAGACTTGTCCCTCGCTTCCTCGTGATTGAAGAACTTGGAGCCCTTGGAAGCATTGTAAATAATCTCGGAGATCTGCGATATGACGGAATCATTCGGTTAGCACAATGCCAACACCAGACACTGGGCAACTTGACCGTTGGGGAGGGATGAGCATACCTTAGACTGGTCAACCGAGTCTTGACCGGCCTTTGTTAGTGAAGGCCCCAGTAGAGAGTATTTGAGTGATGCATGTTCATGAGCTGCGTTTCCGCTCCTGTTGTCGGACTGTGCGGGCGGCGGCTGCTCTGTGGGGTTTGTCTGGGTCTTGGATGTCATGTTACAAATTGACAAAATGTATGCTGCGCCGTAGTCGACAAGAAAACCTAGATTTCATGGCAACGTTATCATTCCTTGCATAACTGGCAGAATCGGGACCGAAACTCGTGTCGGTTCCTAGCAGCAGATCTGCTGGTTGCTGTGCAAGTAAGTGACGCGAATGTTCGCGTTTCAAGGCTCCACGTCGAGAGCGCCAAGTCACGAGGCTGCCAAGTAAAGCCTGCAGAGCTCCCACTAGAGAGACGGGTCCGTCTCGCTTAGTCATCGCAAAAATGTATTAGTCACCACAAAATGCATCTAACGCGGCCACCTCCCCCGCGCCCGTAGCACACTGCCATCTCCACTGCATCGCCATCGCCATGGAGACTTTCCCAGGCGACTGCCTTCCTCCTGAACGCCATTTCGAGTCTCGACAGGCCTTATTCGAGTCGATCAACGCATGGGATAAGCCAAGATGCTACGCCTTTACTACCCAAAGGTCGACGAAGGAGAAGAATGGTACCTCGACAGTGATATACGCATGCGATCGATCTCGTCATCCTCCTAGCGGCGTATTGGAGCGCCAACGGAAAACAACAACTCGAAGGACGAATTGCCTTCTTTCAGTTATAGCAAAAGAGACGCTTGACGGCGGCGGCTGGACCTTGAAGCATCGTTCCGATCAGCGCACTGCGGTATACAACCATGAGCCAAGCCAGCACCCATCGGCCTTCTAGCTTGCGAGAGCCCCATAGAGCTTTTTGCAGCTTTCCTATAAGGGCTTGAGCTTCATTTCTAGACGACGTGACCCACCAACCGGACAACCCCTGCAACCGGACATGCCGATCGTCAAACACACCATCTTTCTCACCCAATTCTTCTTCAAACCAGTTCAAACCTAGATCATGGCGAACCTCAGAGAGCAGCGCATTCAATCAGCGCTTCAAGATGTCCAGGATGGTGTTTCCCTACGCGCAGCATCGAGGCGATGGAACATCCCGAGAACGACACTGTCCAACCCGTCAAAAACTCTAGATGATTCAGAAGCAATAGCCGAAGAGACGAGGTCCCCCGAGCAGCCATCTACGCCTACAAAACGGCAGCCACACGCGGAGAACTCTATTCTCCGGACTCCCCAACAGGGTCAGGATATCCGGAGGGCCGTCGACTTAGCCAGGCAGCACGTCTCGCCAACCAAACGCAGCGTAAGAGCGCTCGTTGCCAAGGTTGGAGATGTGTTGGATACGTAGAACGCGGAGATCGCCGCTTTGAGGGAGGCTTTGCAAACCGCACGCAGGGATCTATAAGCTCAGAAACCACGCACGAAGACTAGAGTCAAAGAGAATGCCAACGACTCGTTTGCGCGTGTTAGGATATAACTGCAGCTCAGGAAGCAAGTGAGAGACCCCCCAAGCGGAGGAAGGGAGGCAGGCAGAATAACCCAGAGCCAGTCGTTGAGCAAGCGCAGGAAATGATCATCCATGGTCTGGATCGTCTTCGGCAGGCTGAGGAGATGTAGAAAACTAAGATTTAGTATAGTTATATGGTTGTGGCAGGACAGGAGTCTGTTGAAGCCCAGGCGTGGTGGACGTCGATCGTGTCCGGTTTGGGGTAGTGTCCGGTTTGGGGTAGTGTCCGGTTTGGGGGTTGTTGGGCAGCCAACAGTTACATGCTCAAGTAAGCTTAGATCAACCAAATGGTATTGAACAGATTGAGGTATGAAATGAAGCTTGAATTGGAGTCACGATTCCAGAGTGACCACACAAATGAAGGATCAAGATAGTGGGTTAGGGTGCCTCAGAATGTCCCTTTCTTTTTTTTTTGGAAAAAATTGTCCTCTCTAATCCTCCCAGGGTAATTACCCCCTTATATAGAGACAGTGTGCCATGATATGACGTTTATGTCAGGAACTGCGTCATTGTGATGGATCTGTGTCATTGTGATGGATCTGTGTCATTGTGATGGATCTGTGTCATTGTGATGGATCTGTGTTTACTGAGAGTCTCGCATTGAACATCAGTGCTCAGTCCGTGAATTTTGGTGCCAAGGAACCCACTCAGTTCAACAGGGGTCATGTCGTCTAATTTCGGGGCGAGCTAGTTCGACTAGTCGCTTAGTGATATCGTCAATCGAGAACTCTATAGAGCTTTCCTAGGTATTGGTGTGCTTGCTCGCCTGCGCCATTAGAGTTGGAGCAGGGTGGGCAGCGAGGTATAAGGCAAGTCGTCTGGGGTGCGGGTAGGCCGCTTGAGGAACAGGGTAGGTCGAGCGGGAGCGCCTGGGTGGTTGGTTCAAGGGTAGTGGGGCAGTCCGTGCGGATCGCTGGCGTGAGGGATTTTCAGTGCTGTGGGCGCAGCTCGTGCCCTCCTTTAAGGATGCCCTGCGTGGCCACGCAGAGGCCACCGCGCAGGCGTAACTAGTATCAGTACATAGTTAGAGCTTTTCGAGCTCTTTCTAGTGACGCTAGTTTTGTCTGTTTTGGTTTGGTTGCGGGTGGGATGCAAGAGAGGACTGAAGTGCTCCTTTAACTAGAGTATACTGAGTGATCTCAATACAGACGAAAAGAAAGTTTTGGCTAACCAGGCGGTTGTGGTGGAATAGGACCCCTGCGATGTTATTCACGACCCAAAGTTTGGAGGCGATAAAGAGTTGTGCTGTTGCAGCTTTGATAGTGGCAAGCTTTCAATCTTGATTATTGTTTTTGAACGACTCTTGCAAGAAGAGATGAGGGGTTGGGGGATACTGAAGAACAAGTTCAACGTCCGGTACACCGGTTGCAAGTGGTTCTCGGGGTCATTGGCAAAGCTGGATTTTGGGTGCAACGGAAGTATGTGAGATGCTTGTTTCAAACACGATCGAGGTGGAGGCTAGCTACCAGCTTTTCCGTCTCTGGATTTATCTTGCCATTCAACACAGACATGAACAGCTACAGTGGCCGCTGCTCACAATTTAAACTCTTCTGGATTAACTTTGCTGCTCCCTTCGATACGGCTAAGTCCAATGGATGCGGTCATGCGGTGGCAGGTCCACGTGGAATATAAAATAAAGATTGCCACGGTAAATGAACAGCTAGTTAACTGGACCACGTTGGGACTGGAAATCTCCCTATCGAAGCTCGTTCAAGGTTCCTGTCCCTACGCTCTTCTGGGCAAACCGCTCAGAAGTAGGCATCTGCTGTGCGTAGGTACACAGTAGTCGCCCGTATAACGGCACCAAATTGCGCGAAGGTCACATGCTTGGGAAACTGTTCTGGATTTTGAATCTTCCTAGCCTACAGGGCTATTGCGCGCTGGGCTCAGTTCTTGAACGGAGACAGCGTGGGCGACGCGAGAGCACAGACCAGCACTTCAAGTGCGCGTCTTGGGTATGTCGTCGCGATTCCTGGTTCTGCCAATCATTGGCTCGAGGTCTCCTCGTTCACCTCGAAGCCGCTTCCCAGTTTTTGGTCCCGTCATCAATTTTTAGTCCTTCATATCGCCCTGATCAGTACCAACGAGCTTTTGGCAGCCATTATTCCCTTCCAATACTCGGGTCGCAACTCCGCCAGCACCCTCCGTCAAGATGCTTCTCAAGCGCAAGCGATCTGAATCCGAGCTGGGATCGGTATTCTCATCGACGCAACGCATGGACAACGGCTGCTTCAACTTTGATGTTATGTCGGCAATGAACACGGCCAGGCGCGGATTCTTTGCGCCGCGATACTCTACGCCCTCGCATTTGCACAGCCGCACCAAGAAGCGCTTCCGCGACAGCCGGCCGTCGGAAGACGAGGTGTACCGTAAGTCCAATTATAACCAGCACACTCAATCTTGCTCATTGCCAGCTTACCTCTGCCCTCTTGCGTATACAGAACACACCTTGGATGTTCTCTATTCAGCCCAGCGCCGGCCACACGAACTCCATCCCGCGCCAGCGCAGCCGCCCCAGACTGCAAACACCGGAATACCCAGCCGACCTTACCGGCAGAGCCACCACGATGGCAGCCAGCTCCAGCAGCGCTCACTACACAGCTTCTGGAACCTTCCTGGGGGTGGCCCGGCGACTTCCTCCACAGGCTCACCGGCATCTTCTCCCGCCTCGTGTCTGTCACCTCTTCTCGCTTGCCCCCTGAGCATACCGACACACTGTGAGGACTGTGGCGCGGGGCTGGGCGGCGACGGCGACGATGATACGATGATGGACATTGACGGGTATGGTGGCTCCGGGTTAGAGGACCAGCCCTGCTGTGTAGCTTGTGGGAAAGCAGTCTGTTTCAGCTGTTCTATCAGTAACCTCGGGGAGCATCGGCGGTGTCTGGCTTGTGCGGGGCCGAGGGGCGGAATAGGTGGCACTGTGCGGGCAAGGAGATTGTTTTGACTCTGGTTGCGAATCAACGTGTCCAGGGTGGTCGGAGCTCGAATGGTATGGTTTGGCGGCGTTGGGGTATTTGGTTAGTGTCGGATTTGGTTCTGGATGCCCTGCTTTCCAGCGTCGGCGTTTGGCGTTTATGGTTATGCGCTCAGTAGAGCCGACGGATGCTTGCAACAGGTAGGGATATATCAGAAGACTTTGGCTAGGTCTCTGCTGCCCGTAGCAGAACGCTTCAAGACATCGCTTTACACAGCGGCGTGTATGACGGTATGGACGGGACAGTCATTGACAGACGTCACACCCCGCGAAGGAAGCCTGAGGAGCTCCGGTGCGGGGCAAGTGTTGCTGACAAGTTCCCCGCCTCAATCCGCTGCCTCCCGAATTCAAGCTCTCCCACTACCTAAGAATCCATGCTTCAGGGACCTGATATCAATCACAACGCTCCCTTCCGAACCCATTGCTGGAAATCAAGGGAAGTTGTCATAGCTGATTGTGACGCCCTCGCACAGCCAGTATGGGAACGCGGGAGGCTAGCCATGCTGGATCGTGGTATGAGGGTGATCCCGAGGAGCTGTCGTCTCAGCTCGACGAATTCCTGGATCGCGTTCCTGCAACCTTGGATGACAGTAGTCTCCCGATTCCGGGTGCGAGGGTGGTGATTGCTCCGTAAGTCATTTGACCCGCCTTTCCCCTTTGAACGGTCTCCTGATCCCCAACCAGTCATGCCGGGTACTTGTACTCTGGGCCTTGCGCGGCCTGGGCCTACAAGGCCCTCAATCTGAGATCGGCGAAACGCGTCTTCATTCTCGGCCCATCCCACACTTACTATCTGCGCGGGTGTGCCCTGACCACATTCGACAAGTACGAAACCCCGTTCGGAGACCTCGTTGTCGATAAGGCCACGACGGCCAAGCTGAGGCAAACCGGCCGGTTTTCCGACATGCCCAAGCGCCATGAGGTGGACGAGCACTCTCTGGAGATGCACATTCCATACTTGTGGAAGAGGCTGGAGCAGACGTTTGGCGACGACAGCACCAAGTACCCGTCTATCGTCCCCATCCTCGTCGGCAACGCCTCGGAGCAGGAAGAGAAGTCTTTTGGCCAGCTCCTCTCGCAGTACTTGGAAGATCCGGAAACTGCTTGGATCGTCTCGTCCGATTTCTGCCACTGGGGATCACGGTTTAAATACCGCCCCAAGCTCCTGGACGGCGTGATCCGGGATCTGGATAAACCGAAGGCTAGCGGGGCGGGCTACGAGAGTCTGCCAGTGACGCCAAACTCGACCAAAATGGTCGAGAATCCCGCGAAACCACAAACGCACGAGGTCATCGCAGTGCTGGACCAGATGGCCATGGATGCGGTCGAGTCCGGCGCACACAGCGAGTTCTACAAGGTTATTCGGGAGACTCACAATACGGTTTGCGGGAGACATCCCATCGGTGTTATGATGGCGGCTTTGGAAGCGGTCGCGGAGGACGGGTCAGAGAAGGGGAAGGGCAAGTTCAGTTTCGTTCAGTACCAGAGGAGCAGCTTGGTCAAAGAAGACTGGGATTCCAGTGTCAGCTATGCGTCTGCCTATGCCATCGTCTGACACACAGTAGAGGAGAGAGAAACGTCACAATGGCGATCATTTCAATGTAACACAAAGGGTATGCTGAATAGCCGGCTCCTAGAACGCGCGTCTGTTATACAAACCACGGCTCGCAATTGGCGATTCGAGGTACAGAATATCAGCTGTTCGATGTTGTGATCAAGGAACGGCGAGCACTTTGACTTCTTCTTCGTCGATGGGGAGACGTATCATGGAAATCCAGTCGAGTTGACCTCGAAGTTGGACAGTTCGGACGGGACGGTCGCATGGTCCCGGCATACGGGGTACAATGGGTCCCCATCCGAAACAGACCTGACGGCCCGGGTGGTTCCAGTATCGGAGAGCGGGGTCAAGCCTCGTTCAAGCTGAAAAGCCTGGGGCTGATCTTTTTCGTGAGGCACATCGATTCTAGGTCGAAGCAGTCCTTGTAGCAAGAAACAGAAACTCCACGCTCATCATTATCTTAGATCTCAGTCGCATTTTCGGAGCCGACAGTGGTGATGTGCTGCTCATGTATCTTGAATTGCCCAACTGCCATCACCTGCCATGGGATGAATGCCCTTGTCGCACACACCTAAGGTAGTCCAACGGACGTGCCTGACAACCCGGTTCTGAAACGCCTTTGTCGCTGGCCTGGCCCACGAAGGTTCCAGCCGTTCCCCGCCAAGCCCAGAGAAGTGGGCCAGGCCTCAACCACAGGGTCCTCTGACCGCCGCGCATGTTGAAGAATCATGGCCAACCCCCAGTCGCGGTTTGTTTGCGATTCGAATACCGTTTGAGATGGGGGCCAGCCGAGTGTTTCTTCTCGGTCTCGGCCTTGATTTTGAACGCACAATTCGTCTGGGGGGAAGAATTGCGGTTAGTTTCGCGCAGTTTTAATCACCCAACAGCATTCAAAGAGTGATGGTAAGTTAGCTCCAGAAACGGGCAGGAACCACACAGCCGCCAACGCCGTGCCAGCCGCGCCACAAGGCCCTAATCCAATTCAGGACCACTCTCCTGAGGATCCTACCTCCATTTTACTGAGGCGCACCCTCGCAAGGCTCGCATTTTCACGGCAGACAACTTTCTTTCCCAACAATCGACTTTGCCTTTTTTCTCGACGCTTCGTATTTTGCCCGATCTTTCGAGACGTAGCAGCCTCACCGCGCAGGATTGTCAGACCGTACACAGATTTTGGCGGTCTTCGCTCTCTCTCTCACAAGATCATCTCCCTCACCCTCCAGTCGATTCTGCGCTCGCGCTCCCCAATATGGGTGTGAGTCGCCCAGCAACCGGTACGACGTACTGCACAAAAGGACTCGTCAACTAACTGGGTATGCACCAGGATCGCGGATACAACCCGCACCAGCACGGTGGATACGACCGTTACGGCCCTCCTGACGGCGGCAGGTATGTATTACCTTTTTATCACTTTCTTCAGTGCCGCCCCTGCGCAGCCTGGACGGGCTATGCCTGAGAGGTCAAGGTAGCTAGCTGACTACATTCGCAGGGGCTACAATTCCGACCCTTTCGACGACCGGAACGCGATGCAGAACGCGATGCAGTCCAGGGGTGAGTACAACGGCGAGGAACTTCCGGACAGGACGTGAGGGTAATCTAACAGCGGGCGGGCTAGGAGCTGGAACACACGAGTTGGCTTCATTCAACCGGCGACCTCCTCAACAAAACTATGCATCTCCTCAACAGGGCTATGCACGTAAGTTGAAAGTCGTCAGATACGGTGTAGGCCGTCAACACCATCTAACAGTGACATTCTCAGCGCCCGGACCGCAGCAGAGCCAACGATCGATCCTCAACGAATGCATCGATATCCAGCGTGGGATTCAAGACGTCGAGAATAGACTGAGAAGCCTCGGCCAACTCCAACGACGAGCCCTCGACGATGCCGACACGTCTAGCGGTTCAGCATCCAAGCGGGAGCTCGACCTATTGACGCAAGAAATCATGGACCAATACAGGGGTCTGACGGACCGCCTTCGGACCGTCAAATCGAACCCCGATTGTCGCCAGCGCCTGAATGTCGACCAGGTCAACAAGACGGACCGCGACCTCAGGAGAGCCATCCAGAAGTTCCAGGAGCTGGAGGCTGGGTCCCGCCGCGAGATGCAGGCCCGCATGGAGCGCGAGGCTCGCATCGCGCACCCGGACTTCAGCGATGACCAGATCGCCGAGATTGTGAGGTCCGACAACCCCCAGATCTTCCAGCAAGCCGTTATGGGCAATCGTTCGGCCCAGGCCAATCGCGTCCTCGGCGCGGTCAAACAACGCCATCAAGAAATGCTGCAAATCGAGAAGAGTCTGATGGAGCTCCTGGATCTCCTCAACGACATGCAGGAGCTGTTGAATAAGCAGGAAGTGACGGTCATGGAGATCGACACGCACGCTGAGCAAGCCGCCGGAGATATGGTCAAGGCGAACGAGGAGCTCGAGGTAGCCGTCACCACGGCCAGGAAAACGCGTAAGAAGAAGTGGATCTGCCTGGGTATCTGCGGTACGTTTGTTGCTTTTGCAGGGACCACGATTCAAAACCAGCTTTCTTGGTTGCTAACCCGTAACAATCAGTGACCATTGTCGTTATCGTCGTGGTGGCCGTAGTCGCCTATATCATGATTAACAAACAAGCGACCGGCGGCGGCGGGAAGAAGCGCAGTCTCTTGCAGCGAAGAGCTATCGATGATTTACAGATGAATACAGCACGAGCTGTCAAAATCTCTTCCGAGTTGATCCCAACCCGCCAACACCGCCGTTCCCCTGAGGCAGACGTTTTCTCGAAGCGGCTATTTAACAGGCCACGGGGCATTGTCGTAACCCCTAACCAGGACGCTGAAGCCGCGTCGAAGAAGCGGTTTGTCATGGACTGGCAAGCTGTCGATCCCACCGGCTCCGACGACTGAAGCCACGGCCTTGTTGGATTAAGTCGCCGCATCTCTTGTGTCAAAGTTCCGCTCGTCAACAGGGAGACGCCAAGGGCAGAGACGATGTGATGGCGAGTACTACCTGTCCTTCGATATTGTTTGCGTTGGCTTGTTTTGGACACGTTGTCTTGGATGCGACATCGACGCCCGCGGGTTTGGGTGGAGGCCGAGAGATTTCATCGTTCTCCCCGGGCATCCACCAACTGGTTTTGTATTTGGGCTCGCTTTCCTTATGAGCATGGCGTGCCGCTGGTAAAGATATCATGGAGTTGATGGGCTTGGGAGCGCTTACCTTTCGATTCCGTCTCTACCGGTGCGTATAAGGCATTGTAATAGAATTCACATTGTCCTTAGTTCTGCTTTTCCGAGTTCTCACTTCTGGGTCTCAAGTGGTTGTGTTCATGGCTTGCCGGAACCTTGGCCAACACGCCGAGTTGCTAGTTGCTCCTTTCCAGCAACATACGTGTCTCCGCAAATGGAATTACCAACAAATCAGGCTCGTAAATATCCGACCTTAATGTGGGCAAGCCTTACAAAAGTTAAGCTTGGATAATGCAGAAGCGTCACGGGCCTCTTTCCGCAGCCATGCCTTCCGATACCGGTCCAACGATGTCACCCAGGACTCGCTGTCTCGCAGCACCAGCTTCAACCACCTTCCGCAGGGTCGACATGCGCTTCTCAAACTCCTGTAGAAGGCTCGAGTAGTCTTCACCACCAGAAGGGGCCGGCTGTTGTTGTCGCACGGAGCTGCCGTCGGACGACGGCATCTCCATCTCGGGGGTTGGCGTCATGCCCATCGGACCGGGACCAGCAGCCGAAGAGGGCGGATCGATACTCACGCCCTCTATCTTCAGGACTAGGTTGTTGCCTAGTCCACCTCTTGCTGCTACCCCGCCGCTGCTGTTGCCAGCTTCCTCCATCAGACTCAGCCGAGCTGACGTTACCGCCCAGTCCGGGGTCAGACTGCTGGCCAATGCTATTTCGTAGCCGTACCCTGATCCGCCATCCGGTGTGGGCTCCATGTCTAGGAGTATGCCTCGGTCTTTTGGGCTTGGGCCATCCGAATCGCCCTCGCCGTCTTCGCCGTCGTAACCAGCTCCATTATAGTATGCCAGGGCGGAAGTTAGTCTCTCTGGGTCGTCGTCGGCAAAGATGTAGTGTACTGTCGGATGGTGTATCGTCTGCCGGTTTGAAGAATGTAATGTTGAAGCTATGAGTGCGAAAACTGGGGAAAACGGTGGGCGTGCAGGTTGAGGTGGCGGAGGTGGAGGCGAGGCACTAGGCGGGTGATCTGCGAGGACGGGGCCCGCGGCTGCGGTTGCGGCTGCGTGTGGTGTATGCGGGCGCGAGGAGTACGCCGCCGAGGCCGGTCGGGGGTGCGATGCTGGAGCTTCCCGGCGCTCTTGTTCTCGACGCAGGCTTGACCTGCTCGTTCGGCTGGCGATGGAGGGGTGCGGGCTGGGTGGCACGGGAGAGGCGTGGTATCCCCGGGAGCCGGGGCGGTCAGGGTCGGGGTCGGCCATTGTTCGCTCGGTTTATCAATATGAAGTCGATGGATAATTGAACGAGTGTTGATCGTGGTTTTGTCAATATCCAGCTTTGGCCTGCCGTGCCGGGAGTTGTCGTTTGGTATGATCCGGCTTCGTTAAATGGTTATGGGGCCTACAGAGTATTGGGGTGGAGATTAGAGAGCGGATACGCCACGAGGGAGTGATGCGCGGGGATAGAGTACTGCCGGCTGATGACTTGCTTTGATTACTGGGGAGGGAGTGCTTCGGGGAAGCTCGGTTGAAGTTGTCTGTACAGCCCATCACGCTTTATCTTATCGCTTACACCCGCAAGGTTATTTCCCGACTGAGCAAGCTGCATTCTGTAAAAAGTGACCCTTCAGCCCTTTTAGCATTTCGGTTTGTGCCAGACACTGCATGGTAAGACAAGCTACCTTGACGTTGTTCCCGTCTCATAATAAATATATCCTAAAGTAACGATGATAAATATACGCTATGCTAAGGTATGGACTTGTCTGTAATCTGCGCTCCCTAGGAGCTGTTAACACGCGCAGTATCCCATCTGTTGTCGACCAATTTCTGACACCTGTCTAACTTGAGGGTGTTGCTCCTCGGCTATAACACTGCTCAACAACGCAGTTCCTCCTCGAAGCTGGTATGCTATAACCCATCCACCTGCACGCCCCTTGCACTCTCTTTGTTGTCAAGCTCTAGACTATCAATGGCTCGGGTCTCAGACATCAGAGGCTCCTTGCGTCATGTCCATTGAGGTTTCGCTCGGCTGCTCAGTCCATTCGAATCCTGAACCATTATCGTTAGGGTCATGGACGGTCAAGGTGAGTATCCCGTAATGAGGACACGAGAGCTTACTCTGACGACACATGGGGCATTGGCCCTTTGCCGAGTCTTGTTTTATCCATTCAAGGATGCAGTGCTATCAGCTTGTCAGCAGCTGTCGTAAAGCCCTAAACTGTACCGCGGTAGATGGGAATGGAAATGACAAACCATGTGGAAGTTGTGCCCGCATTTCCCAGATACTGAGAGAAAGGATCAGCAATGTACACATTCAATAATGAGCGTAAAACTCACGAAGGGGGCAATCGTCCCCAGGATATTTGCACGTTGGACATGTCCCATCAAAGTGGACCTGGCAGATGCCACAGACATCGTCTTCGGGAATATCCCATCGCCATGTCGCAACAGCGTTCCACTTTGTGATTTTGACCTTCATGACGTCGACAGGGGAGAGACGCGCTTGAGAACGGCGCTGGTAGTTGATGCTCTGGCGTCTTCGTCATCCGTTGAGTTGAGGCGTGCACTGCTTCAAGTGGTGATGGTCATGCATGGCCTGGGCTGGTTGATACTAGGTACCTAGCTTAGCGGTAGTTGCCCAGGTGAAGGTGATCGATTAGGGAAAGTCCGTCAGCGTCGGGTTGCGAATGGAAATTTTCGATCACCGAAATTACAGCCGGAAACTGAAATTATTTCACTAAAGGCTACCTTACCATGAATTGGCTTGGCGAAATGGAAGTATAGGTACTACTATCGGTACCCAAATTGGGTGTCGTGAGCTATTGGAGACCGACATGGCTAAGGGTTGGCCAGATAGACCTCACGTATAACATTAATTCTTATTCTTACCTCCTACCAAACGGGCATAACGTAAACATTTGAAATGATATTTCACCGCCGTGTTTTCATTTTCCACGGCCAGAGATCTTTCCGAAATTCGCAACCCCACGTCAGTGGCCCGGTGCTTTACCGTTATCTCTGAGGCGCTTATCGAAGTGAGCTGTAATGGTGGCCCAAGCTTCCTCCCGGCTTGCTGCCCGGATTTCTGCAACAGCAGCTCCCCCTCATGACCACAATACCGTTGACCTCGGCGGCTCAGACATGGACAAAGGAGGTCGACCTTAGCTCAGAACCCACCTTGCCGTGGCGCCCGCAAGACTTCCTGAGACGTGTTTCCTCTCGAATCACGGCGCACGAATCATTTGGGCACTGGCCTGCAACAGCGATTGCAGCAGGTAACCAGCAATTGCCGGGAGCAGAGAACTTTCGATTCTACACATCATGCGCTCCCTCGCTGCCCTCCGCCCGGCGGTGCGGGTTTCACTTTCGCAGCATAGTTCCCAGCAGCTATGCCGCGGTGCGACCGTCCGATCCCTTCCGCCACACCTCATAACAGCTGCCACCCTCCGGACCCGCCGATCCTTTTCCAGCTACCTTGTCACCCCGCAGGAGCTCGCAGACGCCCTCAAGAAGAGCCCGCCCTCGCCCATCTCGTCCGAGCCGCGCGTGATCCCGCTCTGCGCCTCATGGTTCCTCCCCAACGACCCGCAGGGCCGCACCGGCCTTCAGGTGTTTCGCGAGAAGCGCATCCCCAGGGCCCGCTTTTTTGACCTCGACAAGGTCATCGATAAACGCAGCCCCTACCCTCACATGCTGCCGAGCCCAAAACACTTTGCCGAGGCCATGAGCGAGCTGGGCATCCGCCACGATGACACGGTGGTGGTTTACGACAGCAACGAGCTGGGCATCTTCAGCGCGCCACGCGTCGGATGGACCATGAAGGTCTTTGGCCATCCAAAAGTCCACATCCTCAACAACTTCAGGTTATGGGTCGAGCAGGGCTTTCCGACAGAGTCGGGCAATGTGTGGACGGTCGAGTGCGGGACATATCCGATTCCGCACATGGACGAGAACAAGGTGGCACACTTTGATGAGGTGCGCGAGGTTGCTCAAGATTACAACAAGGAGGGCGCTGAGGGTGTCCAAATACTCGACGCCAGATCCTATGGCCGCTGGTCGGGCAAGGACCCGGAGCCGAGACCTGGCCTTCCCTCGGGCCATGTGCCTGGATCAATCAACATCCCCTTCGACGCCGTCCTCGACTCGGCGACCAAGGCTTTCCTCCCGGCAGACAAGTTGAAGGAGGTGTTTGTGAGCAAGGGTGTAAACCCAGAGAAGCCCATCATCTCCAGTTGCGGGACCGGTGTCACGGCTTGTGTTCTCGAAACAGCACTGAGCGAGGCTCAGTATGGCTCGCCAGAAAGGAGGAAGGTTTACGACGGCAGCTGGACGTGAGTGGCACCAGGATAACCACGAATGTGAACCAGAACTTGGGTGAAAGATGCTGACAATGCTCTTAGCGAATGGGCACAACGTGTGAAGCCTTCAGATTCACTCATCCAGACCGAGACGTAGGGCTGTGGGGAAGAAGCTCCCTCTCTCACATTGAGTCATCTTGAGTCTACAACGCGCGGCATCCTGAACACCACATTGCCACTCTTCTTGATATGTACGATTACCTCCAGGCAACATCGAGCCTTGCCGACGGCACATGCATGTGGAATGATTGCGAATTGCGGGGTGCTCCGGGAGTTTTGGGTTGGAAGGGCGTGGAGATTGTGTCCGTGCCAGCAAGCATTAGGCGGAAGGAGTAACGTTTTGTCTGGTCAAATCTGGACTGACTTCCTCGTGCGTCTCAACTCCATCGCCGCGAAATATCTCATCCGTAACTGGGCACACGCCAAGTTCAACAGTGTCTTGCTACCCCGACTTCCCGACATATCAGGCATCCCTCTATTAGTCATTCGCTGCTCGTTCGTCTCCAAGTGAAGTGATCCTGAAACTTCAGAATCCTGTTTGAAGCGCCTTAAGCACTGCAGGTCATACTGTCCATCTGATCGGGTACAGGACAGAAAGGCAAGGACCTCACCATCAACCCATGCTGAATCTCCATGTCATATGACGTCGCAATGCAGATCCGGTTTGGAACGCCGTGTGATTCCTTCCCAGAGGCCTTCCCGCTCCCAACTGAACCACTGGCTGGACGACCGAGAACCCTAGCATGTGCCAGCGCGCTCGTACTCTCTCCTTATTGAAGGACGTCAGGTAAGCCTAGAGAAAACCTGAAGACTCACGAGAGCACAGTCAAAGGTGGGCTGATAGTTACAGCTCTGTGTCAGACACAATACTGAGATGCATACCTCCTCGAGCAGCCTTCTTGGTAACCCAACGCCCAAGAAATGGGGAATCTGTTTAGTGTGCCATGTCAAACGGCGCCTATTGCTTACGTCGATGGTCGCAATGGAATTTGCAGAGCCGTGTTTTGGAACATGAAACTCGGGAGGACGATAGATAGAGGCGAGTACTAGAACACTACAAAAAGCTCACCATCCAGCTCCCAGAGGAGGTGGATGGCTACAAAGTTCTGGGACCACGGATTTGGCTTCGTGGCAGGGGCCCCGGCGGTTGGCGTTCGAGAAAATCGGCGACGGGGCGCCGAGTCGAACGGGTGCCCTCCCTCTCAGGAGGACCCATTGTCCCAGGGGGATTTTGGGGTCCCCCAACCCCTTCCAACGGGCCAATGCCAACCAGGCCATTGGCCCGTTGGAAGGGTTAGTGGGAGAAGAGAACGCGGACCTAAAACATAAAGGGCGGGCGGCCTGGAAGGTGCGTGCTGTTGTGGCGGGCGTGAATTGGGATGAAAGCTCAGGGCTGTTGTTGAACAACTCGGCACACATTGAGCGTGAAGAGGGCCAAGAAGGGATCAAGTTGCTCATGATTCAATGACCAGATAATAGCCCATTTCACAACTCCTCTCTCCCTCCCAGGTGCCCCTCGAGCCCCTCGATGAGCGCACCATAATGCTTGAACAAAGGTGCGTCCTCGCCCAGGCCCCAGGCGAACACGCCTCCCAAGCGCCTCTTGCCGAAAATGAGAGGGAACTTGCGCTTGATGGCATCGGGCGTATCAAAGGTCCACCAGAGGTCTTCCAGGGCGTCCCAATAGTAGAAGCCGCCCTGCTGGTCGTCGTACGCACCGCTCTCAACTGCACGGGAGAACGACTCTGTCACTTCTTCTGGCACCGAGTCGTGCCAGGAGAAGCCGCCGCTGCGGCCGAGATCCCTGCCCGTCTCGGGGTCCTCCAGGAGCAGCGTCGGGCACCCCACGGGCGAGGCGAGCGCGCAGGCGCTGTGCTCGGTCTTGAAGTACTTTGCGTAAAATGCGAATCCGAGGTTGAGTTTCTGCGGTGCCGCTCCGGCGGACACATAGGCATCAACGGCTTCGAGACTGAGCTCGACTCCCGTGTGGTGCTTGGTCACCGTGTCGCGGCGGTTCATCAGATCGTAGGTCATGACGTTGAGGAAATCGACGTGGCGCATGATGCGCGGCACCGTCTCGCGCGTGAAGGCGAGCATGTCCCGCTTGAGGCCGGGCACGGCAGCTGAGATGATCTTGCCCGGGCCGAGGGCGGCGCGCAGGTCGGCGAGCAGGAGCGGGTAGGCCGTGATTTCCCAGGCCTTGGCCGAGTTGGGCACCTGCTTGTAGTCCTCTCCGTTGCCCCTGCTCGATGTTAGGTGTGTATGCGTGTTTGCAAGGCGCGCGAGATAACCCAGACTTACCCCGGGTATTCCCAATCCACATCCACACCATCGGCACCCGTGGCGGCAACCATACTGGCTACGTTCTCGGCAAACGTCTTGCGCGTTTCATCGTTGAGAGCGGCCACGGAGAAGCCAATGGTGTCTCCCCAGCCCCCAATCGCCACCAAGATCCTGGTATGTCTTGGAAACTTCGCTCGCACCTCCTTGACGGTGGTGAACAGTGGCCAATCTGTCCTCTCGGGCTCATTGAAGATGCCAGGGCTCATGAACGCCACAGCGACGTGGGTCACATGCTGGAGTTGGTTTATTGGCGGTGCAATCGGGTGTTGGCTACGTGGGCGGAAAGGGGTTAGCCAATGGCCGGTCTCGTGAGAGACAGCATCTACAGAGAAGAGGATAGCCGGTGCACAGGTACCTACCCAGTGAAGTACATAATGCAACGCAGGTCCCGTTTCGCCGTCAAATTGATGGCCACGCTGAGCGAGACGAAGTGGAAGAGCAGCGACCAGAGCTGTCGTATTGACGCCATCTTGTTGATACAAACGCTGCGGAGAGATGATCTCGAACTCAATCTGGGCCAGAAAAGTGCATCTGACAAGTGAACCTGAAAGAGGGGCGGGACAAGGGAGGAAGGGTGTTGAACCGGCACAAACACGATCTCCTATGAGATGGAGCTCTGCAACTGGTTTCGCTGCTGTTTTCTGAACTACATTCTTTCAGTTGGAAATGGCGTTTCTGGCCTGCGATTTCAAGGCGCAATGAAATGTCGTGCAACAGAAACTGGGTACATGTAACCAAAATCGCAATGACGAAAGAGGTTCACGGCAGGCAAGCATGACCAGGGTGTGGGCCGCCAGATAAATGGACCTGAGCTAAGCCTAGCTAAGTACTATCCAGTCTATAGAGAAAAAGTCCCGAAGCGAAAATGGCACTGACCTCGAAAGTTGGGGTGGATGGTCTGTTCCAAACTCGATCAACGGGCCCTTTTTAGTTCTCCCATACCAGTTGAGATCTCGGGCATTGGGAGCGTACGGTATGAGCTAGGTACAAAATCATTGGCCACCGATCATCACACAAGCACATCGCCATGCTGGAAAACCTCTGCACCCTTCCGCTCTCAGCGGAGCTCTTCACCCAGGTCCTGCACCCTTCCAAGCCACTTCTCACCGTCGGACTGTTGAATGGCCGGGTTGAAAGCTTTCGATTGCCAAGCGAGGACGACGAGGGGGGCAACAGCAGCTCCAATAGCGGCAGGGGCTTGATCAAGAGCGTGTGGAGCACACATCGGCACAAGGGGAGCTGCCGCTATCTGGCTTACAGCCACGATGGAGAAGGTGAGAGAGTTTGCAAAGCTGCGCAGACAGTACGGCATGATACTAACAAATGGCCATGCCCAGCCCTCTACTCTGCCGGCACCGACTCCGTCGTGAAGCACTTCTCCCCCGAGACGGGAATTGTCGTCTCCAAGATCGGCCTCCCACCCCGCAACAGCGCCACCACCACAACCGATTGTCCCGCCATCCTCCACGTCCTGTCCCCGCAAACCCTCCTCCTTGGCACCGACTCGGGCGGCCTGTACATCTTCGACCTGCGCGAGAACGGCAGCCTGAACCCCAAACCCGCGCGCAAGCACATGCCGCACGCCGACTACATCTCCAGCATCACGCCCCTGCCCGCCTCGGCCGAAAGCAGTTCCGGTTTCCCCAAACAATGGGTGTCGACGGGCGGCACCACGCTCGCCGTCACGGACCTCCGAGCCGGCATCGTTGCCACGTCGGAGGACCAGGAGGACGAGCTGCTGTGCTCGACCATCATCCCCTCCGGGCTGGGCCCGAAACGCATGCGCAACAACGCCGTCGTGGCCGTCGGCACCGGCGGCGGCGTGCTGACGCTGTGGGACCGTGGCGCGTGGGACGACCAGCAGGAGCGCATCTACGTCTCGGGGGGGAAGAGCAAGCGGGACGCGGATAGTCTCGATGCCATTGTGCGGGTGCCCGACGAGCTCGGCTTGGGCGGGAAGAAGGTGATTGTGGGCGTGGGCGACGGCAGCATGGCCGTGGTGGACCTGAAGCAGCGCGAGGTGCAGGCTGTGCTGAAGCACGATGAGGTTGAGGGCGTCGCTGCGCTGAATTTTGACTACCAAAACCGCTTGATTAGTGGCGGCGGCAGGACGGTCAAGGTTTGGGCTGAGTCGGGCGTGGAGGGGTTTGAGGAGGAGGAAGAAGGGGACGGGGAGCACCAAGCTGCCAAGATCAAAAGGTCCGCGGACAGCGACGACGAGTCGGATCGCGACGACAGCGATGGCGAGGACGAGCGCCCAGTGAAGCATTTGAAGAAGAAGCGCAGGAAAGGCAAAGGTGGGCAAGCAAGGATTGTCGCCTTCCCAGGCCTGGACTAAGCCGTCGCTGGGGGCAGAGAGCGGCATGTAATATCTACTTGGCGGATTCTCGAAATTAGTGCAACGCCGACTTGCAGAGCTACGGATTGCCATTCGGGAAACATCGAAAAATCTCAGCAAAGTTACTCACTTGGGCCTGTGGCCCAGCGCTCCACTTTTGGAGCGGTTCTCGGAGACTTGGACAAGCCTGCCGGTCTGTGGCACGTTAAGGCGATATCTAAACAGAGGACAACCCGTGGTATCGCCCGAGAACTGCTTAAACGTCAAGGATTGGTCGAGTCAACCCCTCGAGTCCAATACTCTCTGATCACTAAGGTACCGGTGGCTGCCAGCGGCTAAGGTTCAGATAATCCCTACGCTTCAAAGGCTCTTGAATGTTGATTTGGCTAATCTCTGGAGTGGGTGCCTCTCCTTCTCGCGGTGAGTACGTCTAGTCGTCTCTCCACACAGATTCAGCTGTATCAATATCTTACACGGACATAATAAACCTTAACTTTACCATCGCTCCCAGGTCTACTCAGTGGTTCCGGTTATATTATATGTCTCTGAACAGATTCAAGCTGCCGGGCGGGTGTAATCCAGCTCTCTCACCCTTCGCCACACTTCTCGGACAGTTCTTTCTTGCCCTTCCCTCCCAGACTCGGTATTCGATGGCCCTGCAGGTCTCCATGGCCAGGTAAGCTGCGACGTTCAGGCTAATACAAGGTCACTGGGGTCGCTCACCGGATAGCCAAGTATAGGCGACTTCCCAGCTTGACATCCTCGATTTTACTTGTCCGGGAATCACCAGGCGGGTTCGCTGTTGTTATCAGCCCGCCCGCTTCTTGGAGGATGACGATGCCGGCAGCAACATCCCTTGTTTGTTCAATCAGCAACCTGTCGTCCGGGGGAACCTGATCACCGAGACATACCACTCCCAGCAGCCCCCTTCCCACCAAATATCAAACGCCCCCATTGCGGTATACGCAAGATCCATCGTCGCGCTTGTTCACTCTGGAGTCAGCGGAACAAAACTCATTAAAGCATGCTCGGGAAAATGCCTTGACGCTGACGTACCTGCCCAAACTCCGCACCCCATGGACCATGCCCCCCTTCCCTCCTCTCCCGCCAACCTCAGCAGCCATGTTCAAGAAACTCTCAACCTTCCGACACAAATTCCCATCCGGCCTATCCTTCCTATCCTTACCCCACTCGCACGAGAAGACACAACTCTGGGGCGCGTTCTCAGGCATGGGCGGTATTGACGGGCTCCGGACGAGGGGCAGGCGCTGCGTCTCGTTGAGCCAGGCGCCGCGGCCGCGGCAGGCGGTGAATAACTGGTTCAAATAAGGCGCGCAAATGACGCCGATGGTGGGCTTGCCGTGAAGGACGAGTGCGATGGAGACGCAGAACATGGGGAAGAGGTGCGTGTAGTTGACGGTGCCGTCGAGCGGGTCGACGCACCAGGTTGGTGTGGTGTCGGAGATGAGGTAGGCGCGGGATGAGCAGGTTTTGGAGTAGCTTTCCTCGCCGACGAAGCTGGGTTGGTGTATGGGTGTTGTTAGTTTAGGGAACTGTATCACTGTTTGGAGTTGAGGGTAGGACGCGGCTTGGTTACGCATGGTCGGGGTATTTCTCCGCTATGGATGTCTTGATGAAGGCTTCGACATCTGTTGGGGAATGGAGGTTAGCGACTGGAAGGGTCACGAGATGAAGCATCGAACTAAGGTAGTTGGCGCACCTTCGTCCGTCTTGGTCACAATATCTACTGCGCTGTCCTTCTCGGAGAAATCTTGGGAGCTCTGGCCACTCCCGTTGAATCTCGCCTGGGCAGCCTCGAGGAGCAGTTTCCCTGCGTCCTTGCCGAGTTGTACAGCAAAGGCATAGATGTCATCCAACTCCTCTTCCGTGAAGGGTTTGATGGCCATGGCTGTCACAGATTACGAGGTCTGATGCGTTGCGGTCGTGAACTAGCGGGATAACGAACGATTCTTGAAAGTCACAGGAGTCAAACTCGAGATACACCGGAAATCACGCTTCGTCGTATCTCCGCCACTGAAAGCCGCTGGAAGCCGAAGTCAGGCGTACCATTCCGCGCTCTGCGGACCCCGGGAGATAGGCGCCCTGTCCGTGGTATGGTGGTTTGACCCACTTCCCCGGATCGGCACGAGGCAAACCTGCGATTCGGCTCCCCGGCGCATCACGGCGATGGGCAATAACACACACTTTACAAGACACCGTGTTCTCACAGGCCTCGAATGAGCAGTATCAGGTAACCAGAGTATAGCTCAGTATCTAAGAACCCAGATCCTCCAGCGGCATTCGTCCCTTTGCCCGAGATTTTGGCAACCGATTTCCGAACGGGAGAGTCTTCACCCGGGCTGTGGGGAGCCGAAGTGGAGGCCGACTCCTCCGGCTCCATTATTCCCAGTGATGACTTCACACACTTCTGGGGGTGACGTTGCTCAGGTTGCCCCGGCTGGTGCTGATACGGCCCGTGGATAAGACCTTGGTTGGAGGTCCGTTTACACAGCATGGCAGCGAGGGAGGATCGGAAGCCATCGGCATGAGCAATGTCCCACCAGAGGCCAATCGAGGTGGACTCGGCTTTGGAGAAGGGCGAGATTACGAGGCAGTAGAATTTGACTATACAGATCAGAACTAGGCGACCAGGAGAAAACATAATTATTTGGATCTCGAAGAACGTCTCTCACATCAAATATTGTTGAGAGACTGACGTCCTCCGATGCCTCTGAGCAAATTTTCTGAATGAAAGCCTTCTCCTTCCAACCCTCACTCTCATCACCGTCCTTACAATGACACGCCGCATCCTCCTCATCAACGGCCCCAACCTCAACCTCCTCGGCAAACGAGAACCACACATATACGGTTCCACCACCCTCGTCGACATCGAGGCTCAAGCCCACGCGCAAGCCGCATCCTTAGGCATCTCCCTCGAGACCTTTCAGTCTAACCACGAGGGCGCCATCGTGGACCGCATACAAGAGGCAGCCGGCTGGGCCCCCCTAAAGTCGTCAAACGCACCGTCGGCAGATTCCGATGGCGGGCAGGGAAATATCCACAAACTCAGCAGAGTGTCAGCCATCATCATCAACCCGGGGGCGCTAACACACATGAGCGTGGCCGTCCGGGACGCACTGTTGGGCGTTGCTATCCCCTTTGTGGAGCTGCACGTGTCGAATGTGTACGCCAGGGAGCCGTGGAGGAAGCATAGCTATTTCAGTGACAGGGCTGTTGCCGTTATTTGTGGCATGGGTGCCTACGGATACTCGGCGGCGATTGAGTTTGCGGCGAAGCATATGAGGGTGCAAGAAGGGGACGAATAGGCTCATTGGGTGGCGGAAAATGTTGCAGTGTAAGCCAGGATGTGGGTCGCTAAAGTTACATAATATCGAATCAGGTATTAGTCTAGCTGCCATCTACCGACTTTCCGAGGTGTCTCACGCTGTCATCTATACAATCAGTGCCGTCGTTAATCTCGCTGCTTGCTCTCAACCTGCCCGACCTCTACCCCCTAAGCGAACCAGCAATCCCATCAACGCCGAAGAAGGAACGAAAAGACACGTGTCGTGTTCCAAAACAAGGCAATGCCCCACCACGCCATGTTCTACAAGAACGCAAATACTCTCTCAGCTTTCGTCTTCTTCAACTTGTCCACCTTCAACCCCATGTCCTTCTGCAGTTTCGCCCACGAGATGGCACCCCTCTTGGCCAGTTCCTCGGGCACCTCGGCACTTCGGTCAGCCATGCGGCGGTTGAACAGCTCCAGCGAGACCCATCCCTCAAAGCCCAGTCCATGGAAAAACGCCCGTGCAATGTCCTTAACAGGGAGATAGGCACCGCGCTCCTTCTCGCCATAAAACAGCCTGCAATTCCGGGACCAGCTCATGCGCGCGGGCTGGTCAGGGTCGTAAAACCGATGCCCAGGAACCAGCGGCTCATCGAGGCGCTCGGCGTCGACGACCTGGACGTAGAAAACCTTGGTGACGTCGACCTGTTCGACCAAGCGGGCGATCGACTCGCGCACCGCCTCGTCTGCGTCGACCGTCCGGCCCGAAGCGGCGGCGGGATCGGCGTAGATGCGGCCGGCGATGTTGAACGTGTCGAGGCACATGCCAAAGTTGCGACGGTCGACAGCACGAACGACGTCCCAGCAGCGCTCCCAGGTGTCGACGCGCGTGCTCCAGCAGAGGCTCTCATAGGCGAAGCGGACGGGGGGGTTCTCGCGCAGGCCCATGTCGGCGACTTTGCGCAGGTCTGAGACGATGAGGTCGAAGTCTTCGGTGACTAGGTGGGCGGGAAGGAAACTGGCCGGAATCTGGATGATGTCGGTCGCGAGCTCGCGGGAAAGTTCGAACCAGAAGCGCAGCTGATCCAGGCGGCGCTCGTGCTCGGCGCGGTCGAGGAGTCCGTCGTACTGGCTGAAGGGCTGAAGGCAGATGATCTCGATTTTTCTTGCGTCGCAGAGTTGGCGGATGTGTCGAGCGGCCGCCATCTGAGCTTGATGCGAGGGTTCAGCGAGAGTAGGGTTCTCGCCGGAGAGAAAAAAGGCCAAATCGGCGAGGTCCTCGTGGAAGAGCTCGATGCCTCGGTACCCGTACTTTTGCGCAGCGTCCACCTTGGTGGTAAACGAGTGGTTGGCGTAGCACCGGCCAAGGGACATGGAGGTGATGCCGAGCTTGCAAGGCATGTTGATAACGCTTGGAGGAAGGATTGGACAAAGTTCAGGCGAAGTGAACGATGCCAGAGAGCAGCCCGGTTGCCACGCGTGACTCGACGGCGGGGGAAAATGTTGTTGAGTAATGTAGAGTAAAGATTTAAGCAGGTATCGCAGTGTGGGCAAACAAACCGACGCCTAGAATATTATAGGGCTAAGTGAATCTCTGTGGGCTGTGAATATCTGAGGGCTAAGTGAAGGCGTGTAAGAGGAACAGTGGGAGAGGGAGGATATCCGGAGAGACTGGTTTGCAAAACCTGCAAGGGTAATGTATAAACGGGATGAGATCAGATCGCAACGAACTGGAAGGCACGTAGAACCCCTCCGCCGTCAATTCCCTGTCAAGAAGATGGCACTTGGTAGCCCGAAGGTGAGCGGGTTCGCCGTCGGTTCCTTGCCGGACCTGTCCACGTGTCCCTGTCCCGGCCCGGCCGTCACTTCTCACATCCAGATTCCATCACCGAGAAAGCGGATTGTCGAGCCGGAGCTTGCCGACTGAGGAAGCAGCAAGGCCCCATACGCATGTCCAGCTGTCAAGGACACACTGATGTGGGCGAGGCGGTCTGCTCAGCACAGATTGTCTCAGCAGCGGGGGCATATCGAAGCGCAGCCGCGAGTCAAATCAAGACAGGGGGTAGCTTCAACATCACCGCATCTTCTTGCCCAAGAGAGTCCAGAGAACACTGGCACTACAAACTCCTGCCAGGGCGGTGTACAGACATTCCGGTTGTCACGGACGCGGCAGGCACCATGCAGCCCCGGCACGCAGCTAATTAGATTGACGACAGGGCCGAAGATAAGCGGGTTACCGCGTGGCCAGTGCGGCAGAAGAATTAACAGGCCAACAGAGAATCGAGGAGGCGGAATGATACTTTTCCCCTGGTATCGAACGACATGTTGCCATTGGCTATCATTGTCGATCATGCATGCCTGGGCTTTTGGAAGTTGGTTGCAAAGAATGGCTCAGATTGTCGATTATTTCCGAAAGGCCCGGGGTAAAAACTAAGGGGGCCCGAGGGCCAAAACAGCCCATGCCTGGCCCTGTGTCCTGTGCGAATGCAGTTTGATGGCTGGATAAATATTTAACCAGTGGGAACAGGACACGCGTGCATTGGATGTACTTGTACCTCAAGCCGAAACCCGACACCATTCCAACAACCAGACTGGGATGGTAAAATATTCAGCATTTTTCCCCCCCCGTACCTGCAGCAAGGCAGCACAACATCCGCTGCACATTGCCGTCTGTCCGCCGCTGCAGCAGTGTCGTTGTTTGCCGCCTAGGTGCGTCCTGTTCCACGTCACACCCGCTCGGGCAGAGACGGGCACTCGCAGGCTGAAACTACTTCCTGACCGGGCTATCGGGTCCGCTTGTGGAAGGAAAGAAGCCTGCCACCTGAGCAATAGTTACTCCGTCCCGCAATTGGCTGACTATCTCCAACACCTCAGCTCCACCAGTTCCCAGAGTCCCCATCGCTGCTGGCTGGAACGGGTGAGGTGATAGGAATTGCCCCGATGAGGCCAGCTGGGCCACAGTGGCTTAAATGCCAGCCTGCCAGCGTCACCTAAGATATAGGCTTCGCTTAGGTGTGTCCATTGATCATTGATCACTCAACATTACGTCTGGCATCTTGTGTGTCTGGTATCTTCCATCATCACTCTTTTACCACTTGTCCGCAACAAACTCTCGACCTTTAGATATATATCTCGACCTTTCCTGTCATTTCTTCACTTAGCTGGCGTTCTTCCCTCTTTGATTTGCCCAAGACCGATTCATATAACAGCCCTTCGCCGGCATGTCAGCCACAACAACAGCAACAATGACGATTCAGGAGAAGCAGCCTTCGGGCTTACATCTCGAGTCGCATCTCGAGTCGCGAATTGACCGCCTCGACAGACACGGCTTCTTGTTCGGCAAGAAGCTCACAGCATCCATGTCGCCGCTCCTACACGACGTTGTGTACCAGGGGCTCGGCCTCAACTGGGAGCAGATCCGCCTCGATTCCACTGATATGGACCGTTTCCTGAGGTTAATACGCCACCCCAAGTTCTACGGCGCCTCAATCACCATGCCACACAAAGTCGCCATCCTCCCGCACCTGGACGAGCTCACCGAGGAGTGCCGGGACGTGGGCGCCTGCAACACGCTCTTCCTGCGCCAGCTGCCCGACGGCCGCCGCCTTTTCTGCGGTGCCAACACAGACGTCATCGGCATCCGCGATTCCTTCGTTCAAAACGTCCCGGACCCTTCCGTCTACGAGCACCGCCCCGCCATGGTGATCGGCGGCGGCGGCGCGGCCCGGTCCGCCATCTACGCCCTGCACAAATGGCTCAAGGCGACCCGCATCTACGTCGTTAGTCGCGACAGCAGCGAGATTGCCGCCGTCGTCGCCGAGTGCAACGAGCGGTCCTACGGGGACCGCATCGTCCACGTCGAGACGGCCGAGCAGGCGGAGCGCCTCGAAGGACCCGGCGCCATTGTGTCGTGTATCCCCGACTTCCCGCCCGTCACCGACGCCGAGAAGGAGTTGCGGCGTATTACCGAGGTCGTGCTGCGCAAGGAGAGAAAGGGCGCCATGCTGGAGATGTGCTACAATCCTTCGCCTTTCACGTCCCTTGGCGCGCTTGCCGAGTCTGAGGGCTGGCAGGTCATTTTGGGAACTGAGGCGCTCATCTGGCAGGGGATCGAGCAGGTGAGTCTGAGCCCCTGATATTACTCTCCCTTCCACGGTCTGTTGTTCCCGAGACTGGACTGCTAACGAGCCCTCGCTCACCCAGGACAAGTATTGGACTGGCCGTGATACCAGTGAGCTTCCTGTGGCTCAGGTCAAGGAGACAATTGCCAAAAGATTAGCAGAGATCTCCAAAAAATAGATCATATTTCGGACCATCTCTGTGAATATGGAATGCCCTTCTCGCAGTGCCTTTTGACTGCCTCTCGCTGGATCACATTGTTTCCGGTGACCGCACTTGCACCCTTCCCGTCCCACGTGAGAAGTGTCACACCATGGATGACTCAAGGTCATCCTGCCTATTGACGGCCGCACAAAGTACTCGACTCATTGCAGATATTGACAGTTCGGGCTCTCCTTGAGGTTATTTGTCATTAACGTTGTGAGAATAGAAACGCAATTGCCCCTGGCTGACCCTATTCGCCGGTCAAAGAGAGGTAGCCGGCTAAGAAACTCCCAGGAGGGCTTATTTCGCAGAGACTGCGGCTGGTGACCTCTCGCTACAGGACCGAGGACCTCATCCTAACCACTGGGGACGCCCCCCCAAAACAAGTTACAAGTACCTTAGCGAGTTTGTCCGTCTGAGGCCATGATAGGGGCGGCGGGAGGCGGAAGACCTGAGGGAAAAAGCATGTGATACTTTGTACGTGGTGTGTTTCTCGCAGTTCGTGTCTGCCCGACGGAGTTGATATTCTCCTTGTGGATGTAGACTGCATCTTGGCCCCAGGATCAGCAGACCTGGAAGGAGGCCGGGGACAGCAAGGGAAGAAACACCAAAGAGAAGAGAAATGGACAAAGTACACTCAGAAACAAGAGCTAAAACAAAGGTCTAGATGGCTAGGTTCCATTTTCTTCTCATTTCTCACTATAATAGACTCTCGTACAGCACCATGGTTCTGGAATCTTCGAAGTCTGCATTAAACGTGCCTCGCCAGCAGACCCGTCCAGGGCTTCGACTGAATTGCCCACCGCCTCACCGCAGCGATCATACACGCTCCGTCCGCTCCAAATGCCCCCTAGCCTTCTCGTCCACAGTAGAAACCGACCCATCTTCCGCCCCCGCCGCGCCCACCTCCTGCATCCCAAGCTCCGCCATAAGAACCTTATTCGCCTTCCTCACCGGCTTGATCTCAAACAGTCGATCCATCGACTCAAGCGGGATCGACTTGGTCTCCGGCACAAAGTAAAAGACAAAGCCAATGCTCAGAATCATCAACGACGCAAAGAAGAAGTACACCCCATACGACATCTTGAGAAACATCTGCGGGGTAAACCTCGAGACAACAAAATTCCAAAACCAGTTATTCGCCGACGCGCTCGCCTGGCCCAGCGAGCGGGTGTTCTGGTCAAACATCTCGGAATTCACGACCCACGGCGTCCCGTTCCACGAGGGAGTGTAGAAGGCGGTCCAGAGATAGAAAAAGAACATGGCCGCAATGCCGCCGCCTGACAGGCCGCCGCTACTTGACGAAGAGAACGAACCAGAACCAGCGACCTTGATGTAGGCTCCGATGAACCACATGCACAGGGAGCCGCCCGCAGCACCGATGAAGAGCATCCGGCGCCGCCCGACGTGGTCCACGAGCCAGAGCAGCCAGATTACCGTCAGCACCGTCTTGACGACGCCAAACACGCCCGTCGTGAGAAAGCCCGTGTTGGTGCCCGTGATGCCGATGCTGCGGAACACGGTGGGCGAGTAGTAGTTTATCGCATTGATACCGCTGCCGTTTTGAAGAAGGAACAGCATACCGCCGAGGAAGAAACGCCACTGGACCTTAGGCTGCTTGAGCGCCAGGAAAGGCTTCCAAAAGCCCTTGCCGACGTCCCTTTCGAACCTCTCAATGTCCCGGTCTATGTACTTGACCTCCTCAAGGATATACTGATCGGTGGGCTCGAGGTTCCGTATCCAGCAAAGAATCTTCATGGCCTCTTCCCTGCGGCCATTCGCAAAAAGCCATCTTGGACTCTCCTTGATCCAGAACACCCCAATCAGCAGCAGCCCACCGGGGATGAGCTGAACGGCAAAGGGAATCATCCACTGGGACCGGGTGGGCGCCAGAGTCGTGTTGACGCCGTAGTTGATCCAAAACCCGACCAAACCACCAATCTGCCAACCGAGCTCGTAGATGCCCACAAGCCGGCCACGGACGGCAGGAGGCGCCAGCTCCGAGATGTAGATTGGCACCATGTTGGATGCGCCACCCACGCCGATCCCCGCTAAAACTCGACCGGCCAGGATGGGCGCAAGGCCCCTCTCGGCGCTCGCCGCAAGCATGATGCCCGCCCCAAGGAGGAAGACGGCGGCAAAGACAAACAGGGACTTGCGCCGGCCGAGAAAGTGGCTCGTGCAGTAGGCAAACAGACTGCCAAAGAAGGCGCCTGCTTGGTAAACCGAGACAATGTTGGCCTGGAGAAGAGCGAGGTCGTCGGGGTCATAGGAGGAGAAGTCGAATTCCTTGGTGAAGGATGGGAGAGCAAGCGTGGTACCAATGAAGGCAGAGTCGTAACCGATCATGCAGGACGCAAACGAAGACACGGCGGCACAGGCGTAGACACGCCAGTTGTAGACGGCCTTTGGCGTCGGCCGGTCCTCCTTGAGCGCAAGGAGTGTCATCTTGGGGGCGTCTGTGTGGTGAGGGTTGTCCGATGGACAAGTGTTAGAGGGCACCCCTTGGGAAGATGCTCAAGGTCTGGGGAGACTGGAGCTGCTTTGGTGATCCTGGGATATCCAGATTTATAGGACGAGGCGATTGCCGATTTGGTTGATTACCCCGGACGGAAGCACCCCAGGATTCCAGACACTGGGGACTCACTCCGTTCACTTCTCCATGGGGAAGTCGCATGCTTTGGTGCTAGCAAGACAATGCCTCCGCATGAAAAATGTTGAACCGTGGAGGTGGAGGGGAAGCTTGACACACGCCGCGGCCGCGTACGCCGGGGAACAGCGAAGGCAGGTTTCGAACGGCAAATCATATTTTTCGAGAAAGCTAGTATTGTCGATCAGGGCATCCCCGCAAGTCGCAACTGGGAGTAGTTTGCTACCCCGATCCTAGTACGAGCCCCACACCGGGAGCCCGGCCGGCACTTGGGATGAATGCTCTGCCGGCGCGCTGTCAACCCTGACCGCCTCCGGCTACGTCAGATATGCCGAGGAAGAATGGTACCCGGTCAAACCCACTTCACATTCCATGTGGCTCTCCGTCACAGTTGTGGTTTGTGAGCCCTATAGCGCCGATCTTCCATCCAAGCAGCGAGACTTCAAACCTCCTCTGAGCGCTCTGAAATTGGTGGTAAGGGCGGTGGTGGTGAGCAGCGGCAAGCATCACCGTGTAAGAATCTCCAGCGACGGCGACGGCGTGTCAGTAAGAGCACGGCCCAGCTTACCGGCGCCGCGGACGAATACCAACCGACAGAGTGCCTTGATGGTCCCGGGAGAGCCAGGTCGTCAGGCAATGGAACGTTGGGAAGTGGCGTTTTCAGGAATGCACGTGGCTAATTGTCAGGGCTCCTGCGCGGTGATGTTGTTGAGCCGGGGCTCTAGTCGCGCAAAGTTGGAACGTCTATGGTCGTCAGGATATGCCTTGAAAACCTCTCGTCTCATCAGACGGCGGGGCGCTCTGCGTCCGGTGAAAAGCTCAAACTGAGCAAAGCCCTGCTCAGGCAGCAGATCCAGCCCGTCCATTACCAACCAGCCCCTATGGGATTCCTTCCGGACCTGCTCCAACAGTGGACTATTCAATGTCTTGTACTCGAGCTCTAGCACGACGCCACCCGTGGGACTCTCCAGCCACTGGGCGGGGACCGTGAAGTCCGGGGCTGGGCTGCCGCCAATGCCGTGCGTCGGAATGCACGAAATGATGATTGTGGGACGTTTGTAACCCTCTGGCCAGGAATCATCGAGAGACCGAATGATATGAAACCTCGTTGTCCCCTTGGGCCCGTAGATGGAGTTGAATAAAGGCAGCCCGTTACGGGCCAGTAACGTCTCGAAGTGCGAGACAAGCTTCTCGGCATGAGCAAGTGTCCGGTTGAAGATGAGGATATTCTTAACCCCGAGCTGCAACATGGCATAGACGGCTGCCCTGGCCATGCCACCGGCTCCGACGATGAGCGCGGAACTGCTGGGCCTCACTGCATTGGCGGGAGAAAGGCCGCGACGGATACACGCTCGAATACCAATCCAATCTGTGTTTTCTCCATAAAGGGCCTTCACCGGGCCTGCCAAGTTTCTCCCGTTGGATAGCAACGCATCGTTGGGGATGCTACCGTCACGGTTGAGATTCCGCACAGGAATCAGTGTGTTGACGGCACCAATCGCCCGGGCATGTCGGCTCAGGGAGTGTGTCAGGCTGATGATCTCAACCTTGAAAGGCAAACCGACCGAGGCACCAGCGAAGTGAGGGTCGTTGACGAGGTCTTGCAAGCTCGCGATGGTGCTTGTAGATCGAGGCTCGTAGTGATGGGGGATGCCGCAGGCCTTGAGAGCCGCGTTGTGCATGGCTGGGGACAAGCTGTAGCTGACATTGGCGCCAAAGACGTACAGTCTCATGGGGTGGTAGTAAAAGGATGAGTACAGAGCTTGCGTGGCTTCCAGGGCCGTCAGCGACGGATACGGCAAATCGGCGGTATCTGGGTTGGCTTGGTCATGATCTCGCTGCACGCCTCGCGGTATAACCGATGTAAGAATCTGGTTGAAACATGCCGACGTTCGCCCAAGGACACCCGTGTTGTACGCTATTAGCGGCAACCTCGGGCCCGGAACCGACTCCGCAGCGTGGTGGACAAGTCGTACGTCAAAATTGTCGGCAGAGCTGACGGCGGTTCTGGTGAATCTTGTCAAATTGCAGCCGGTGGCCTGGGCCTTTTCGTAGTATGAGCGCCAGAATGAGGCACTCCAGGGTGGTGGATCGGTGTCCTGCAATTGGAGGTTGCCCACGACTTTGCAAGCTCCCTTGGCGGTGATGATGTCGGACAGGAGAGAGCTGTCAAGCCTTAGATCGACGGTGATGTACTCGGGCGCGAGGCGTATGCCGTGTCGAACGTACGAAATGTACAGAGCTCGCCAGTACTCGTCGGAGAGCGCAGCGTGCGGAAATGCCACGTGAAGTAAGATTGGGATGACTGTATCCCGTCTGACCTGAGCCAATACACGGCTGATGTCGCTGGCTCGGTGAGTCAGGATGTCGGGGGACTCCCGCAGATGACTAGCGTAATTGGTAACGAGATCATCCACAACAATCTCTATGGCATCGGCACCAACTTCGAGCTCTTGAATGTCCAGGTCACCTCGAGAGAAGGATGAGAGCGACACCGAGATAGCGTAAGTGAAACGTCTCTCCTCCACGGGAACGCCTGCCAATGGGAAGGCAGACTCAATGAAAGGGATGGCGCCGCTCGGCAGGATCAGCGAAAGGAACTTGAGGAAGTGTCTCTCGGCTCGCTTGAGTGTGAGATACGGGGCGGTAGGTCGATCAGGCTCGGCCGTGGGCGAGGGGAGGCGGTCGTTTGTGAATTCGCTCGGCATGGAGTTATCCTCGGAGACGTTGAAGAATTCAAAGTGCGTGCACTTTCTGAAGAAGGTGCTGGTCGCGCCCATGATGTCGCGGGCTTTCTCGAGGGTCGCAATTCTGAGATGACTCTGGATGGCTTTTGGGTCGCGGAGAACATAGATGACAGGGTTCGTCTTTCCCAACCGCTCCAAAGCCGACTGGAGTTCCCGCTCGATCCACGAGCAGACAATGACGGCATTCTTCCCATGCCTGTCAAAGATATCGTACAAGATGCTGAGCTCGCGACTCTGGCAGGCTGCAGCGCCATAGGCCTTCTTGTAGGCTGGGCTGGAAAAACCTGTGACCTCACGAAAGGCCATTTCGAGATCGACGACTTTGCGGTTCATGGCAGACGAAGCGATCACGGCCAGGGTTGTCTTGCCGGCACCACGAACACCGGCGATGACGATAGATGCGTCTGCGTCGTAGCGAGCCGGCGCGCGGACGGAGGCTGTGTGCGCCGACGGCAATTGGCAAGCCGACTCGTACTCTAGCAGGTAGTTAGTCGATAACTCGGGTTGGCAAGACAGGGCCCGGGCAGCCTTACCTCCGGGAGCCGGGGCGGCTGAGAATGCCGGCGTCGCGTGGAAGGAAGGTAGGTGGGCAGCATCTCTGCTTTCGGCGGCCAAGAACCGGGGTGGTGGGCGCGGTTCGGGGCGTGGCTCTGGCGGCTGGCCGTCCCAGGACAATGCCATGGTCGCATAGGACCGCTTTACTCCGGTAACGACAGGCGATGTCATGGCGCGGTTGACAATTGGTAGTCAACAACTACCGAGCAAGCGGGGAGCATCTACGGTGAGGTGCCGATTGAAGTGCGCCGAGCGAAATGTGTCTGACAGTCCCCAAGTCACTGGTCAGCGGTCAACCCGGAAGCCTGAAACGGCCTGTCAACGGCGACAGCAGACATTGGTCACACGGTCCAGCTGAATGAGGGACTCGAGGAGAAGACGGGTATGGTTCCCGTGGTAGTCTTGCAGTTGCTCCGGGTTCGTTTGTGCCCATCAAAAGTCCCATTACTGGATGGTGATGGGATGGCCGAGCGATGCGCGAACGCACGGATGAGACGAAAAGGTTGCCCACTCTTTGGGACAGTGGAGTGATGGACATGGAAGCCCACAGACATGGTGGGCTAAGTGCAAATGTCACGCGCGGGGATAATTGTTCAACCCCCGGAAACCCCACTCGTTTAATCGCTTTTCCTCATCACAACTTCTCTCCGCAGAACAACCTCAACTCACCTGCGAACCGACCGGGGCATGCGCCAGACGGGCCTGGAGGCGAGGGCAAACCATATTCTGTCCCATCGGGTGCTGTTTGAGTGGAATTGGGCCTGCGTTCGCCGACAAGGGCTCAAGCGGGACTCGCAGCATCGGTACCTTGCATACTATCGACAGTTCGACACGCCTACCCCAGGGTAGCCCGTCAAACACGGCTGGCCTGGGCTCATCCAGAGCATAGACAGACCTTTGGGGTTCGCTCCCCAGAGCTTCCCCGCAGATCTGGCTCGTATGGAGCCACTGCCGGCTCCAGATCCAGCCGGGTCCAATCAACCTCAATCATATCCGAAGACGGGAAACTGGTGCGGCGGCATTGGCGTCTCTCGACCCGGAGGATGATCCAGTGTGACGGTGCAAGGCAGCCCTGATCGCGAGGCTAACGGATATGTACGTCGATGACCTTGGCGTCGGCACGAAACTGTCTGCGTCGGGCCGTCCGACGCATCCGCCCCCTTTGCCATGCCTCCGAAGCGGAAGCCGGCCGAACCCGAATCATCCAGCAACCCAAACATCGTGTCCCTTGGCCGACCCGAGGGTCTCGAGCCCACGGCACAACCAGCTCCCCCCAAACGGCAGAGGGTATCGAGAGCCTGTGATCAGTGCCGCGCGGCCCGAGAGAGGTGCGATGGCAAACAGCCCTATTGCTATCCCTGCATATCCCAGAGCAGGCCGTGTACCTACGAGGTGAGCCCCAGAAAGAGGGGTGTTCAGACGGGCTACATCCGCACACTTGAGCTGGCTCTTGGTCTAGTTTTTGAGAAAGTGCCCGGCAGCGAGGAGACTCTGGGTACTCTCGTCGGCCGGGACGGTCACCAAGGACACCTGATCCTGGCAGGGAAAGACCCTCTCGGCGCAGAACGTCTACAGAAGAGGTGGCGGAAGAGCAAAGTACACAGGGGGATAGACCGCATCCTCTCTGGCGAGACACTCTCCTCCTCAGTACAGGGCCATGGCGGGCTTTCCCCTTCGGCGGACGCTAGCGATATCGAGGCCAATGTACCTCCGGCACGCAACAATCCGGCTTCGGTAGCGCCAGACACGGAAACTGTCGCTCAAGAAACACTCAGCTCTCGACGCATGAGTTCCGCACATTTCCTGCCAGTTACCCCGAGCAACGAATCACTAGGAAACACGCGATCGCCAGCAATGCCGATGGTCGGCGTGTTCAGATTTTCACAAGCTTTGCCGGAGCATCTCAAGCTGCCTGCCAACCACTGGCGGTTGCTTGACATTTACTTTTCGTACACCCATTCCTGGCTCCCGATTCTCCAAAAGCAAGATCTATTTCAGGCATCCTATCTCTATCCAGACCAGGGGCTGGCCATCAACCCAAAGAATGCTGCCTCTGCTGTCCACGCCGAACTATGGGCTGCCCTCGCGTTGGCATCTGTCCAGGACGCCGCCAGCTCAAAGCCTTCCCCATCGGATTCCGCCGACCCGGCAAGCCCTTTCCCAGCCGAGGTCTATGACATTGCCCGCGCGCTCCTCCCGTCGGAGCATGGGCCATTTCAAGTCCACCACGCCCGCGCTTTCCTGTTGCTCGGCCTGGTCAACCTTGGGCAGGACAAGCTGTCGGCCGCGGCGCTGTTGACTGGCTCAGCCATTCGCATTCTCCTCAACCCAAACACGCTGCAGCATGGCACCCAGGACAGAGACGGGTCGAGATTCAAGCTGACCTTGATGTCTTGTTTCCTGATCGACACGATCCTCGCGGTTCGGTGTAATCAACCGCCACACTTGAAGGCCAACGATCTGGCCGCCTTGACGTTGGTGTCGGAGAATGGGGCGGACCAGTGGGAGCCGTGGACGCCCTGTGATGGTTTCGGGATAGGCAATGCGGGCTCTCGATCATCTCGAAGCTCTGCATTCTGCTTGAGCACCTTCAATCTACTCTTCGTCATAATGAAGGTGGTCTCCGGGGAAATGGCCGGAAGACGGCAACCAACCTTCTCGAGTGAGACATCGAGTACTTTCGTCGCTGAACTACAACACGTGGTAAACGGCAACCTGCAGTTTGGCAGCTTCATCGTCTCACCAACTTGCGGGAACGCATCGGTCCCGACCCCCTATGTTGCTCGAGTCACCTACCTCTGGGCTAGGGCGCTGGCGGAGCCGCAATCGGAGATGCTCCTGGAGCTGCTCCATGACACGCTCGAGCAATATCAACGCATTTTTGGGCGGTGCGGCACACCTCCCTTTCTTTCCGCATGCATCGCATCGTTTGCGAACGATGAGTATCTTCTCCGCTGTAGCGAGCAGAGCCGACAAGTCCTGAGACGCCTGGTATCCACCTATTCCCCTAGGCGGCTCGAAGACAGGCAACCTTGTAGTGTTCGCAACTCCCCGCCCGATCCTCTTTTCCGAACAGCACAAAATGCGCCGGAACCGCTCAGTTCAAACCGGTTGTCTGACTCGAGCAACACCCAGCTGAGCTATCCGTCTCCCGTTATTCCGTCCCTCTACAACAGTTCGACGAGAACACAACACCCCCAACCGCAGGCGACCAACAGGGAGTATGAGGCCTTCTTGGCCCCAAACATGGCGAACATGGCAGGCTCATATGACCACCGCTACTTCGCCAACCCATTATCAGCAACCGTGCCCACAGGAGGCAACAACATGCACATGCCGCGCCACCCTGGCACTGGCATGGCCGCCGCCATGTCCGGAGCAGCAACCGCAGTCATGGCCTCGACACAACACGAAAACCATAATCCACATCCACCAACTCACCATTTTATGAACAATCCCTCGGGACTGGGACCCAGCCCGGATTATGATGCGCTCCTTGCCGACCTCGCCTCGATCGAGTCCACTGATGCGCTCGAGGTTGACCCGCAGTTTATGACCAACCTTGGCTTTGCACCGGGGTGTGACATTACGGAGATTTTGACGCGCGATTTTGGGGCGGCGTGATTTTGGATATGTATTTTCTACAGCGGATTTCTCCCCTGTGAGATTGGTTGGAAACACTTGTTTTCGCGCATTATGAATTAGAAAAGAACACTGATAATGTCTGAAATCATAGTGGAAATGGATGATTGGAATGAATGGATATTCTCTCTTGTTTCAATTGAGTCGGATGGGTAAAGACGGTTGAGGTGGACATGCCTTGCCGGAGGAAGGGGCAGCATCCATTGATAAAGGCAACTGGGTCGCTACACTTCAAAAACTAAGGTGGCAAGATGGCCGAGCGGTCTAAGGCGCCACGTTAAGGTGAACCCTTAATTCCAATCTCCCAAAAGATTCCGTGGTCCGAAAGGGCGTGGGTTCGAATCCCACTCTTGTCAAAACTTTTGCCTGCCTCCAACATCTTATGTTTTTGATCCGTATGTTGTGTTCCTACTTTGAGCTGCGACTCAGCTTTCCTCTTCCCTTCGGAGGCGTACCCAAGCAGCTTTGCGATGCTCTATACCGGTGGAGACGCACGATTTCAGTCTTGCCCCGTCCATATCACAACGAGCACACTCCAGTAAACTTGGACTCGTTAACGGGGCCCATGATTCGAGTTCGGTGCGTGGGCCTCGATTTGTCGTCTAACGGAGCATAATCATGCCGCTGCCTTTCCATATGAAGGAAGTGATGGACAATGTTCCGTTTGCGTGCCCTTTGATATCCGTAAGAGTCCTTGCCATTGCTAAGCTCTACAGGTTTGGGACGCAGCTGTCCGGGCCGTGGTAAGTACCATTGTGTCCCATGTCGTCATGTGACAAGGACCAGAGAGGGCAAGGCGTGACGGGAGACCCGTCCATCGAGTAGCGAAGATTTATCCTTGAGATTTGTCCGACTTTAGCCAAGCGAATTGGAGACCTTCGGTTCGGCGCCCTTCGTACATGAGCAGGTTGCATAACAGAAACACGCGGCAAGAACGCTGGTTTCCGCGGAGCTGGCAGGTGTTAGCAACTTGGCATAGATTCGGGAGGCACGGAGGGGCCAGCAATTGCTATGTTCGGCGACGTTTCCAGCGATAGTTCTCCGTGTTGTTGTGCGATCCAGGAGACTCAGATGTTGTACACTATACAGTAGTGCACGCCTGTTACAACAGGAGACCAGAACAGCGAAACCGTTGTGGTCGACTGCGGTGGGGGACGACGATCGGCCAAGCCCATGCCACCTACCACTCCGGTAAATAATGGCATCTGTATCCGTAGGCACTATTACGTATCTCATACTACCTTACCTTGCATTGACGTTTTCTGCATTTTTCTGCATTTGCTGCTAGGCGCCGCCTTGCTTGCCGTCCCGGAACCGCGGGAGACGTCCCCAAGAAAATGAGGAAGCTGGAGCCCAGGGAGAGAGACTCGTCCGCTGAAAGTGGCTGAAGCTGTTATTTATCGCTCTGCAAAGGAATTCGCATCGAGTTGGCCGCGACAAGTGGAATGATCATCCTCCAATCGCCGGAAACTCCACAACCTGCTTCTCCATCAGGAAGGTGCATCAACTTGGAATAAAAAACCCACTTGTGTTGGTCAGATAAAACCGGGGCCCCAAACCCCTTTTTCTGATTATTGAGTTCACCAGTGTGTAGGAAAGCTGGAGAGGCGGTCCTGTCCCAGTCCCACACACGCGGAACCTGGGAAGGCCGATGAAGCCGGCAGTCCTCCGTTTTCGGAAAAGCCCAGACATCGTAATCCGTCATCGCAGCATCAGCTGTCCAACAGCGATGCTAGCGACCGCCATGGTCAATTGCCTCCAGCTCGTTCGTGCGATCGCCACTCCCGTCCGTTTGCCCGTGGTCAGCTGAAGTGTGCACCCTTTAGACTTTTTTTGCTGGGCAAATTACGCATGCCCAGCCGGCACTCGTGGCGGGGAGTTGTCAAACCAGCAGCGGCTGGTGCTTGGTTCACCGCTTGGCAGCGTATGCTTGTTTGTCAGGCGACGCGCCGTCGCTGGCTTGACTTGCAGCGTGGCGCCAGCTCAATGACGAGATGCCGATCTTGCAGTCTTGGCACCAAGCCTGCTAGCGCCTTGGAAGATTCGATTCAGCGCCACGAGATCCCTTGGCGTTTTCCAGCAGTCGTTCTGTTTCAACTTCGCAAGAACCATCCATTCACCAAGAACGTGAGATGAACCATCGCCAACGACTTTTTCAGCACTCCGACACGCAGGAATCTGGTAAATTAGAGACCCATACCTGATGAGGTCTTCTCCCAAGTTAGGGGGTGGGTTGCGGGTGCAACCAACGCGGCCAGATTCTCGCTGTCCTGGAATTGGGCCGATTCATCCAATGTTGCAGAGATGCGATCTGTGTGTAGCCTGCCCGTTGGACAAATCGGGGCCTTCCCTAGATGCAATCGCACACATCGCTTCGGTGAGCACTCGTTTCTGAAGAAGCCTTCTCCATGAGACCAGGCCTTGCTTCATCTCCACGACCCGGCCCTTGCAACGTGGAAGAGAACCTTGCGGTTGTCGGAGCACTGCGATGGCGCCTCAACGGGTATGCGTGGCCTAGGACCCTTTTACATGATTATTCCCGTACTTCCATTGAGCCGGTGCCAGGGCCCTTTTGGGTTTACCCCAGACATTGGACGACGTCCCCGCCTCAACGATCAGCCCAGCACCCAACAAGCCACTCCGTCAACTGGGACCTTAACCGTCGAACAGGTCACTCGCTAATGGCGGGTCAGGCCTTTTCTGCAGTGCGAAGGCGTTCCCCAACGGATCACATATCGGTACCTTTCTCTAGTGTTTCTAGCGTGAGGTTTCGTCATGAACAAGCGTTCGTCATCCCTTGCGCGCCTCGTCCGGAACCGCTCTCAGATTTGCAACAAGCATTGCAGAAGATTTTTGGGGCCTCGAGGTGGCTCAGATTGGTGGCAGGATCCTCTCTTCCTGTGCTCCACGCCCCCAGGAGACCCCAAGTTCTGCATGTGTGCTGATACTCTGGAAGAGAGCATTCTTACCCACATTTCGAGCCATCAAAGCGGATATTTTTTGACAATGACAAGCCTAGAGATGCTCCACGTTTGTCAGCTTTCCCACGAGGTGGGGCCGTCCATGACTTGTGGGGATATGATGGTTCATGGTGCTGGCCCGTTATTCGCCCTTCTCATCTCAACAGTTAGAGCTTGTGTTCTCTCGAGGGAAAGCTCAGTACGGCCTTAAAGCCAGTGCCGGCAAGTTTGCTGTCCCCGTGGACGCCAGCATGACTTGAACACAAGCTCGGTAGATTATCCGACAATCCGAAGTCACAAAGTGATTGTTGGAAGACCCCGCCGCAATATCCCATCCAGCCGTGTAATACCCTGGGATATTGGTCGGACGAGATCCATATGTCCCGGGATTTGCTGCTCGACCCTATCAGACAGCCACCAAGACCGGGGATCTGTACCGAAAGTTCATGTCAGCGACCACGGGGTGGGTGGGTTCGGCGGATGAGAGGAGCAGGCCCGGGCTGCTCGACCCGCCCCTCCACTCACTGGCGTGCTCTCTGATTTGACCATGCCCAAATCACTGGGGTTGCTCTGCACACAAGACCTAGTAGCAAAGCAAACCCGGGCTGGTGTGGGTGTTGCGCAGAGCACTACCCTACAGAGTATATGAGGCACGTCACCCCTTGGTCACTGTTTCACCCCAGTATTGCTCCTGAGGAAACTTTGCCCACCTTCGTGCCTGGCTGCTCATCGCCTGCCGTAACTCTCCGCCATAGTCAAGGAGTTTGGCACCGCCGTTCAAACAATCAGCTCGCCAGATATTGTCATCGTTAGCGACCTCGACCAACCGAGGCACAGCACAATGGCCGACGCGGTGAACCACACGGCGGCCGAGAAAGATCTTGGCCACACCACGGGCTCTGCCACTTCGTCGAACGGTGTGAATGCGGCCCACCACCGCGGCTTCGACTACCGGAATCCGATGCAACACCTCCACTCCGACAACGAGCCCCGGCTGCCCGCCTTCGGTGGTGAGTTCCAGCCCGGTCTCTGGCGGCCGCAAGAGCACCGCAAGTTCGCCAACCCCGCGCCGCTCGGTCTCTCCGCTTTCGCTCTTACCACCTTCGTCCTCTCGGCCATCAACATGAATGCGCGCGGTGTAACCGCGCCCAATGTTGCTGTTCCCCTCGCATTCGGCTATGGTGGTCTCGTCCAGCTCCTCGCGGGCATGTGGTAAGTTGGGATGCCATGAACTAGCGGTAACAGTCCGTTGGGATCTGACACATGTTGCTAGGGAAATGGCTGTCGGTAACACCTTCGGTGCCACCGCTCTCTCGTCCTACGGCGGTTTCTGGATCGCCTACGGGATCCTTCTCACCCCTCACTGGAACATCACGGGCGCCGGCGGGCCGTACATGACTGACGAGACCAAGGCGGTCGACCCCAAGATGGTGGACTCGGCAATCGGCCTCTTCCTCACGGGCTGGTTCGTTTTTACGACTATCCTGCTGCTGTGCACGCTGCGCTCAACCGTCATGTTCTTCCTGCTCTTCTTCACGCTCGACCTGGCCTTCCTGATGCTCGCCTGCGGCCACTACGCTAGCGACAACGGTGCGACCGAATCGTCCCACAGGCTTACTCAAGCCGGTGGTGGCTTTGGCATGATCGCGGCCTTCTTGGCTTGGTATAATGCCTTTGCCGGTATTGCCGATAGCAGGTGTGTATCCCCTCCCCCTTTTTCGCTGCTTCATTTTACTCTTCGCCGCTGTCGTCGTCATGACTTTGCTCGGTCGTCCAAATTTTTCTTCGCCTGCCGGGACCTAGCGTCGGGTGTGGTCGTTGGCTAGCATAAGCCAAGCCCAATCAATGGCACGCCACCAGCGTCACCCAAGAAATGCCCAGCTTTGCCCAGCTTTTGAGCCGCATTCGATGGAATGGTTTGGCTGACGCAATTTGTTTCTCTTCTACAGCAACTCATTCTTCCTCATTCCTGTCTTCCACTTCCCATGGTCGGAGAAGGGCCGCGAGCTCCGTCTCGCAAAGTCGGCTAGCCGCAACACTACGACGGCTGCTTAGATGGTATATTTTTTTTGGGGGTATTTTGGGTTACAGCTTTTAGTTTTGGAAACTTCTTGATTTTTTGGGTTGCGTTGGTGCTTCGGTGTGGTGGTATTCGCACTCGCTAATGTCCGCCAATGTCGTCAAACGCTCTTGACATGCGGCGCAATTGTGGGTGCGCAACTGGGAAAACGCCATATGGGGGTTGGATCAAAGCCGAAATGATATCCGTTTGTAATATTTACCCACCAAAGAGAGATGGACTTAAAGACCTCCCTGACTCGGATGTTGTTTCTGCGGATCTTTTGACGAACGTGGAGGTTTGGACCACGAGTCGTGATTGCACCTCCACACGTCTCCATGCTGGAACACGTTGCCGGGTTCTCTTGAAAGGCACCCGCAATGCTTGGAGAACTGCCGCATACTACATCCTCGTCTCGACTGTAGCGCTTAACGACCTTTTTTATCGGGGAACCCGCTGTGTTTTCTGCTAGCAGTTTCCCAACAATTTTCTTGAGAGGATGGACTTTTGGAGCGAGCCCAGTATTTCGACTCCATCAACATTTCTACCGAAAGGTACCACCACTTTGCCTTTACATGAAGAGGTCTAAGGCAGTAATGCAAACTGAAGTAAATTGCCCTCTCTCACGATGCATCATACTTTCTAAGCCTTTTTCTTATCATTACGTACGCCTACGGCTTACAAGCGCTCGCTCTATATCGAGCTACACCTCGGATAGTGGGTCCGCTAGCTCGGCCCTATATCGTGGCTTACGCCAGGTGACTGAACGACCCGAGCGAGCCTGAGTAAGGCTGCGTTTTGAAAAGCGAATTGGCAATGACGGTTTCCTTTTTTTCCTCTCGATGTAATAAAGACCTGGATTGGCGGTGATGTCGCTGCGAAATGTTGTGTGGTAGGAGGTGCGTCGTTTTACTGGGCCTGGGAAGTCGAAATACTGGGCTCGTTCTGGAGATGCCTATCTAGGTACAGTACATCCGTACTGTAGAACACAATTTGGTACCTTTGCAAACTTTTACTGCAGAAACCCGATTGGAAACTCCGACTTCATGCACACGACGCCAAGACATATCAGACGGACTTCTCATTGTGATCGTGGCACCTTCCTCAGTTCCACAGGATCATTGAACTGCGGGTGATGAGGGAAGGAACGTATCATGGTGTGATGCAGTCCAGGAGAACTGAGAATGGAAGGCACGAAATCCTAATAACCCTTCCCCCCCACGGCAACCTTCCTTCTCGTCTCTCCCCCCGCCCACCTTTCTCCCTTTCCAGCTACGACGTAGGCCTTGGAAAGCTGACTTTGAACTAACCTCTCCAGCGCCTGATCTCTGCTTGTCAAGAAATCGGATGATGGGAGACAGGTCAAGCAGAAGCAGTATCTCACAAGCCGTCCCACCCTTTCTTGTTGTGCTGTCCCGACATCGTGCAATTTGCTCGTATCGGACGCCCACAGGCAGACAAGCATTCGATAGCAGCCCAATATAACCTGATGTCCGCTTCATCCCAAATGAGAGGGGCGACATCCGTGAATTACACGACGTGTCTAGACTAAAAATCAAATCGGAATGCGTTTGCCTCTTCTTCGACTGTTAGGCTCATTCTGTGAACACTTGGTGCTGCAACTCTAAAGCCTTTACGTGTGTTTAGGTATAGATTATGATGACAAGACAGTGTACCCCCTCGATAGTGTTTCCCAGCATGGTTCTGATACCCAGCACAGCAATCTTGTACCACCGCCTCGGTCTGTCTGCTCAAGCGAACTGCTAACCAGGGAGCAACAACATCAAAGCCCCATCCAGAATCAACGGTACGTCAACATGGCTTCAGAATGCTGCCAAGAATGGCACGGATCAGAGCTTCCAGGACGACACAGTCCGGTCCGCGAGATCTCGCCTTTATCCTTCCATCCCCGAGTCTATTAAACAGCACAAAACCCTCATCTCAATGCTAATGGACCGACCAGAGCGTCGACCAGAGCGTCGACCAGAGCGTCGACCATAGCAAGCCTCGCATGCATCGAGGCGCAGGCACGGCTTCGCGCGGCGCAGCTATCGTCATCTCCCTCCTCGCAAACTGCAAGGAACAAGGCGACCGAAGCGGAAGTGACCAGACACCTCACCAAGACCGCCACCGAGAACGAAAAGGCCAACAACAGCACCACCAACACGGCCACCACCCAAGCAGCAGTAGTAACCGGCGTCGAGTGCCGCACCGCCTCCTCCAACTCCACCAACGCCCTCCACGGCTTTGTGGTCTTCGCCACGAGCGGCTTCGGGGGCGACAAGTACCCCTAACGGCCTGCTAGCCCAGTACCGCCCTGATATGGTCGGTCTGCCGTCGACCAACGGCCCATGGGCCCGGCGCGCACACGGTGTTCTCCGCCGTCGGCGCCCGGTTAATGGACATTGAGAGCGTGCAGATCCATCCGGCGGGCTTCGTCGACCCTTCCAACCCGCAGGCAGCGGGTAAGGTTCTTGCGGCTGACATGTTGCGTGTTGAAAGGGGAAAATCTGCTGTACCGGTGGATGAGGTTTGCCGACTGAATGAGCTTGACACTAGGGAGAAGGTAAGCAAAGCAGTGGCGGGGCTGCGACCTGTTGATGATGATGAGGTGGAAAGGGGTTGTCTGCGTCAGTGGGATGTGCAGTTGCTGCTTGACCCGGGCAAGACACAAACAGGCCGCGGCGGGGCATGTTGGGTTCTAATCTGGGAAGGGACTGTTGCAGAAGAAGACGGTGCGGGGGCTGAACGAGGTCACGAGGAAGACGCTGCGCGGGTATGTCAGGGCAGTGCGTGGGGAGAAGAAGGACGAATTTGGGCGGGTCACGTTTGGGCACTGGAGGCTTGGTATTGTCGACGGCGGCGTGGACGTAGTCGACCACGACGCCGAGGTGTGTATCGGGAGGATGACGCCCGTCGCGCACTTCACCATTGAGCGGTGCCGTCTTCAACGAGCGGGCGCGAGTTAGTCGTCAGAGCTAGGGGAAGAACAGAGACCGATCCAAGGGCTGTGGGGATCCGGCGAGATCATAGGAGGTCTCCATCGCGATAATCGCCTTGGCTGCTCATCGCTGCTTGAATGCGTAATGTTTGAAGGGGTTGCTGGAGAACAGGCTGCGTTGGTGGGGACTCAGATGCATTCATGAACACCCCAAGAAGGACGAGGTACACTCACCTCCTGATGACCCCAAAAACGAGGAGTCAAGTTAAAACTCCTCCGTCCGGAACGCTGGAGGCCTGCGCGTCACAATTCGAGGACCACCACCATGGAGATGTCGGTGGTGGATTCAATAGCATTTCCCGGAAACGGCTAAGGTCCAGCTTCAGCTGTCGATGATGCCAAAAACTAGCCGAAGTTGACCGAAGTCCGGGTTAAGGGAATGGCAAGAAGTTCAAAGGTTATGACAGCAATATCATGTTCAAGTCCTGGGTCGGAACACGACAATGCCATGTTTGGCAGCTCCGGGAAATATCAGACAAGGAGAGGCGCTTGACGACGTCGCGAGGAAACAGACCATGCCAGCCCGAGAGTGTGGTGAGGAGAAGGGGATTGAAGATCAGAGAACTTCGGACGGTCGACCTCATCGAAGTCGAGCATTGTTGCTGTCTCAAAATCCGAGACATATTCCATGTCACCGTCTCGGAACTGCTTCCCACTGTTGTCGGCACATTGCCGGATTTATGGGCGGCGAAGTCATGTCGAAGCAAGGTCCGTAACGGCGGGATAAAGGGGCGGAGAAGTGGTTTGAATAAAACAGGAAAGAAGGTCAAGGGCCTAGTATGTTTGTCCCAAGGCCAATGGCTGAGTTCTTCCGGCATCCCAGTACCGATATTTTCGCGCGAGGAGGATCTTGTCACACTTGGTCAGCATGTGTTCGACAGTGTCTACCTACGTCTGGGAGACCAGGATTCCTGGGGGCGACAGCGGGCAAGATGGAAGTACACGTTCTTACTGCGGCCTAGTTCATGATATCCAAGGATGACTGATCAATTACGGACTGCCACAACTTCCCACGAACGGACAAACTCAACGGGCCACGGGCACCCATAAGTGTCGTTGATATTGTGAAATTGATTCAGGCGATCGTGCTAAAACTTCGACAGCCTCAATCTATGCCATTGCCGGAGCCCATGCAAAGCCCAAATCCATAGACGCCCCGAAGCACCGTTTTCCCCGCTGACTGAGCTTACCCTCACCCAGTACCTTAGTGAGCATACCGCTTGCCGTCCCGCAGGGTGTCGGCAAACTCCTCCAGAGGGCTCCTGATGAGCTTAGTCTCCTTCCACAGGTTGGGTGTGAGGAAGCCGTAGGTGTTGGAGACGGCGGCAAAGGTCGCCTTGAGGGTGTTCTCGAGGGTCTTGGTCGAGCCGGAGGACGAGGTGTAGGCGTCCTCGATACCGGCGAGCTGGAGGAGACGCTTCACAGCGGGAGAAGCGACGAGAGAGGTACCGCGGGGAGCAGGGATAAGCTAATAGATACCAGTTAGCACATCCCTAACCAACCCCCTTGTATTGCCGCTGAATCTGGTCGCCTGGGGCACTTACGCGGACGGTGACGGAACCGCACTTGCCGCTCTCCTTGGTGGGCAGAGAATGGGGGAGACCGAGGTTAGCGCCCCAGTACCCACGCCGCACGGGGATAACGCTGAGCTTGGCGATGATGATGGCGGCACGGATGGCGGTCGCAACTTCCTTCGAGGTCTTGATACCGAGACCAACGTGGCCCTCGGAGTCACCAATGATAACAATGGCCTTGAACCGGGTGCGCTGACCGGCACGAGTTTGCTTCTGTACAGGCTTGATCTGTTGTTTGGGGAAAAATGACCGTTAGAAACCCGCCAAATGCAAAGCCGGTCGGCCAGATCCCGCCATGCGCACCTTCATGACCTCATCCTTGAGCTTGGGCAGGAAAAAGTCCACAATCTGGTACTCCTTGATGGGGAGCGAGTGGAGGTAGATCTCCTCCATGCTCTTGATCTTGCCGGCCTTGACGAGACGGCCGAGCTTGGTGACGGGCTGCCACTCCTTCTCGTCGCTCTTGCCGCCGCCGCGACGTCCACCACGGCGACCGCCACGGCCACGGCCACGGTCACCACCACGATCGCCACGAGAAGCGAAGCCGCCGCCGCGGGCACCAGTTCCCCGATCAGCCATTGTTGTAATTGTCGGTTGGATTGTTGAACGGGAAGTGTTGTCGTCGCGGGACTCGGGTCGAACGAATACCTGGGTCGGTCGACGATTTTCGAGGTGGGGAGCTTTTTGCTGTGAAATTCTCGTGTGCCAAGCACCAACCCTAAAGTGGTGTGGGACCAAGATTGCAGGCCGCCATTGGTGGAGACATCAAGGTGGGCCCTGCAGCTCACCGCTCACCGAGGTGAAGAGCCAGATCATCACCTAACTACTTCGATTGAGGCGCATGTCACCAAGATACCATGGATGGTCATGAATTTTGATAGGGCCTCAAGCGCCAGCACAATGCTTTTGCCTATTGCTTGAACTTCATGAGACCAAACCGACCCGGTATAATCACAGAACCTGCAGATCGCTGAAATGACCATGTTGAAAAGCACAAACCGGACAAGGGAATAGCCGAGTGTTGCAGTTGCAAGGGAAGCGGCGTCGCAAACCAGACGACGCCAACATCACGCCTGGTAGATGTCCGACCAGAAGTTGCTCAACTGGCATCATATCATCCCGCGACCGGAACGCCTACCACCCGAAATACAGGCCAGGAAGAGCCGCCAACAGTGCTTGCATGCCATGATGATGAGCCCCTTGCGATACCATGCCAACCAGCCGAGTCCAAACGCCGTTAAGTGATTTAATCCCCCATGTTCCCGAAATTCCGTTACACCACCTCGCTCCCTCTTCCTGTCTCCCTCCCCTAATCATCCTGTCCCTATCTCTGTTTTCTAAGCGGTCGGGTTCGCGTTCATCTGTCCATTCGTCAGTCATTGCGAGAGACATCCTAAAACACAATCCATCGCCTTCCTTGCCTTCCGCTTGCCGCCTGGAGTGACAGTAACGTTGACGAAGCGCCGGCTGTACAGCTCGCGCTTATGGGCGCGGCCCTTGGGTGTCTTAGGCTTCTCCTGGGGTTCGACCTAGAAAGGCGGTACGCGCGCTGTGTTAACCACGGAAAACCGTGGTCGTCGGATCATGGGATGTTGATGCATAGGATCCATACCTTGGGAGTTTGCGATTTGACCTTGCCTGCGCGCACTTGTTAGCAATCACTCCTTCTCCGAGACCGCCGTGGCGCATGACGCCCAAGCTTTGAAGTCAGTAACTCACCAGCGCGGGCAAGGGAACCGTGAACTTTCCCCATGTTAAATATAAAAGTTGGTACTGAGCGAGTGATCAGAGACTCGTGTCTTCCGTGCGGCGGTGGTAGATTCGATGATTGAAATCCGGCAGGCTGCTGGGTGAGGCAGCCAACTGGGTGGGCTGTTGGCGCAAAATATAGGGTGGCCCACTGATGACTCGACGCCCGCGATCCACGGGTTAGGGTTAACTATGTACTGCAAACGCCACATCACCTGCGACCTGGTTTGCAATCGCCGCGGACGCGTGTCTCTTCTGAACTGCAGTGTATCAAACTCTAATGAGGTGTAAGTCATCGCCATTACAGTGGGTATCATAGGTTCATCAATCTCTCGCAGCCACTGCTTCCTCCTCATCTCTTCCCGCTGCCGTGCTCTGAGTCCCAGTCCTCCTCAAGACTTCCTCCTCATCTCTTCCCGTTGCCATAGTCAAATTCTCGGTGCTTTGCAGAATAATTGTTCCTCCTTCGAGCATGGCATGTCCCAGACCTGCCATTACCATTTCCCACAACGCCGGGACTTACAACTATGCGCCAGCGTATGGTGTGGGCTGGCCAGTGGCAGTGTGCCCTTTGTTCCCTCGCAAGAATGCCATCGTATGGACAACAGCAAAGAAGGTGAAGAGCGCCCAAAGGAAGAAACCGAATGCAATCGCCGCCTGCCAAGAACCGCAATAATTGTTGCCAGCGCAACTACTGGTGGCGCCGTACGAGGCCAGAGTGATGGAGCCAGCGAACCAGAAAATGACGGTGATCCACTCGATGACTAGCGCCGCGAGGCTGTGGTAAAGGCGGGAGAAGTAGAGGGGCGTCAAGAAGAGGTAGGCGAGAACCAGCAGGGACCAGAGCGAGTTGAATAGCATGAAGCCTAGGATGCTCGGCGTCCCCCAGCGCCATGGGCTGACAACTGTAACATGGTTAGCAAATGGTATTATTCGAAGGTCGCTTGATGTGTTGACTACTCACGGTAAGACGTCAAGCCTAGCTCTATGACAGCAAAGACAGCCGTAACGGCCTGGGCGATAGGTACGAAGCGCTCCATTGCGGCGATGTCCTTGACAGAGCGTGCTGTCAACAGTCGGAGACTTCGGTGTCTCGAAAACGGGAGGTTGTTGAGAGACTTATTGAAGCAAGAGAGAGTACCTGGGTCTGAGCCCTCCGACGGAAAGGTCCGCAGGTTATATATCTTTCTGGGTTGTCGCCTGTCGTCAGCTTCGGGGTGTGCATTGTCTTGCTGGGGAACAAGCTCACGGAAGGAGGGATGACGTGTTGCAGGTAATGTGAACTCCAACCTCAGCCCGACAGCCACAACTCAGAGTAGGACAGTTAAGATCGGACGTTCCAACACCGCTGTTCTGGGCTTGGTCAGAAATGGAGTCAAACAAGCAGGACAGAAGAAGGGGATTACAGCTCTTCCTGCTTTTGTGCAGGGACAGCGAAGGATACCCAGAACGGAACAAATGAACGAAGCGCTCTGACGTAATCGCTTGGACCATTGCAGACATGCAGTGATTTCAATATCCGTTTCCGTTTCCGCATAAGCGCCGGCTGAAGAACCCTGCCAAGCTTCGGACGAACAGGTCGGAGAACCTCCGCCATCACATCTCTCGGTGTGAAACAATGGGATGATATTTTGGTATAAGACAAATTACGGTACAATCGCCGTAACAGCTGGACTGGCTCGGAATTGGTTAACGTTACCTCTGACAGTTAGAGCGAGCCAGGCCAACCCCGAACAATGACCGTTGCATGGAAACTCTACGGTAGCCTCACCAGATCAGTTCACAAGTCATACAGCCACTTCACCGCAGCTCAAGAAATTGGTCATGGTGATGCTTCCAAAAGGAGCCAGTGCTCAGGAAATTTGCAAGACCACAAGGTACCATAACCATCCGAGAGCCACCGAGCGGTTTCTACCTCCGTCGGCATAAGAAGTTCCTAACGTACATCCTGTTAGCCAGCAAGTCTGACTGCAAGGTAGCTCAAAGTCGAGCGGTGAGGTATCCGTGCGTCCAACCGTGCAATACAGGGCGACATTCTGCAAATGTGAGTGCTCTCAACGTGAGGCATTCCCGGTCTTCGCTCCAAAGGGACCTGCCGTGGTCAGGGATGGCGAGACAGTTGCTGCAGAGAAGAGAACGGAGGCTCAAGCTGCCTTCTGATACTCAGGACACATGACGACTCATGATGAGAAGCAAGCCCCAGCAAATTCACATGAGCCAAAAAACAAAGTCGAACTTCCAGTCCGAACCAGGCAGGAGGGATGCCATCCGCACTCCAGAGGGATCCTCTTCGGCCACGCCCCGGGGCTTACGTTGAAGCGCCAAGGCCCAACTTTAACACCGTACTACACCTGACTCTGTGTTGGACTCATTTCCCTCCTCGACAACAAACTCGAAGACGGAATGGGGAGGGTTTCAGAACTAGCCAGACATGCGCCGCCGCCGCTGCCGCCGCCTCTGCCACCGCCTCGCGGAATGCGGCGGGGTCGGTTCATCCCAGCAGTGGTTATCTCGGCCGTGATTCTCCTCGGCGCCTTTCCGCAGCTGCGGCCCAACCCCGACCGGTCATGCCCAACTTCCGACTCAGCCGGGCACTTCGCTTATCACGGCGAGCATGTGGACAGAACCTCACCTTACGGCATATTCCCGTCGGAGACTGACCCATTCCATCTCATTCCATGCACCCCAGCGACATTACCACCGCCGCTTGATGATAGCAATCCCGGGCAAGCTTGGGCTTCTCGTTTTGACCGCAACCCGAGCCATTGGAGCTGGGCCTCCCCTCGGAACAAGGGGAACGGCACCAGAGGGGAAGATCCGTATGCCGGGCGCGGGATCTACATGTGCGGATACCTGGACGTCCCCCTCGACTACACTAACAAGTCCGACAGCCGGATCGCCCGCCTCGCCGTGACCAGATTTCGAGTCTCAGGCCTGGCACGAGTTGGCGACAAGTACTAGCATGTCTAGCGGTAGAAAAAGTGAGAGGACAATTGCCATTGAACCTGGCGGACCCGGAGGTAGCGGTACCTTGTACGCATGGCGTGCGGCAGAGACCATCAGCGCACGTTTCAGTGATGGCAAGTTCGACGTGCTGGGCTGGGACCCGCGGAGCGTGAACGCCTCGCTCCCCGCCATTGCCTGCTGCCCCAACGACGCGAGCCGGGATCGCTGGAGCCGCCTCACATCGCTTCACTACACCGTCTCGGCATCACCCCGGCAACAGCTTGAGCTGGTAGACGCCATGAACGCGGCCGTCATACGCGCCTGTTGGGAAAGGCACGGCGATCTCGGTCGTTTCGTGGGTACTGGGATGGTTGCGCGGGATCCGGAGCAGATCCGGATCGCGCTCGGGGAGGACGAGTTGACGGGATACCTGTAAGCTATGGAACGGGCATTGGCCAGACGTACGCGGCCATGTTTCCGAACAGCGTGGGCCGGCTCATTCTGGACGGTACCGAGTGTGTGCGGGACCACCGCCTGCGCGGGGGGTTTGGCTGGACGGCGCTAGATTACGCCACCGACGCCTGGCACGATGGTTTCTTGGGCGAATGTGTGAACGCAGGCCCCATGTATTGTGCGCTTGCCAAGCCGACGAAGGAAGACGGCCCCGCTACGCACCTGGACCTTGAGGCTCGCATGGATGCTCTGGTGGCGTCCCTTGCCTATCGTCCGGTTCCAGCATACCTCCCGACCAGCGGCCCGACCTTGGTGACGTATTCTCACCTTGTCGACCTGATATACGGCGCGCTGTATAACGCGAGGAGTTGGCCCGCGCTTGCTAGTGCGCTTATGAGCTTGAGGGAGGCAACTTGACGCTCGCGGCTCCTCTTCTCGAGACATCGGCGTGGTGGTATGATCCGGAGGCCCCTAGCTCGCCGACACCAGTTCCGGGGTCAGATAATGAGCTGGGCAACCTCGTTATCTGCGCGGATTCCTTTGACGTCCAGGATCCCGACGACCTCGACCGGTGGCTGTCGCTGTGGGGCAACATGACGACGGGGAACTGGATCGCGGGCAACTCCCGAATGTATGGTGTTCTTCCGTGCCGGCACTTTTTGACGTACTGGCCCCAGCCGGTAGGTGTGTATCGGGGCGACCTCAACCACACGCTCAGGCATCCGGTTCTGCTCATCGCCGAGACGTATGATCCGGCCACTCCGCTAGGAAACGGGAGGAGGTTGCTACAGGAGATGGGATGGAACGCGCGGCTGATTGTGCACCACGGATATGGCCATTCGTCAAGGGATACCTCGAACTGCACCGAGACGATGGCCAGGGCGTTCATCCTCGACGGCACCCTGCCGGAGGAGCAAGAGACGGACTGCTACGCTGATGAGAAGCCGTATCTCTATGGGGTAGAGAAGGTGGTCGCGACAGCGCTGCCTGAGACGAAGGATCCTGCCGAGGCCTGGCAGGGACACCTTGTGAAGCTCTCATTCTTGGCTCCGCAGCTGCTGCATGCCATGTAGTGTCTGAGCTTGGGTTAGATGCTGAGGCAGGTATCAGGTCTCAAGATATGGATTGATTTGCGTGATGTTGGACATCGCGGTTACCTTGATCTTTCGTTGAGTAATGTGTTGGCCGGGGGAAGAGGGCCGGTCATGTCGACGGCCGAAGCAGAAAACTGAAGACCAGTTGAGGGATTGGGAATGTCCAAATATGGTAAGTGCGCAAGCCGGTAGTGACATTCGGAAATTAACTGAAAACCACTAGTTATCTACGCTCAACCCGGATGGCTCAATTTCAATTGCTATTTATATGATCATTGCTCGCTAAGTTCAGGTGGCTTTATAATTCCCTATTCAGCTAGTAGCTATATCTACTTCATATAGTTCTAAGAACTATAACCAGGATCAGCTCATTATTTATTCGATATAGTACTAATTTATCATGCTAGCCTATAATAGCAATGACTTACACAATGAGGTGGCTGCATTGATGCACAAACTACCTTTTCAATTAATTTCCGTATGTCAATACTGGCTTCCGTAGTAAGGCCATGTCCCCGGCTAAGATAATCGCTGTTTTACGTTCACGTGGTGTCGCGCAAATGACGTGTTTCACTACTCAAACGATTTCGGATTCACTCAGCTGGGCGCCCCCACTCCACATCGCGCCTGGTGCAACAATCAGCGTTCGTAACCAGGCCACTGGCTCTCAACCATTCCTGTGCCGTCTGTTCGTGTCGTACATTCGCTAGCCTATAATTGATCCTTCGTCCTAGGAGGGGATCATGTGGTTACTTGAGAGCGAGTTGTTTGAGGGTGCGTTTGCCGCGGTAGCTTTGCGCATTCGATGACGGTAAACTGACAGAGGACCAGATCGGAAGCTCTGGTTGCGCCCAGGGAAGACCTACCTATTTGGTCGCACTGTAGCCGAATGTAGGTTCCGTCTCGATGTTGTCTGTGCGTGGAGCGTTCTCAAAGCTGCTAACTCTAGCTTTCCGACTTCAGCGGGCCAACTTGCCATCGATCACAAGACCATCTCTAGGAAACATATCACGATTCAGGTTGAAGATGTCCCTGAGGGCGGCGGCGTACGTTGTCCCTGGTATTGTTGGCTCTCTGCTGGCGCGTTGTGTTGTTGGTCACTGACCTGACCTCTACGCAGCGTAACCTCCGCTCACGATCCACCATTACGATCAAAGACCTTGATTCAAAGAAGGGGACGCTTCTGAATGGCGTTCAGATACGCGGCCAGAAGAAAACGCTGACAGAAGACGTGAACGAACTGAAGTTGGGCCTGTGTCCCCAGCCCTTCCGGTACGCCATGATTTCGAAAACACTGCAACAGTTGCTGACGTGTATCTCCTCATTTTAGTATAAGATGGCACCCGATCGTCCTCAGTTTCTCTTTCACCGCAAAGGAACTGAGCGCAGATCCTTGGACCAGACTCCGCGACAGCTTGGAGCACCTCGACATCAAGTACTCGGCCGAATACGAGAGAGAAACCACTCATGTCGTCTCTAGGAAACGCAATACTTCGAAAGGGCTACAGGCGCTGGTCAACGGCAAATACATCGTTACCGATAGCTTCATCAGTGCTATCGCAGACGCAGCTGAAATTCCAGAAGATGCAGAAGGGGCGTCCAGTGCCTTGGAAGAGGACTTCAAGGCCGCTTGGCCGAACCCCATCGAGCATTTGCCCCCACGCGGTGAGGAGCCCTCCGACCGGCCGCCGGAAGCCTACTCCCCTGATGGCCGGCGAGCCGAGGTGTTTGACGGATACATGTTTGTCTTCTATGAGAGGAAGCAATACGAGACCCTCTGCCCCGTCATCTCCGCGGGAAAAGGCAAAGCTTTGTTTAGGGAGGTGATACCAGGCGAAACAGATGTCGACGAATTTATCCGATATGTCAAAGGCGTCGCTGGCGAAAAGGGGCTCCGGTCCTTTGAGGATGGCAGCGAGGGCAAGGGAGTGGTGGTCGTGCGGTACATCCCAAAGACCGAGGACTTTGAGTGGTTTGCCAAGTTCCTCACTTCGTTTGCTCAGCGGCTTGACCATCGACCCATTGATCAGCGAGAATTCCTCGAGGCCATTCTTGCCTGTGATGCCTCCATGCTATGCCGCCCGCTCGAGGAAGCCAGCCAATTCGATGCAGCGGGATCTGGAGACCGCATGGACCTTGACCAGCCTGCCCCTCAGCCGCAAGAACAGCAGGAGCCTGCCGCAGAACAAGAATCTGCGCCAGCTCCGCGCCGAGCTAGGGGTCGGAGAGCAGGTAGAAGCCGATTTAAAGGCTTCGATTTTGATGATGCCGAGGAACCTCTCGAGGAAAGCGCTTCGGTGCAGCCCGCTGAGCCTTCTCAGGTGGCAGCAGCATCTCAAGACAGCTTGTTCGTATCCCAGCACCGGGAAGCAAGCATTCCTTCAGAGGGGGATGCACGCGACGCTCGGCACACTCGCCGAACTCAGCGAAAACGTGCTCTCTCGCCACTCCCGGAGCAAGACAGGTCAACGCTGATGGATCATATCGCCCCAACTGCTGCAGCAGTCAAGCGGCGGCGAATGGAGTCTGGACAAGAGCCTGTGCCCCCGCCCCTTGAGCCCGAACCAGAGCCGCAACCAAACGAAGATGAAGGAATGGTCGCCGAGTCACCAGTGGAAAAGCCGAAGAAAGGCAAGGGAGCAAAAAGCAAAGGCAAAGCCATCAAGCAAGATGATGATATTCTCGAGCTTGCGCGCCTTCAGCGGGAGGAAGCCGAGGCCCAGGCGGCAGCGAAGCGCAGGGAGCTCGAGGAACTCCCCGACGACGGTATCGACTATGCCGCCATCCGGGCGTTGCACATCATCGAAGAGTGTGAGGTGCATTTCCCGGATCCTGGTGCGAACAGCCGCAACCGGGACCGGGACATCGCCGACGGCCGGTGGGATCCGCGGTGGAACGGCCGCAAGAACTTCAAGCAGTTCCGCAAACAAGGGGAAGCGCAAGGCCGTCCGGCGCCCCGCATCATTATTGAGCTCGAAGAGGTCAAGCCGAAGGAGTACGGCATCGGTGATGACTACTGGCTCGAGGACGAGGAGAGCGGGCGTCGCAAGAGGGACAGTCAGGCGCGCAGGGATTCGCAGACCCAAACCCAACAGCAAGCATCATCGCACGCCGGGCTCGACAGCTTGAACAAGGGCAAGGGCAAGGAAAAGGATCAAGAGAAACCCAGGCCTGCAATGCGCAGAACCGTCCTAGCCCTCGACAGCAGTGATGAAGAGGAAGCGACCGAGCTTGGGACGACGGGACAAGACGACAGTTTCGTGCCTGAGACAGAACCGCCGAGGAGTCGGGCGGCAAAGGCGGCCGAGAAGGCCAATTCGCAGCGTGGGCGGTCTCAGACGCAGACGCAGACACAGAGCCAGGCGGCGACGTCGTCGAACAAGCGGTCTGCTGCGGCCGACTCGGGCAGCGGACCAGCAGCCAAGAGGCCACGGATGGGATTTAAGCCGCCGAGCGATGATGAGAGTGATAGTGAGGATGAACTCAAGTTCCGCTTTGGAAGGCGGAGGTGAAGCTAGTCTTGAGGCGGTTAGCAAGCAGTTTGCTCAGCGAGATATTGCAGTTGATGTGACGAAGAAATCAGCTTGTCTTGTGAAACGGCTGCGCCTTTCTGGTCGATTGGGTATCATTCGATCAAATGTGCTTCCCACCAGGGAACTCTGTTTTAAGACAGGTTTATGGTACAATGAAATCATCGCAGATTCCGCGCTTGCCCGGCTTGATTTGACGTCCCTCTCTAGATTCCAAGCACCTCACACCCCGAGAACTCTCACAAACTAATCCATCGCCTCCATATCTGCCCCAGCTCTCGCACCACCCGCCCTCTCACCCCCATCCTCCTCCTCAGGCACATATATCCCCACCAAACAAGCCGCCAACATCCCCTCATAATTCACCCACGGATGCACCTCCCCAAACAACTTCGTCCCGTCCCTCCCAGCCCCCCTCAACAACTCGGGCTCCCCCCCAGGGTGGAAAGCAAGGTACGGCGTGATGTTGTAAACCCTCCCGCCCAAAACCGTCCACGCGTCCTTTCCCCTACGACCTGTCATCTTTCTGAGCATGCTCGGCGTTACCCGCAGGTAGGGGGTGCCTGGCGGTAGCCCCCGCAGGTCGGTTGTTGGGTTGGTGGAGAGCCGCGCCCAGTCCAGCGGGGAGTGGCCCGGCGTGAGGACGACGGCGCGCGAGGGTTTGGTCGGTTTGGAGGTGTGGGTTGGCGGCGGGGCGAGGGTTGAACAGCCTGGTTGCTGTTGTTGTTGGCCTCGGGCGGGGAGAGGGTGGTTGTTGTTGCGGAATCGCTGAGGAGGAAGCGCGAGGGAGGGGGAGGTGCTGGTGGTGTGTGGGCGGAGAGTTGGTGGCCGCGGGGGAGGGGGCATCATTAGGGTTGGTGCTGGGATCGTTGATAATGGGCCAGGGTCCACGTCTCTGTTCGGATTCGAGGCGTTGGGGGCTGGTTCTGCCACGGAGAGTGAGAATGCTGGGATGGAAGTGTCGAGGACGACTGCCGAAGTCTTGGGGGTGGTTTGGCCATCTCCGGCTGAATCATAGTTTGACGATTCGAGGTTTGCCGCCTCTGCCACTGGAGCCGTGTGCTGAATCACGGGCTGGAGAGGAGGTATCGGGACCTGGACCGCAGTCTGCCGGTTGGTTGGCGCGGCTGTGCCGTCTTCGCGCTTGGAGCCGTGATGTTCCGAACTGTCCGGCGTGAGGGCAGGTTCGGTCTCTGGCGTCTCCTTTGGCGGCGGCCCTATCCGATGTCGCGGAGGACCTCCGAATATGGAGGAAAACCAGGCCGGCCTGCGCATGCAGAATAGGACGACGGAGGCGAGAATCAGTGAGCAGCCCAGTAACGCCATGTCAAGGCCGTTCGCGGGATGTTGGTAGCTGATGTCGTATGTTATCGGGACATGTACCAAATCATGCGATCAAGGCCAAGGATCTCCAATAAATCGGCGGGGGTACTCAAGGAGTCACAGGTGACAAACTGGTTTGAGCAGTTGGCGGAAAGCGTTTCCTTCCTCCCCTATCCGTGAATGCTTAAGACAGCAATTTCTGGGCGAATTTCAATTTGATATGAGAAAGTTGATCACGAAACCCGCAGGTGGAATTGTTTCGTTTCAGGAGATTGCGATTCTCGAAATTCGATGGATGCGGGGCCGCCGCAATGAACGGTTCGGGAAGCAGGGGGCTCTGCAACGAGGGACCCTGCAGCATCACCAATTGTTGTCTGGCCAGGAGTGGATGGCTGAGCTCAGGGTTGGTGGGGTCGTCTGTTTTAGCGCTTGAAGTAAACAATCAATCGACATGAACTGGCTGAAGGGTACGGATCCGTACTCTTCTTTGAATTGGGCTTCAAGCCCTCGGATTGCAATTCTCATTCTCTAGCTAGATCAGATAGAAACTGGCGCTTTGGGAGAGACTGGCCAATTCCGACGTGTTGTACCTCCTCAGGTTGTACACAACCTGTAAGTCCCGGGCTAAGGTTGACCACTCAGAGCAACCCAAACAGATTCAGGGTTCAACCTCGCGCGTCTCGCTGGAATTGTCCAATTCCCGTCCCCGGTCGTCGTCCTCGACGCCGAAATGCCATCCCCTTCCAAAACAACCCTCAAAGCCGCTGTATCGAGGTGTCCAGCATCCCACCCAGCTGCCGACTCACAGCGTAATTCAAACCTGTCGCCACCACGCGCCGCCAGAATCAAACCGGCTGCGGGAATTTTAACGACGGGCACGACTGCTGCGGGCAGGAGAACAGCTCGCATCACCACCACAACAGCCGCTTGTTCAGCTGCCGCCACGACCTCGACCTCCCGCCATCCGCTGCGATTGCGCGACCAAAATGCCACGCAGACGTTGCGGGCTGTGAAACCAAGACGCGAGGCAACAAAATCGCCCGTGTTTACCGCCTCCAAGATGCCGCCGTATGAGCGACCGCCCGTTGCTGGGCATCGGCAGCCAACCGTCGCACGAGCTGTCAACAAACCGCCCCTAACCCCGAAGATCGCGGCACGAGCGCCAACATCGCAACAACCTCCCACCCTCGCAACAACACCACTCGGACGCCGTCCGCCTTCCGAATCGACCGTAAATGCCAGCGGCTCGCGCGACCGAGACGACTTGACGTCGCCCGTCTCTGCGTTTCTGAGCAGCAACATCACCCCGCGGTCTGGCTCGCGACAGAGTCGCGTCGACAGCGTCAACAGCACCCCGAATAGCACACCGAATCCGGATCGTAACGAATCGTTGGAGACGCGATCGGGCTTGGGCGTTCCGGGGGGTGATGACACACACAGGAAGCCAGCCTTGACGTTTAGCCCCCCATCAGAAGTTGGAACCGGCGCGAAACAAGACCGAGACTCGAAATTCTTCTATGCCTCGGATGCTCAAAAGCCGACGCCGCAGCCTACGAGTTCGAGGTCGCCGCCGGTACAACAGCCGAAACCCCCAACTTTCTTCTATGCAAACGGCAATGTGGCCCCTGAGCGGCCTGGCGCACCTCCTGTGCCGTTCTCTCCGCCCCTGACATCGCTCTCATCCCAGGACGGGCTGATGAGCAAGTTCATCTACGCCAACGGAGCCCCTGAGTTGCAGCCGGCAGCGAAGATCGGGCGATCGCCACAGACATCGTCGGGCTCGGTTGTCTCGACGGCGTCTAGGTTGCCCACGAGTAAGCAGGGAAGCATTCCGAGGGCTACATCGCCTGTCAAACACCAACAGCACGCTGCGCCGCCGAAGCCTGGCGGCTCTACCGCCACCTCCCCGCGGTCTCCTGGTCCAGTGATAAGTTCTCAGGGCAGCAATCAGCCGAGCTTGGCCAAAGTAGGGGCTGACACTCATGCTCGACCCAAATCCCACATCAGCACCAAGAGCGGCGCCACTCCCGAGCCCCCCGCCACCACGAGACGTGTGTCGGCCCAGAGCTCTGTTCCGTCATCTGGAAGCACATCCCCGTTGCAAACTCCACAGCCTGGGTTGACATTACCTCCCAACCCGGCCTCAGCCGGTTTTTCATCTCTGCTACAGGCTGCTGAAGATTTCGCGGGACCACCAGAGGACGCCCAGCAGCCCGAGTCCCTGAACAGCCCGACCAAGACATCATCGCAGGACGGACAACAGGCCACAGAAGATCTCGTAACCAATGCGCGGCGGGAGCGCAAGGTGCAAGACCTGGAAATCACCAACGCCAGCCTCGAGGCCATCAACCGCACGCTTGAGAGACAGTTGAGGAAGCAGACTGCCGAGCTGCGCCGCTACCAGCGGCTGTCTCGGTCCGGCAGGCTGAGCTTTGGCTCGACAGTGGCGGGAAGTAGGGTTCCCTCAGAGTCGACGGTGGATGGCGGGGGGTTGGCACGAGCAGGGATGGGCCTGGACGACCTGAGCGAGGAAGAGAGCGAGATCGCGGCCGAGGACGCCGAGCTTGAGGAGCTCGAAGAGGAGGAGGAGGACGACGGCGATGTCTCGGGCTCGGAGGCTTCCGGCGCGGGGGATCTGAGCCTCGGCGCAAACGAACTCCGGCAGCGGAAGCGGCGGAGGGATGAACGGCGGCTCCAGTTGGATCTATCCAAGCACCAGCAGCTGCTTGTCGACAGCCAGAAAATCAACCAGAGCCTCAAGCGGTGCTTGGGGTGGACCGAGGAGCTGATCAAGGAGGGCAAGCGCGCGCTTGCGTACCAAGTCCGCGTCAGCGATGTCGAACTGGGCGGGAGAGTCCTTGCTCCAGAGGAGGTGGAGATACGGGAGCGGGAGGACGACGAGGCCGCTGAGGACGTCACCCTGGGCGACGAGACAATTCACGCGGTAGACGCGCTCGGCGGGGGGTCCCTGGCTGAGGCCGACGCGTCGTCGGCATGGAGCAAAGGACCGCAGGACAGGGATAGTGGGATTGAGTTGACCGCTGACGGCGGGTAGAAACAAAACAACTTGACAGAGAATGATGGCGGAGTTATCGCAACATCCATACACACGGAGTACTCTCACCTCAAGGTATGACTACACAATTGTCAGAGACCAGGGTTGGGCAACGGAATAAGTGCAGAACAGGCGCAGAATGGGTGAGTTGGCTTGCTTTGCATTGCGCGGAATTACAAGGTCGCCAGACGCGGCTCTTCATAAAATAGGGGCGATTACATATCCTTCCCTACAGATTATTTTCCTTCTTTTCTTGTCCTACAGCTCACAGAGTCACCCTCCGGACGCCAGCGTTTTCTTTTGTCGGCCTTTGTGTACTCCTAGATACCCAGGCATAAAGGAAAAGACCGAGGGCCAACGAGCCTGGCGGCAGCAGGAAACCGTGTTTGGCTTTGGTTTAAAATGGTTTTGCATTTCTTGTGTTGGGGTTCTCCTACAAATGATGACTCCCTGATACCCCATCGAATTGTAAGAATGAGAATCTCAATCAACATCTCGGTGCAGTTGCGGCCGGGCTAATCTTCACACTATGAACGGATCGGTTATGGCCAGTAGCGTAGCTGTTTGGATCAAACTTCCTAGGGATACTCCGCAGGTATGAGACTTCACAAGGTTGTAACTACGGCTGGATAAATCCTGAACTCATAAATAGAGACCAGATGGGAACCTCTCTTACCCCAGGTAAGGGACTGCCAGGCTCGCTGAAGAATCAAACTCTATGTCGCATTAGGAGAGGTATATAATGCAGTGGAGAGTAAGAAGAGACGACGCCAAGTCGGCCATGCGTATCTAAACATTCGTGAACCATCCAAACCCACAACACTCCTTTTGCACAGCGCAGGTGTTTATCGAACCCTGCTGTTGGCCCACCAAACGATCGGCACAGCACAAAACAAGAGGACCATCGCACCCTATGACGAACCCTTGGGCACGTTGGGGGCATCACTGGCAGCTGCCGAGGCGGCGTCAGTCCACGCCTTGTCGCCGAACCTGTTGTTGTCGGCCTTTTCCTTTTCCTTGTCCTTCTTGTCCTTGCCCTTCTTCTTGGACTCCTTCTCCTTCTCCTTCTTCATGGCGGCCTCGGCGACGAGCTGCTCAAACGCCATGTAGTCGCCCTCTTCCTCGGGGCTGCGCTTCGCCTGGTTCAGGTCTTGTTAGCCATATTACTTGTCTTCGCATGGAAGAGTGCGGTCCTGAAGACTTACGTTTGCGCAAATATGCCCGACCAGGACGAGCGCCTCGGCGCGCTCCAACCGCTTGGACAGAGGCACCTTTTTGTCGTTGAGCACGGCGTCGCAGACATCCCGCAGCACGCTCTGAATCTCAAACTTGCTCCCGCGCCAGGCGGCCGTTAGAATTTTACCCGTCACGCGGCGCTCATACTCGGATTTTTTCTCGTCGGTCCACTCCTCCCCGCCTTGCTGTTCGAGCCGCGCCATCTCCTCCATGGTCTGCTGCGCATCGATAGCACTGCTAATAGTGTTCCACGTATCCTTGACCAGCGTGCCTTTATCCTTGATGCGGCTCAAAAACCCGCCCATCCCAAAGAATTTTTGGCTGCGCAGCAGCGCGGTGGCTTTGCTGACGTACGTCTGGCCGATGGCGTGCAGGATGTCGATGCCGAACGACTCCATCTTGAGCTCCTCCACCTCGAGCCGAGTCTTTTCCTGAAAGGCGGCCGTCACGTCTTTGCCCTTGTCCGTTTCCGTCCAGACCGAGAGCCGGTCGAGCAGTTTCTGGGTCAGCGTGTCGACTCGCTCCTGCCGGACGCGTGCTCGCTCCCGCTCGAGGGCTGCGAGCTGCTCCTTTTGCTCCTTCGTCAGGCCTGACTTGGATTTCTTGTCTTTGCGCTTCCCTTCTTGCACGTCAGTCGTGCTTCCTTCACGGCCGCTCTCGTTCGACGGCCGGTATTCGAGGGCTGGTCGGAGAGGGATCTGGGTGGTGCGCCCGCTGCGAGGTGTCGTCGCTCCGGAGCCGGGGCCGGGGGAGGGGGATTTTGTGTAGGGAGGCGCTGCAGCATCTGCTGCTTGCCTCCCCCCAGGCTTCTCATCCTCGACTACGACTGCTGGCACGGGCTGCTTCTTTTCGCTCGACGAGGCCGGGGCGGGGGTAGCGCCCTCTGCCGTCTTCAAGCTCTCTTTCATGGCCTCCTCTGTGCCGGGAAACTCGCCATCCTTGGAGGACTCGGCGGCCGCTGTTGCCGCCTCTTGTTCCTCCTCCTCCATGCCAGCCATGGTGATGTCCATGGTGGCAGTTAGATCCTTCATCAGGCTGATCTCGCCGACCCAGTCTATGAAGGCCTCGCCGCCAAAGATAGTTGTGAAGAACTCGGCCGGGTCGACAAAGCCCTCGGACGGGCGGGCGGATTCCTTGCCGTACTTGTCGTAGGCCTTGCGCATGTCCTCGTTGGATAGCACTTGGTAGGCTTCGCCGATCTCCTGGAACTTGGCGTGGGCAGTGGGGTCATTTGGGTTCTTGTCTGGTTCGCAGCCGGTCAGCTCGTGAACGCCCAAGGCGCAGGGAGATGGGCTCCTTACCGGGGTGGTGAACAATGGCGAGCTTTCGGTAGGCCTTTTTAATCTCGAGCTCGGTGGCCGTCGGCTTGACGCCAAGGGTGTCGTAGTATGATGTGTCGACGACCATGGCGGCGAGTGATGGCGCTATCCGTATGCAATGTAATGCAATGCGCCTTGGATGTCAGGGTCGATGAGGATTAAGTGTCGCCTGCTGCGTCGAAGCTTCCGAGAATGCGCCGGCCGTCAAGTGCACGTCAAGGTAAGGCGGGACCCGGACAGGATGTCTCAGTAGTGGTTGAACTTGGACCCTGGCTGGGTGGGGAGTCGAGGCTGAGCAGGGACTAAGTGTAGACAAACGATGTAGATCCAAAATCCACTCTGGACATCAACAGGACCGACGTGCGTGCAGCGCGTCAGCAAGCCTCGGTACTCTTCTCATTAACACAGTATGTTTTTTTATATGTCGCAGAAGCCTGTGAAAGTGGATGCGAAAGCAAGCCAGGCAACGCCCAGGACAGATTACGTATTTACCTTGGCGGCGGAAATCTCCGGCCTGCAACTGGACCCCACGTTGAATTGATGTGGTCAGGTGGGATCACTGGGGGGCATCATGCCGATGTCCGTCCTCCATCCTCGTCTGTTGTCCGGCGTCAACGTATTTTGTACAACTACCTTGTGCAGGAGAAAAGTACATATGTGAAATCAGGCTATCTCTATGTTATTGTTTCAATCAACCTTCGAATAGAAACAATGCTATTATTGGATCCCAACCGCTTTCATCCGCTCAAAACACCTCCTATACGCCTCGTGTATCTCAGGCACCTCATAGCCATACTCCGTCAGCTTGGAGACCAGCTTGGAGGTATCCAGCTTGCAGTTGCTGCGCCCGGCCTTGATGACCTTGGCCTGCTCCTCAAGGCTAAAGTTCCTCCAGGTGAAGGACGGCCGAACAATATTCCGGAAGAGCGAAAGCACCTCATTGTGTGAGATGGTGCCCGGGTTGGTGAAATTGTAGACGCCCACCTCGCCGTGCTCGGCCAGCAGGATCGAGGCGGGCAGCAGATCCGCCAGGATGGTGTTGCTGTTCGGGATGTCCACGACATGGTCATATTGGGTGATCTTGGTCACAAAGCTCCGCGGGTGCAGGTCGTCCGAGACGGGCATGCGCAGCCGCAGGATCAAGCAGTTGTTGTAGTGCTTGATGACCTGGCCCACCCCGATAAATACGGTCAGCATGATCACCGCGGAGCAAGGCATGACGCCGGGACGGTTACCTCTTCCAGATGTGCCTTGGTCATGGAGTAGAAGCTGCCGGCAAAGTTGGGAGGGTCTGCCTCGAGGAAGCCCGGCCCGTCCCAGGGGTGGCCCTCGTCGTACTGGTAGATGCATCCTGTGGCAAACACGGTGCAATGGACGCGTCGGAGGAAGCAGCAGTCCGCCAGGTTCAGCGTGCCGATGACGTTGGACCGGATCGTGGCCTCTCTGTTGTCCTCGCACCAGTCAACATTAGGGCGCCCCGTGCAGCCGGCCGCGTTCAGGACGTGTGTCGGTTGGATCCGGTCCAGCTCCTGAAGGACAGCCCCCCGGTTCTCCATCCGCACCGTGGTCGCATGAACCTCCTTGCCCTGGCCGTCGAGCAAGGTCTTGAGATGTCCTGCAACCCAGCCCTCTCCGCCCCAGATTAAGAAGCGGTGTTTCTGAGCCCCGTTTGTGGTGATGGTCGTCGCCATGGTGGCTCATGAGAGGATCGGTCGAACACCCGATTGTAATGCTCCTGATCTTGGCTGAGAATTGCGTGTTACAACCAATGGTAAGAGCAGTAGGGATGCTGCAGATTCCGTAAACAAGTCACGCAAAGCAGCGGACTCCCGAGGATGGCCTGGAACAGGCATGACAGAGAGGAAAGGAACACTGAGTCAGAGAGCCGAAATACCTTGTGTCGAGTTCAACACGGAGGGGAGTGGCTACGGTGGTAACAAGAAGGCATTGGAGCAGATCGCCCCATGCCGCGCCAGTAACTGGGCCAGCTCCTGCAAAACACAAGGAAACGAGGGGTATAGGTTGCCCTCACGAAGGAATAGGTTGCCCGATTTGGTGTCGTTTGTATGCCACGGCACTGCATCGCTCCGCGGTTCCGGATTGGGATGTGGTGTCCTGATGCCGCAAGCGGAGGTGGTCTGGGTCGTCGAGATCAATCGCGGCCCGAGATTGTGGACGCGACGAAGCCGGCGCTCAAGAAAACTCGTGAGCTGTTACCTCCATTGCGCCGTTGTTCTAGGCCGTTGCCGATGCTGGTAATCAATTCAGAGTTGCGCTCTGCACCCGCCGAGGACACTGCGAGTGCCCGTTATCTCGGCAACTTTACCACCGATGTCTCCGGTTAACTCGGACTCGGAGCATCATAGCGGAAGTGAGCGCCAATCGCATCCCGCTGTCCAGCTTAGGTATTGCTTCGCAGTGCGGCCCGCCAGCGGATTCGGTTCCGATATTAGTATTCGTGGCACCAGATGTGATCAAGACAGCTCTTGCACAGCCGGTTGGAGACGGCCGAGAATTCGAACGACAGGGCATCCAATGAAACTTCAATCCCCTTGAGCCTCGCCTACACAAACCAATTGACGAATTGAAACGCTGCATCTTGTCTCCGGCCAATGCAGAGTGGGCCCGTAACTGCCTTCAACAGTAAGCGTCACTCAGGGGGTGGTGCCCTCCCACTGCAGGCTGATGGAACACAATTTCCTGGTGGACCCTTTCTCCGCAATCTCACCATCTCACTGCGAGCGCGTGTTTCTCTCGGCCGAGACTCGCGAACCTCAAGGTAGCTATAAAGGAAAAAAGGGCATCCAAGCTCAGACGGCCTTACAAAGCGGCATCTCGAAATTCCTGGGCAGTCCTAACACCTTACGCCCTGGGTCACCGCCGCGTGTTTCGCCGACGACAGCCACCCCCCTCATCCGAACACCTACCGCTTGTCTCGACGATTTTCATCGACTAAAAGACTGACAATGGGAGCCGCTCAACAAATAATCTATTTTCTTTTTCACCCAAACCAGCTTCGGTCTATCATCCAATGGTTTGTCCTCACTCTGGTCCGCAATCGGCTCAGCACTTTGCGCTTACTGATTCGCCTTGCAGGAAGGTATGGCACGAGCCCGTCCACAGGCGCGACCCCTCCAAGGAGACTCCAACCGAGAAGTCATGCTTCCACTACCTCAACCTGACTTCGCGGTCCTTCGCCGCCGTCATCCAAGAGCTCAACCCCCAGCTCCTGATGCCCATCTGCCTGTTCTACCTGGTACTACGCGGACTGGATACCATTGAGGATGACATGACAATCGATATTAAGGAGAAGGAGCCGCTTCTGCGGAATTTCCACAATCACATGGAGCAGGACGGGTGGACATTCGATAAGAACGGGCCAAACGAGAAGGACCGTGACCTACTCGTGCACTTTGACGACGTCATCGCCGAGCTGAAGAAGGTGAAGAAGCCCTACTACGACATCATCAAGGACATTACTGTCAAGATGGGCAACGGTATGGCCGACTACGCCGTCAACGCCGAGCACAACGCCAACGGAGTCAACACCATCGCTGACTACGAGCTGTACTGCCACTACGTTGCCGGCCTGGTGGGCGAGGGCCTGACGCGGCTGTTCGTCGCCAGCGAGCTGGCCAACCCGCAACTGCTGGTGCGCATGGACCTTACCGAGAGCATGGGCCAGTTCCTGCAAAAGACCAACATCATCCGCGACGTGCACGAGGACTGGGAGGACAATCGGCGCTTCTGGCCCAAGGAGATTTGGAGCAAGTACGTCGACAAGTGGGACGACCTGTTCGCGCCCGAGAACCGCGAGAAAGCGCTCCAGTGCAGCTCTCACATGGTGCTCAACGCCCTCAAGCACGCCGAGGAGTGCCTGTTCTACATGGCCGGCATCCGGGACCAGAGCGTTTTCAACTTCGTCGCCATCCCGCAGAGCATGGCCATCGCCACCTTGGAGCTGGTCTTCCGCAACCCGGCCATCTTCGAGAGGAACGTCAAGATCACCAAGGGCGACGCCTGCCAGCTCATGACCGAGTCGACGCAGAACCTGCGCGTCGTGTGCGACGTGTTCCGGAGATACGCGAGGAGGATACACAAGAAGAACGACCCGAGGGATCCGAATTTCCTGGCCATCAGCGCCCAGTGCGGAAAAGTAAGTAATGTTACACCATTCTGTCCCATGAAGCTGGGCGAGCTAACCAGGTGCGTCGTTAGATCGAGCAATTCATCGAGTCCATCTTCCCCACGCAAGATCCCAAGAAGATCAGCCTTGCCAAGGCCAACGAGGAACCGGCAATGGAGACTAGCGAAGCCATCTTGCTGGTGTTGTCAGTGCTGTCAACCCTGGTGCTGATTGGGCTTGCCATGGTGAGTGGCCCTAACCCGGCACATAAGCTTGTCCATGATCCGCTATGGAGTTCGCATTGTTTTTTCTTGGCAGCAAACTAACTCGAGTGGTCAGATTGGAATTGCATGGTTCATGGGCGCGAAAATGGACAAATTCTTTCACGATTTTGATCAGTTCCTGGGTGGCAGCGTCAGGAGCTCAACGCCCATCGCCGCCGTGCCAGGCCGCGACGAGTTGTGAGGCTGTCTGCCTACTGACAGATCACGGTCGGTCGAGACGAGACATTATTTGTTCGCGTTCTATACGGTATCTCTTGTTAGTGACACATACCCTTGAATGTGCAAAGCGGCCATGTACAAAACGATTATGATGCGGACTGCCAGGGGGGCCATGGCGCCCAAATTCAGGACAGGACAGGAGCAACTGAGCATATAATACTAACATAATACACGCGGACTTGGTCGCCGTCTTCCCGTCGCGGATGACTTCCCGCACTTGGCGCATCGCGGTCAGCTCGCCGGGTCTGCTTCACCTCTGGAGGACATTACAAGACTCGGAAAGAAAAGCACGGATGTCAAATTGCAATCCAGTCCACTTGATGGCTGTGGTTGTGCCGAAGATGTGCTGATATGAAACCCCTTTTTTTTGCAAGTAGCCTGGTATCCAGGCACGCCCTCGGCTGGGTCAATCTCCCTCTCTGTTGATGGGATGGCCTTCTGGCGGGTGGATTGCGGACATTACATGACGATTGTTTGAATGCTTGGATGCGTATGCCCAATCGAAGCTGCCGGCCGGCGTATCTGGATACACGGAACAGAACCGGCCGGAACATCCAAGCGATGCCTGCTCTGGTGTTTCGCCTTGGCACGAGAGTTGTTTCGGCGTCTCGGCATAGAATATTACCAGGTATATCGTATTGTATTGTACTGTGCAAGTCCTGTCACGGTGACTGGGGAGATCTGCTCGCTGTCACTCCTTGTCGCCGGGTCTGTAAGGACAATAGTCGTCTCGTATCCGATTTCGCGCGTAGTTCAATCTCGCACTGGCTCTTTGAGTGGATATGGACTTTTGTTGGAGAGCGCTTCTTCTGGCTGAGTGGCTTGATCCACGTGTCCACGATCTGAGGCTGCCGGTCTGAAACCGTACCCAGGTGAAACGACAGGGCTTCGCTCCGATGCAGCCTAGGTCTCGGACCCTTGTTCTGGAAAAGGGGGACATGTCACGCTTGCGAGCAACCTCAGTTACCCGCTGTTCAATGCTTCTGTGGTGAATGATCATTGAAGCATGTCCCTTAAACCATCAGAATGATTTTGTTGGTCTTGGTGTATCTTGAGTTGGACTGCCTCCAACAGCAAGTATAAACAATGTAAACAGATTATTCTGTGCCCCTGAAGTGCCGTCTGTATCTCAAAACAAGAGATCTCATGTAAAGCCGTGCGTGAGCTTTGTATGTACAAGTCGAATGACGCACCAAACTTTCCATGCATCCGTCCATTTGGAATGCGTTGCAAGTATATACAGAACCTGCTGCCAGAGAAGAAAACAAATGCCGGTTGAATTCGACAACGTGACGAGAGCTCCCCTTTACCGGAAGCCGTTGTTAGCAATGAGGGTGGTCGTGCCCCTCGGCACACCCCTCGCCCTCGCGCCCGTCTGCTGTGCAAGCTCCTTGATACGGTTCGCCACAGCTTGCACGCCCGTGATGCCCTCAAGGGCCATCAGATAGGCGGCGATGCCAGCGACGTGGGGAGAGGCCATGCTGGTACCGCTGATGGTTAGGGTGTCAGTGGTGCTTCTGATGCCGACGCTCGTGACATCCCTGCCTGGGGCGAAGACGTCAACAAGCGGGCCAAAATTGGAGAAATCGGACATCGTGTCCGTCAACTGGTCGATAGACCCGACCGTGATGGCGGCTTCGGCAGAGCCGGGCGAGGTGTTGGCCGTATCTGTTTCTTCGTTGCCGGCTGCCACGACAGGGACGACGCCGGCGGCTTCCACTTGGTTGATGGCCGAGTTGATGGCTTGGCTGAATCCGCCACCGAGGGACATGTTCATGACAGCTTTGCCAGATCTCCCCGAGGCAGTGGCATTGTCAGCCACTGTTGCTGACGTTAGCACGGAAGTCCTTTGTATGGTTGATAGCACGACGATGTCTTACCGAATTGCATTCCTGCGATCACGCTCGTGCGCGAGCCGCCACCATCTGCACCCAAAACCTTAACTGCGACAAGTTGCACCTTTTTGGCCACACCGAATGTCTTGCCACCGATTGTGCCGGCAACATGGCTCCCGTGGCCTTGGTTGTCCGTGTCCTATGCGAACTGTGAGCGATTGCTGTCCTATAGTGAGGTAGGGCACGCTCAAGGGAACGGCTACACATACCACATTGTCGATGAAGTTAGCGCCAAAGGTAGCCCGGCCCTCAAACTCCTCATGGTCAACCCTGATGCCCGTGTCTACAACGTAGGCCGTGATCCCCTCCCCGGCACTGTCGTCAAAGACATAGGTCTCGGCGCCCCGGGCGGCATGGCTGATGCGGGCCAACCCGGTAGTTGCCTGGCCCTGCATCTTCCTCGCATTGAGGCTGATATAGGCATCCTGTTCGATGTAGCTGACCTCGTTGGCTGCGTAAATCTCGTTGACCAGCAAGTCGTCAGCTTCGAGAGCCATGGCGCGCCACTTGCCGATCCGATAGGTGTTGACGCTGGTCGATAGGAGCTTGCCCGTCATTGGGCTGCGCTTGCCGATGTTACGCTTGGCTATTGTCTTTATGACGCTGGTCTCGTGGGCATCGATTTCATCATCGTTGAAACTGTTGTTGTACACCACGATGTAGCGGTGTGGGATGGCGTTCTTGGTGTCTGGATTTGAGATGGGGACACCGAGGTATAAGCCCTCGGTCTTGTTGCTCTCGCTGGAAGTTGGGAGGCCTGATACCCCCAAGGCCGCGAGTGCAAGGGTGAAACAAGTGAGCAGTCGGCCAGCCATGGCTGCGGTATAAGTCGGTTGTTGAGGGTGATCCCAAGGAATGTACAGAATGATAGAAGTGAAAAAACAGTATCCGCCTCAGCGAGAGCTCCTGAGCCAGGCAAGGCTAAGCGAGGGAAAAGAAGAAGTTGTAAGAATATGCTAAATCCAGCGATGACAGAGCTGGCTATAAAACTGCGAAAGACCGAAGAGAAGATGACAATAGAAGGGTTAGAGGTAATTCCCAGTAGCCCTGGCCCTGTGTAAGCCAAAAGAGGGAAAAAGATGCAGGAAAGAAAGCCAAGCAGAAGACAACAGGTTAATGACAAGAATAAATGCGTTGACACGGAAGCAGGCCGGCTGCTATTTAACTGAGAAAGAGAGTATAAAGTTCGGAACCCATTAAAGACCGCTTTTGGAGCGACAATCTCCAAGCAAGTCAACATGGCTGGCTGTTGTGGTGCGTATACAAAGATCCAGGGGGTTACAGAGAGACATGGGATTGGCGGAGGCGAACTTGCCCCCTGACATTGTGGATGCCAAGTCAAACGGGAGATCCTGCGGGGCTCTCTTCCTCCAGTCGGAAACAGTCATGCGAGGTTTCGACGAGTTGCATGCACGAAACTCTCCATCGATCTCAAACGCTGCGGACTGGACGCAGACACCCCAGGCAGCTCGCATTAACTACCGGTAACCTTTTGGACTTTCTCACACAGCTCAGAGGGGCAAAAGGTGGACGAGCCGAATGGCCTCGCCTCCGCATCGACCGATTTCCTGGCCGGCTTGAATCTGATGTACCAGGATCTCCGGGTCGGCTATTGTGGTCTCCATTATGCTCGCTGCTATATGGTACGCTCGCCAGGCCGCTTGCCACCACGGCCTCGGAGTGCCCTTCACCGAGCGGTTGTTGTGGAACAGCACAAGGGACCAAACAGGTAGGTACGATGAGAAAGCCCAAATCCGCCGCATGAAAGATCGACTTAAACGGGCCGGTATGTACGGGGTACTGTACAGGGCGGCTGTTGACTTGCCATTGATTATGGCAGATCCGCCGCTGTGTCCAGTTTATGCGAGCCAGAATTTTGTTCCAGAGCACGGGCTACGGGAACCGCGTCTGGGTAGGTGTTGAGGCGACAAGTTGAGCGGGGAATCGAAACGCAAAACCGCCATTGGGTATTCGAGTGATGCTCGAAACCCTTCGTAATCCGGCGTCGAAGTGCCTGGCCCAATCAACCGTTTCCATGTGCAGAGAGCAATGAGAGGGGATCTTGAGGTTTGTGGCTGGTCCCGCCGAGAGGGTAGAAAGCATGCTTGGCGACCGGTTGCAACGGGATGCGGCTGTCGGTGTTGCGATTGGTTACATTGAATTTTCGGGAATGAGTCTAGAGTGCTCGGATAAATTTGTTGCAACCTTGGAAGACAGAGAATGGAATAGACAGTTATTAGAGAGATAAGCGGTTGCAGGCAAGTCCAGATTGGCGCTAACATTTTTCATCGCGGCTACAGACGGGCCCACGAAACTGGTAACGTGAGCTTGAGATGAATGTGTGGGGATGGCACAGCATGGGACTTGTGTTTGCCTGAGCGAAACCCTTCAGAAAAGATTCCAATAACATATGAACTACAAATTCAACCCAAACTGGTTCAACAGAACATATAGCGGCGCAAGGGTGGTAGGTCCGAAACATGTGTCGCTCATGAGATGCCAAGCGACCTGTTTGGTGCAGGTCTCTCGTGTCTCCGTCCGTCGCACACAAGCAGGGATTGCTTTTTGTTACACCATGATTCAGGCAGCTTGTGGTTTCAACTTCATGTCGCCTGCTCCACGCGTCGAATTGGGCATCTGAAACACCAAGCCTTCACCGAACCACCCCGCCGATTTGTTTTGATGCTCCCAATGCAACCGCCGTGTCGGAGATTTACCAGTGGCATTCTTTGGCGGAGATGGCCTTTTCTGGCTTGGAGAAACCTTACCCAGTCTCGCTAGTCTCGCCCCCGTCTCGCTGCACACCATTAGCGACGGTGACGAGCCTCTCGAGCAACCTCGGTTCCTTGGACCGAACGCAGCCATGAAATCGTACGCCTGGCGAGCCCTATTGCGCTGGTCCTCCAATTCCAGCTGACCGCCATGGACGGGGATTACCAGACGAGTTTTTCTCCCTGTGACTTATCCCGCATTCAGTTGCACTTGCTCTTGAACGGTGAGCACACCTCAATCGTGGCAAGCTCTCGAAATCGAAACCCAGACCATGTGCTGACCTTTCGATTGGATTATATGTACTGTAGGTGTTTGTAATATCTGGACATGATACATCCACCATCGACTCTGGCTTGAGCAGCGTTGTCCACAAAATCAAAGGATCGATCATCAGAGGTGCCCGTGGATTCAGCCACGGTCCGCAACCTGCCCATACAGCATGCCAAAAAAATGAGGTCTGCCGGATTCTTCTTCGGACCATCGAAGCCGGGCAACCACTCCCAGGTTCTACCTATTCAGCCTGTCGACGGTGGCCCCGGAATCTCGGCCGCAGCTCAAAAGGCCCCACTCGCCGTTCGCTATGTGGGGCCGGCTCGGAAGCATTCCCGGGGCTGGGCGGTTCACCGGCGGGCTGAGCTCCGCCGAGTCGGCAAAGCTCAGCACGGCACTTTGGGGACTGGAAGTCACAAAGGCCCCTTCACTGCAACAAATTTCAGCCACAACAAGCCACAATTCAGCCAGCTCTTGTAACCCCAAGATTTGAGGTCTTGGTCGGAATGTGCACCCCCGGCCCTCTAAGCGCCTGTTGCCGCTCGCCAAGCGCTGGGAAACGATTATGATTCGTCCTCCAACGCCGCAAGGGGGTTTGACTGCAAGAGCGAACCGCGCGGGAAACGGCGCAGTTGGCGACTCCAAGAGCCAGGGAGAGTGTTTGCAGTCGGCAATGGGGTGCTTGGGGGCCGTTTATATAGAACCCGAGGGCGCCTCTTTGTTTGCTTGGGTTTGATATAACTTTCTCTTGTCCTCTCCTCTCTTGTCACTCGTGCGCCCGACACAGACGGAGCATCCTCCGTCGCCGTCGCGGCAAGCGCCTTGCTCGCGCAGTTTCTTTACCATCTCTTTCTTTGTATTCAACCAGCACTCAATGGATATTTTGATTTTACGGGTTTTCTTCTCTCAAGCTGCTTCGGGCAGACGGCCGGACTGGCTGTTTCCAGTCAGCAAGAGCTCGGACAGAGTACCACAGGCGTTGCCGTCGACAAACGAGCTATCTCAATAGCGAGACTCACTCCTTCCCTTGAGACAATCTACTCGACTGGCGATGTCACGAAGAGGAAAACCGCCGGCTTCGGGTTCAATTTCCAGGTTGAATACGGCCCAGATACCATGGCCTTTGGGGATTTTGTCCCGTCGATCTCGAGGTCCCGACTGAATGTTTGACCGGGGCTTGCTTCGATGAGTTTGACTGTTCACGGGCTGCGGGCTTGTTGGGGAAACCGCTTATTCCACCATTAGTTGGCAAGTCCACCAACCACATCGGGGAGACGCTCAGGCTTATACTAACAGCGTGCCACTTAGCTCAGCTAGTCGTTCCGCCTTCTGTTCGTCGGCGATTCTCACTCCTTAGAGTGGTATTGCAGCCTCATACACCTACTACGCCTGCGGAGAACGTTCAGGCCCAAATGTATGTTATGGATTTACGGTTGACTTTTTACCAACCGATTCATCCACACGAACCTTTACTACATCCACAGTTTCGACCAGCTCTCAACGTCGATCCTCAGCCCTGGACCGGGCATCATTCCAGCGCCAAGCCAGTCCAACACCCCGAGCAATACGGGGACCTTGCAACCCAACACGCAGTCCAACAGCGAAGGCACCACCATCAGCACCGGCGCTATCGTAGGCGGCGCGGTCGGCGGCCTGGCGGTCCTCTGCAGCTTCGCCTTCGCCGTGTTCTGGCTTGTCCGCCGAAAGAAGAACGCAAACGCACACGCCAAATCAGAATCCGACAGTGATACATATATGGCATACAAACCGGAGCTGGAAGCGTATGAGCGCGAGCGGCAGCGTGCGGAGTTGTTCGGCCGAGGAATGACGCCAGAGATGTCCTCACAAGGGCCGGCCGCGTACGATACTCCGAGTCGCCGCCTCCACTACCCCCTGATGACGCCGGTGGAGCTTCCGGCGGCTGGTGGTTGGAAGTGATGATTATTAGGAAAGAGTTCGTTAAGGAGTTGTTGTTTGTATTTGGCGGATCACGGCTGGGCCCGGGAGTATTGGTTTAACCCGTCGCATATGGCTGGTCTTGTACACTTGGAAGGAACGGACAAGGACTTTACTCAATCTTGATTGCGGTGTCGGAACCTGGGTAAGTGCCTACGCAGAGGTTCTTGTCCACGCGGAGGCCTGTTGGTTTTAAGGGCGGTTGACGCAGATGACGTTGCCCACAGAGAGCTCGATGAATGCAGAGGATGCAGGGGCTGGTTGATAGGGAGGTCGACCACACACAGAGGCATCTGCAGATCAATTAGTCGGTGCGCTACAAAGAGGATCCATTTGGTACCAAATAGAGGCACATAGAGTCAAAGCAACACAGAGAGCTGGAGCAGTGCAGGGACCCAGAGAGTCGAAGATATCATGGATGAAGGTCGGGGTTTGGAGATAGAAGATCTTGCTCCACGCCCGGACGCCATCACATCGGCCATAAGTCACCTGGGCCACTTGAGCAATTGAAGTCGTCACTTTCGGTCGTCGTCGCCGATGGCAGTGGCGGACGCTGGTGATGGTGGTTGCGGTGTTGAATTTCGAGTAAAGTATACTAAAGAGGTTAGAATACTTGGGTGAACCCGGCCGAGTACTCCGTATACCCTCTGCGTGACCAGCAGGTGCTGCACTTCCATCTGGCATCGATACAGCACTCAACAGCTTGATCACAGACGGGTTTGCCAGATGGTTGCTAAGGTAGGTAGCCAGCTGAGTCTGAAGGCCAATCGAAGATCCCGACC